TAAATCTATGTTATGTGTGAAAATTTGTACTATCTATTTCTTTTTATTGTTTCTATGTATGCTAAAAAATATTGATTTATATACCGACAAAGCTAAAAAATTATCCTTTTTATACTTTTATAATCGAGAGAATTTCCTAAAAATTGAAAATTTTAGAAAAGTCGTACTAAAATGGACTCCTGCAATATTTATTTTCAAATTACCTACACTATTTAAATATTTTTCAATTCCATAGCTACGGATAATTTCGAATGATCGATGTCCACTGGTAGAATGGCTCAGTGTGTTGTTGCTCAATTGGGAGCGCCGATGCTGAGGTTCGATTCCCCGCAGGAGTAAACCTACAAAAATCCGGGTGATACTGGCGACTCACCTGTATTTCTATCGCTAAAGGATTCCTTGGCATATTACTTAATGTGACAAGCGAGTTTAACCAGTAATGGTGAGGACTTTTTAAAAAAAAATTCATAACAATTATAAATAAGAAAGATATCATAAATCTTCGTTTTTCCCTATAAGTTAAGAATAAATGGGCAGTCTTCAATTTTGTATAGCGATTTATTTAGTTAACAAAGTTGCAAAATTGCAACATTCGATTCAGATTCGATTCTATTATACCAATCGCTTACAATGCATTCTCAATAAATAAAAAAATTCATAAATTGTAATTTTCCTTTTCAGTTAAATTTTTATTTAACAAAATCGATGCAAAATCCTTTAATAAGTTTTTAAGTAAAAATTAAAGGATATAATTTTTAAATAAAATAAAAGTAATCTTTTTTATGAGCTTAATTACAGAAAAAATTATTATATTAATGCACTGAATATTTTCGATTTATTTATTTATTTATGATGATTTATATATCGTAGCAACAGTAATTATTTATGAATTTGGTTGCATAATATATGAAAAAAAATGAAAAAATTTTGAACAAATCGCAGTTCATAACTTGTTTGATAACCTTATAAATTTGCTATAATTAAAGGGAAAAATTTTCTATTATAAACGATAAAATTACATAAAATGGGGCAGTGAAGTTTCTTTTAACTTATGTTAAACGATTTCTTCTTCTAAGAACATGCACTCGCACCATTTATAATGGTTTAGCCAGTTTAGCAAAGATCACCAGAAGATATATAGATGAGCTCACAGTAACATCAGCAATTTTCATTAACAAATTTGCGATCTTTTACAAAAAAATTGAATGTGAATCTTAAGAAATAAATAGATAAATCAGATTAAAGAAATGTGATGAAAGGAAAAGAATAAAAAATTGCAAAAAAATTTTAATATTGAATAATATGGAAATAAATTGTTTCTGATGATCGATTGGATAATGATTATCTTGTTAAGAGGCGAGGGTTAAGTCATTTTCTCTAAAAGGAATAATTGTGCCATCAAAAAATCCAGGTGTCTACGTTTCCATCGACAACATATTATATTAATCCAGTGGCAATTAGCTAAATTTTTCCAGAAAAGTAACTCTAAAACAACGGAAACGACTTCTACTACAGGAAGCGGTACTCCACATTTTCAGTGGTGCACGCATTCAATTGAGGTGCATCGACAAGTAACTCAAGGCAAAAATTTAATTTTTGGTCAATTCAGTGAGCTCTAAACGTGCTAAATAGTGAGTGTCAACCATTTATTAGTTTATATTTTCGTTTAAAATGAAAGTAGATAAAAAATATTTTGAATAAAGACAAAAGTTAAAAAAATGATTTTTACAAGTTGTAAACGCGATTAAAAATTTAGGAAATGTTTGGAATAAATTCTTTATTATAGTAGCACTCACCGTAACTGCTTTGGCTGATTCAGTTGATTTTCGAAAGAAAATGTGAAATATTGTTGCAGGTGGTATTCAGGTGGTACTGCCAGGATTTAATTTTTTATGATAAATTTTCTTTTGTCAAGCCAATTAATCAAATCCAGTTCGAAGAAAAATCGAGATACTCCCGCTGACCATGAAACCAAAACCAAACCAAAAATTGATCAACGAAAAAATGACCAAATTTAGTGATAATCGAACATTTGTCGATTGTTACGATAAAAATTTTTTTATGAAAAATTTTTCAAACATCAACGAATTAAGCAAATAATTTCATCAGTAATAATGCACGGAAAAACTCATTTTTCTCGAATAATTATATCAAATTTTTTAATCCATGTGAATTTATGAAAACAGTCGAGAGACTCGAAATGATTCTGTGGTGAGATGGTTTCAGTCTTGTGATCAATTAAACAAAAAATGCTGTGATGTAATCTTAGAAGAATGAGAGTTTTCTATTTTACTAAAAAAGATTTGAATATATTTTAATTACAATATATTTATATTAATGCAATAACAATGACAACTGGCTAAATTTTTCTCGAAAAAAAACTCTAAAACAACGACTTCTACTGCGGGAAAGGGTACTCCGCACATTCAGCGAATTCATGTTGAGATGTACTATTTATGCCGCTCAATTATCATGTACACTGGCTAAATAAATGGAAAATCAAATCAAAGTGATAAAAATTATTTCATAAAGATAAAGAATTTCTGAATGGCTAAATCACCATTCAATGTTCCTTCAAAAAATTGTGAAAAATTTTTTTTAGAATTTAATTAAATTACTAATTATGAGTAAAAATTCGATTCAAATCAGTAAAAAAATTAGATCCAGCTCGACCTTCGATTTTCACCAACTTGTTTTATCGATTATTTAAAGAAGTGGAAACGGATTTCGCCTTTTAAGGCGTAAACTGTACGTACCCCTTTTCCCAAATGAAGCCCATAAAAAAAGGCAATCAAAAATATATCGGAAAATCAAGCACCGATGTGGCCAAATTCGACCACAAGGTGATTAAATGGAAATTTGCCTAATCTATTTTCTAAATTTAGGTGTAACGAAGGTATTTTCGGCTTATACATTAAAATTGCAAAATAACGAAAGTTCCATTTTACCTTTTGCGCGAAATTATGAATGAAATTGTGAATGAAATTATTTCCAAAAATAATTGTAGTTACGCTACGCTTAGCTCTTATAATTTCTTATATAGGAAATGGCATATATCTGATAATCCAGCCAACGATCTACGATCAAAAATGTTTAAGGTCAATTAGAAAAGTCAATAAATATAATTTCATCAATTTCATCCAATCATTCATAGCCAAACATAAACGTGATAAGATTAAATGTCATAAACCAAATAAACCAAACATTCTGAATGATATCCATCTTCATCGATCCTTGGTTGTAACCTTTTAGTATAAGACAATTTACATGTTTAATTTTATCGATTACGTTTGATGAGCTCTGAAAGCCATTTTTTACAGCCTCACGTTTTACACTTTTCACCAATTTTCCATGCGAAGAAAGCCTTTAGTTAACTTTGATAAATTTCTAGCTAAGCTAATTATAATTATCGAATAACGCCCTTTCTGAAGTTATGAATCTAGCCATTAACCATAGAAAAGTAATTTTTCAGTGAAATCTAAAATTATAAAGAATAAATTTTATATTCTTGTCAGAAGCAAAGATTATGAAAAGAAAATAACTTTAATATTATTTCTTTACTGAAAATAGCAAAGTTGATTAAGTGGCCAAATGGAGAACGTAAGAGTCTCTCATTGGTTCTGTCGGTTTATTTCCGATATAAGCGACTAATTATGCTTATTTGAGCGATTGAAGTGTGTTCTGTCATGACTGTGTCAAACAAATTCACCTTTAAAAAGTCCATATTTCAACTTGCGCAACCCGAATTTTAGTTATTATTTTTGCTTTTCTTGAATTAAATTATTTATTGTCGTTATTATTATCACTATTGTCATTATTGTTGTTGTTATTACTATTAATTAATATTATTAATAGTTATTGCGTTTTTTTCAATCGTAATCGTCTTATCATTACTATTATTATTATCATTGCTACTAATATTTATTACTATCCTTTTATTATTAATCAAAACCATAATTATTTTTATTATTATTACCATTGTCATTTAATGTATTTTTATTAAAATATGCAATATGTTACTTCATTATCAAATACCATTCGTAATTATAATTTACAATTATAAATGTTACTAATTACTTCATCTGCAGTTTTGCATAAAAAAGCAGGAAAAGATGTTTTAGTAAGAAAAGATAATTTAAGAAAAGTTTGGCAAAATTTTAATAATTTTATTTCTATTCCTTGAAATTTTTAACTTCTAAATTAGCTTTTCCTTAAATTTTGATTTTCAATTTTGAATAAAATATGCATCATCAACCTTTCTTTCGAAAAGGGAAAAAATATTCGAGAAAAAGAAATGTTGAGAAATTCGAATTTATATTAAAAATTCGAAAATGATTTCAATAGCGATTAAATTCAAAGTAGTTTTTTTTTATATTTTGAAGAAAAAAACCGAATAAGCTTGCCTTGTTCTACTGAATAAGTTAATTCAAACTGCAGAAAAGTTTTTTAGCAAAAAAACGACTAAGTTTCTTTTCCTTCCGCAAGGATTATAGAAAAAAGATAGATAAATCCAGTAAGATGAGGTTAAAATGAATTCATTCTGGATAAAGGCGGAGCGTTTCATTTATATTGAAGCAAAAATGCTTACAAATAGAATCTCATTTGTTGTTCAAGAATTCAAAGTCCATTATTCAATACATATATATATATATATAAGGAAAAACTATTTATTACATGAAAATCTTTTGCTATTATCGCTATTTCAAAGATCTCATTGTCAGTAAAATTGTCACATGAAATTGCCATTCAATAAATGCATGATGATTGGTGAAATTTGATTCATTAGTGAAAGAAATCCAATCTTTTCTTGGAAGTTTATTGTTCACTTCAATATTTGCATATATTCGAATTTGGAGTGGAAGGAAATTTTATCAATGTTTAGCTTTCATACATAAATCATTGTTTATTGCTGCTATTCATGAACCAAAATGTGAAGTATCATCGTAAAAAGATTATTCGACCGTTATTGAATTACATTGTCTGAAAAAATTTCTATAATAATGGCAACACCCAATAGCATTGCTGCAGAATCCATGGTGCTCGGTAGTATTCTCGCTATTCAAGAATTAATTGCGAATGTATCTATCGCACCACTAGCGACGAAAATGATGGTGCATTCAACGATGACCACGTTGGTTCAAACTTCTTCCGATCGTAAGGACTCAGTTATGCCTTTGGTAGAACTTATACTTGGAACGGCAACTTACTTGGTAAGCCAATTTTCTCTTTTAACGATATAACTATGCATTGAAAAAAAAAGAACTATTCTTAGAGCTTCTATTCCTTAAAAATCTGTACTTTTACGAATATCACTTCTATAAATAAAAAATTTTAGGCTTGCTCCACTAGGAGATTCGCCACTTGGGAATAGAGGTGGAGATGGCTTCCAAGTATTACCTGAGTGCTATTAACTAATAATATTTTACAGAATGGCTCCTTTCTAAGAAAAAAATCAATACCTTCCTTTCAAATGTGAAATTTCTTTGAGTTGGAGTAACTAAAATTTTAGATTTAACGTGTTTTTCATGCAAACCGGAAGAAATTTTTAGAGTATTTTAGATTATTTTAATTTAGAAATCTCAAAGTTTTTTCTGGATAAAATTTGTTTCGGGATTTCGAGATTTTGTTTATCTTTTATAAATTTTTTTTTCAAAATAGATAAATATTCTTTTCTTTGCTCACATCGATTTCTTTTTGTAAAGTTTCTGAAATTCATTCTTTAAAAGAAAATTCCTTCTTCTTCCTATACAATTTTTTTACCTAATTAATCATTATTAATTGATAGAGTTTACACTTTTTTAAATTGAAATTATTAAAGCCATTTTATTTCAAAATATATTTAAAATGTATTTTATTTTTTGGGTTTTGATATTTGGCGGAAATTTTCCGCCATAATTATTTCTTTTAGTTATTTTTTGTCATAAAAAGACTTTTACTTCTCCACTGATTGCTTTGTTTTTAAATACTTAATTTTTGGATAATTTTGCCGATTCTTGAAAGTAGTTTAATCAATTTTGTTGTTTTTAGATAGGGCTATTAGTTAGGGCTATTAGTGGCTTGAAAAATAATTTAATTGGCTTTCAAGGATAACTTGAAAAGAAATATAGCCCAAGTATTTATGAAAAATTATATATTTGCATCTAGATAAAAGTATAAATGGTAAAAGAATTAAAGGCTATAACAAATTTGTTTTCTGAAACAATTTCTTCTTGTTATTAGAGTGAAAGAATTCTTTTATAACAAAATATGAACGAGGGGCGATGAAGTGATAATATTTCGGTTGAGAATCATTTGGGGATAGAAGAATAAATTTATAATATCTCGCTACAGCTGGATTTGTTTTTTAACAAGCTTACTCCTACTTATAACCACTCCACCTTTCTTCTTGGAGAAATGATCGTAGATAATGAATAATTGTAAAGAATTTGATAAAGCTCCTTCTAAACCATTTTCCATATTAATAATTTACTATTAGTTTAGTAAGAGGTCCCACAAGTATTATAATTAAAACGAAATTTGTCAATGTTTTCGCTTGTAAAAGAAAAGATTATGTTAAATAATGTAATTCTTTACATTCATTGGTAGTTTTTTAGAATAATCAAAATCCGCAGAAATTAGTTGGTTAAATGAGAAGTTTCCATAAAAATATTATAAAAATAATACTAATTCCTAATTTATCGATTTAATTCATCATAACGGGAGCTCGAACAACTTAAGATTTAATTATCCACTATGTTTAGTCTTTTTTCTCGCAAAATAAATTCATTGCTTAAAGAACAAAAATCATTATAATTCATCTGAATTAGTCTTTATAACAAAACGTGAACGAGGAGCGATGAAGATTGCTGCATGATACTGCATAAGTAGGCGATCAACTTTGTGGTTAGTCATCCAGCTGGCTTTATTTGTGCGCTTAAAGTGGATTTTCGCTAGCGAGTTACTTGATGGTGAAATATAGGGAGACCATCAGTGCCACCGCATCGCCTAGAAATGGTAGATTTATTGAGGGAAGAATAGAATCTTCCCTCTTAACACCACTAGACACCTTACTCCTTCCTTAACGAAATATCATTATTCATCATTATTCATTTAATATTTAAGCCAATAATCTTGATGATCCATACTCGCTTTATATGGATTTTAAAGAATTTAAGAAAAAAATTATAATTTAATTTCGTTAATTTTAAACAGAAATTTAACATTCCCCTTAATTATAAAACAGGCAGAGCAATCGACAATCGAACAATATTTCGACAAAAAGTAATGGGTTCGATTCTAATATTATTCTAACGATGATAAACCATCAAAACTGAAATTGCATGAAATTATAAATTATCGGTACCTATGTCTCTAGAAAAAGGAGGAAAGATTGGCAAACTACAGTATATCTATATATCCACTAATAGTAGTCGTAATATTGCATACCATATTATTCCTTTTCTACTATATTCATCTGTCATTTGCATCTGTTTAAGAAAGTTGTTGCGAGAAGTTAGCCTCCATAGATTCTATAGGAGTTAACGAATTATTAAAAGTTCTAGTTAGGGTCAGAAACCAAAATATGACTTAATAGGCTTAATATGTCTTTAAGTACAGACTGCTTTCACTCAAACAATCAAAAAATGTTCAATACGTAAAGAACATATTAAATTATCAAAATTAAATTAAACCTTTTATTAAATATTAATATTAAATCTTCATATATCTTAAAATGAAGTTAAATTTATTTTCGATGCTATTTAAAGAAGAAATAACCATAAAGAAACAAACATTATTAGTTTATTTAATTCTTTCACTATTTATCATTTAGATCATAATATTTATGACGATTATTGGAAATTCTTTGGTAGTAATCGCGGTATTCAGTTATCGACCTTTAAGAAAAGTGCAAAATTATTTATTGGTCTCATTAGCAGCTTCAGATTTATGTGTGGCGACATTTGTTATGCCTTTACATGTTGTTCAATTTCTTGCTGGTTAGTTAGTATTTACAGACTTTTGAATTTAATCATTGGAAACTGTTTTGTATCATTAGTTGAAGTGTTTAATTTGCTAATGGCACCAAATTACGAGCGCGCAGATTGCCGTTGAAACTTAAAGTTTCTGAAGAAATTTTTATCCTTCATTTATTTAAATAACATCATTCAATTCTAAAATCGAGATTCACTGCGTCAATTACTTCTAACATATGCGGACTTTTCTCAACTGTTTTCTGTTCAGGCGAAGCGACGTCCAAAGATTATTAAGTTAAAATTTTTAAAATGGAATAAAATGGAATAATCCTAGTACGCCACTTTTTTCACATGCATTCATTTTTGACTCCATACAGGGAATATTTAAATGGCTTTATAGCTATAGAATGCAAAAGTACTGAGCAATCAGTCAGTTTCATTTTTAATAATAGGCTTACTCGGATAAAAACACGAACTCATCCTGTTTGCCGCCAGCCGAAGCAACATGCCACCCAACCATCATTATCCCATAAATTATAGATGAAAAGTATTCTATTTATAGAAAATTATCAAATATTTGAGAGCGAATTTCAATATTATCGACTTTTCTAAATCTTTCGCATCAGATTATATTCGATCTTTCAAACTGGATATCATATCCTCACTCATTTATTGGTATTCGAAATATCTTTTTGTAGTTCGACCGTGGTCTTCATAGAACTCAATAATTTAGTTTCTTGTTAATTTTCACATCATATAAATCAAAATCAAAATTAAAACTTATGTGAAAAATGCAGGGATAAAGTATGGTTCTTCCTTCTAATTTTAGTGGATTCAATGTCGGTAGAATTTTTCTTAAAAATCTTTAAAATTCTATGATTAAACGAATATAGTGAATAGATAACAATTAAAATTTTGTCTTCAAATGAATATTTTAAATGTTGATTTACGTATTAATTATGATTTGAAATATCCAAAATGAGATCTTTAAAAGCGATTCACCTTTTTGAAAAAAAAAGATTCAGAAAATTTAAAATTATATTATTATAAAAAATTATTTATATGAAAAAGAAAAATAACTTTTAGTTCTACTCAAATTCTTCATATATTTTTCGTGTTATGTATCTTCATATAATTTACTGATTAAAAAAAAAAGAAAAAAAATTTTTTAAAAATTTTCTCGTAGCACGGTTCAAAAGTTTTACCAGCGAGCCATTTGGCAATAGTTAATCGCAAGTACTACCTGGATTTTTATGACAATTTTGCTCCTTTCGTGGACAGGAGCTTTGCTTCTCAACTAAGTTAAAGCTGGACATGGGTATTAGCGTCCAATTTTATTTAATTGATTACTGGTATACAGAAATTCAATTGAATAATCTCGATGCGCTTTGTGGCTATCCTATCATCTTATCAAACATGGAATTAGGATTTTGCAGACTTTTTCAGAACACGAAAATGGTATAATTTGAGAATTATTTTAATTTGAGATGAAAAGTATTCTATAGAAAATTTTATAGAAAATTATCAAATATTTGAGAGCGAATTTCAATATTATAGAATTAAATCGTTAAATTCTATTGATTTTCGAAATAATTGTCCTTAAAATTTTTATAAGTGATATTATTATTAGTAAAATATTTTGTAAGCTCAGCATAAATATCAGAAATTTCCCCATCATTGTTTGTCAAATAACTATAAAATTATGAAAGCAAAAGTTTACCGTAGGATAATTTGCTAAAAATTTTCAAATTAAATGTTTTTAATCGTTAAAGTTTGCTTGTACAGCCAAAAATACCAATAAATTTAATTTTTTTCTTGTTCAAAGCATTATTTGCATATTTGTTCTTTTTTTTTCGTATGTGGAATATTTTGTTTTGGTTCAGAAAGTGAATTCAGTGCTAATATTAGATGAAATTCTTCTTCCAACAGTACACTCTGTGGTGGATTATATGGTCCGCATCCCTTGGTTTAGATGGTCAGAGATAAGTTAAAGTGGATAGAAGGGGACATCCAAACATCATTTTTAGTAGGATTTCTCTTCCTATCAAGAGAAGTGATCGAGCTGTGTTGGTCTTATAACTTTGTTTCAATCGTCATTGTCCATGAAATAAATGTATATCTAATGCATTATCGCATGATAAATGCGAAATTAATGGAAATTCGTAGGTTTTCATTAAGAAATGTTCTCCAAAATGCATCCATCCATTATTAGTGGTCGAAAACAAAGAAAAGTTTTATAAAATTTTCTACTGTCTTTCTCAACAATCTTTTGGAAAAAACTTTAATTCAAATTTTCAAAAATTAACTATTTTTTTCGAAATTTTTTCTTCATTTTGTATTGATTTCACAAACAATCTTCCCTTTCGTTATTGTTAAAATGAATTGAATCATTCGAATCTAATATGAATTATTAAAAATTCTTAAAAAAATTTCATTTTATTATTTTTATTTTTTGTTGTCTTTTAATGTTCAAATTTTGCTTTCAGTGCAAGAAAATTAAATCACATGTATGGGAAATGAGTTACTGAAAAGAAAAGCTACCACGGCTTACCGCAATTACTTTCTGACTTTGGCGTAACTGCAGGATTCGCACTACTGTAATTTGCGCTTTATAGTACTACCCATTACATACTATTATTAAAAAATTTCATTTTAAATATTTGTCTCTTGATTTTAACTTATGATAATTTAATTTGCTTGAATTTATGGAAATTATGGAGGAATGATTGTTATTTGAAGGAAATTGTTACATCGTTCAAAATTTCATTCCATTTTTGAAAGTTTGCTGATTATTTAGGCATAATTCCTACAAAATTTTTCGAACTTTAATTTTGATTCAGTTAATCTGAAAAAGGTTTTGATATTTAATACAATCATACAACTTTTTGGTTAAAATTAAAAATTAAACAATTGTATTTTTCATACAGTTTCGATTTAAACATTTATGATTTTTATCAAAACAGATACGTTTCTAAAGACACTTCTAACGAAATAGTTACTAGCTGCTAGAGTTAATCTATAATCAGACCGATTTAATGCATAGTCGGGTAGTTGTATGAATTGCTTCTTAGTCACTGCTGGTTGAGCAGGCGTCCATAATAAATTTGCAGAACTATTCGTTTAATTATTAGCTTTTGGAGGAGAATTTTAATAGTCTATCCATTTTTTTAAAAACATCACCGAATTCTTTTTACGCTGCGCATTATTATATCAGAGTGAAAATTTTTCTTTGCAAGGAAAGTTTATTAAAATAATCAAAGAATAAAATATAATCGCGCAAGATTCTAAAAATATTTTTCGAGAAAAATTTCTTTAATCATTTGCTTTTATTTTTTAATTTAATTTTTTTCATTCTTGTATTTGTACTTTAATTTTTTTTTTCTCATTTAGTTCTAAAAAAAGAATTCAAAATTTTCAAAGCTTTTTTTGTTGTTCAAAAATTCGACGAATGCCAGATTTAAAAAACAATAATCATGAGAATTCATGATTATTTCTTTCTCGTAAAAATATTAAATACGCAAATAAGCATGCATATTTTGATTTTTGAATTTTTAATCTCGTAAAGCCCATAAGTGCACAAGTGTAAATTTTTATTAGTCAAAAAATGCTCATATGCATTCAAATCCATAAGAAATAATTGTATAAAGTCTTCTTTTATGCTCAAAATTTTTTAACTTTTAAAAAATTGGTTCTCGATGAATACGTGCGAAATTTTTAAATTAATTAAATTTACATTTGCTGAAGAACAAGAACAAAGTTTGTTTTAAGTAACTTTTATTTTTAAAAATTGGTTTTAATTTGATTTCAGGTGGTCGATGGCTTCTTGGCATGGTTATTTGCCATTTTTTCACAACAGCCGATATATTTTTATGTACTTCTTCCATTTTAAATTTATGTGCTATAGCCTTAGACAGGTATTGGGCTATCCATGATCCACTGAATTATGCGCAAAAAAGGACCCTCAGATTTGTTTGTATAATTATTGCAATAGTAAGTTTATTTTTATTTTTATCAGTCAACAGAATGCTCATATCCATGATCCACTGAAATTATGCAAGAGACAATCTATTCAATGGTGAATAATGAAATAAGCAAGAGCAAAATGAGACAATCTATTCAATGGTGAATAATGAAATAAGCAATGTTTATGAGAAAAGTAAATTTAAGGTATGGCTCGCAAGTGGTTGTATATCGGTACCTCCATTAATTGGTTGGAATGACTGGTCAGGAGAAAGTCTCAAGACTCACTGCCAATTGACAACAGAAAAAGCTTTTATTATTTTTTCAGCCAGTGGTTCTTTTTTCGTACCTTTGATTCTGATGATTATTGTTTATGTGAAGATTTTCTTAGCTGCAAGGCAACGAATAAGAACCAACCGAGGTATCTTGAGGTTTTTAATGATAGAACCTGAAATATTTTGAAATATTTTTGCAGAACTAAATATATGCTAATAATTCAGTTACTGTTAATAAATTGTAATTATTATCAATAATTAAATTAATGATCGAATAGACCTTTATTTAAGTGCTTATCTAATAGTATTTCTTAACATTTTTTCTTCAGTTATTTATCATTCATATATAAATTGTTCCAATTAACAGGAAGAAGTGCTCTATCTAGTTTGAGCAATTTCTCAGCTGCAAAAAATCATAAAAAATCAACAGATGGTTATGAAAATAGGTCAAACAACGAAAATGCCTCGCTTACTCCACTGTCTCCAAGTACTTTGGTTAGTTTAAAGTCTTAAAGGAAATCGTTGAATGTGGTATAATTCTGTCGCTTTACGTCAAATAACTGTCGTTAACAAACCTGACTGGTACTGGCAATCCACTTGTATTTCTATCGCCAACCGGCTCTCTCCGCTCAAAAATACCTAATAGTCAGCGGCGAGCTAGGCCAACCAGAAATGTTTGCGAATCATAATTCATAATTCTCTATAAAGAGAAAATATAAAATATAAGCGTCATAAGTGTCTTTCGAGTACCTTTCGACAAGAATGAGCCGTCTCATTAAAAGTGAAATTCGACTGGCTGTTGAGAATCGTAATTTTTTTTGAAATTTTTCTCTGGCTTGATCAGTTCATCATTTTTCGAAAGGTCTTGCGTCGATCACAGTGGTCTATCTTGGAGATCAGTTGTTTTGCGTCTAATAACTATTTGATTGACTGAGAAATTTTTGATGAAATGATATTCGATATTGATAGCCAGAAAAATCTACTCAGATTTTTATCCCCAGATTGTTTCGTATAGAACGAACGCTGTTGAGCACATATCGCAATAAATAAATTAAAATAAATTAAAATCCAGTTTGAATAAATATATGATTGAATGAATGATAGAATTTCTCACCGTTTTTAGCAACCTGCAACATTTTTGCAAAAAAGGGAAAAAATTAGCGTAGCAAAAGAAAAAAGAGCTGCGAAGACCATCGCTGTGATTATTTTTGTTTTTTCGTTTTGTTGGTTACCGTTCTTTTCGGCCTATGTCATACTTCCGTTTTGTGAAACGTGTAGCTTACATCCTAAGGTAAGTTTTATTTAATTTTATAAGAAGCAGTAGCATTTTTTATTTTATTTTATTTTTTTATTTTATAAGAAGCAGTAGCATTTTTCTAGGTTTCAATTTTTACTGATAAAGCAAAGTAATAACTGACTTCGAGCTAATTCCAATTTTCCTCCCAATTTTTAAACCTTCTTATTTCTTATATATAATTTTCGAATTTCTAACTAACGAAATCTGAAACTTTGAGAAAGCAGAGAAATGGCTCTTCCACAAGAATTTATTTTTTCATAATTCTAAAAATTTTTTTCAATTCCAAAACTTTCCATGGCAATCCGATCGCATTGTTAAATTATAAAATTAAATTGTTGAACAATTCTAATATAATGTCTTATTCAATGAAATTTAGGTACAACAAGCGTTTGTGTGGCTAGGTTATATAAATTCATCGCTTAATCCGGTTTTGTATGGAATATTAAACATCGAATTCAGGAGAGGATTCAAAAAAATTCTCTGCTCGCGAAGTATTCCAGGGCATTGATTTTAAATAATCTCGTCTCGTAACCATTGTAATTTGATATTATTTTTGCTTTTTGCTGTGGTTTATAGACTAAAATCTCTGCTGTTGTATTAAAAGATGTTTAAATATTATAATATTTATTGCCACAATGCTCTGTGACACCCCAGTGACTCCTCTGCAAATGGCTTTTTGGCGAAAAATGCGTCGCCCGAACAATAAATGGAGACAAATGAACCAGAAATGATAATTAATGATAACTATTTGAAGAGATCTGCTAATTCATGCAAATATTTAGCTGCGAACAACATATATTAATTACATTTGAATTGTTAAATTTTCACTTTAAACTTATTTAAAACGACGAATTTATTCGAAAAGTATTAAAAGTATTAATGCTTTATACAATTTATAAGACATTGCTCGCCACTGACTTAAAACTTTAATGGACTGAACAAGGGAGCGGAGCGCATTTGCAGCGATCTCCCTAGCTTTTCTCATCGTTGGAACCATTAACTATCACATCGAATACATCCTGAAAAAAAATCCTTTTTATATTTCTGTTTATTAAATATTTTGCTTTGCTTACTTACGAATTCTATTCTAGTGCTTTCTACCAGTGCTTTATTTTTAGGAAAACGACAGATAATAAAAATTTAAGAATTGCATAGAAAACACTCCATGATGATTGTATGGTGAAAGGGTCAGAAATACTTGATACAGCATCCTCGTCTCCTGATGCGCTCCTGATGGTGATCCCAGCTCGGTAGTACATGCGATAAGTATAAGTATATAAATCCGAACTTAAAGCGATCACAAGGCTGGTAAATAAAATGTACTCTCAAGCCAGGGTGATTGCTCGAAACCTATCAAGAGCCTTCTGCACGCGCAGCGAGGTATCAGCCATATCAGCGTGGAACGTCAGAACGCTTATGAACGTTGCAAGCCAAGCGATCACTGTACACCCTGTCTAAATATCATGTGGTTATCGCTTGCTTGTCGGAAGTCCGTCTTCCTCACTTCGGATCTCGAATAATTACTAATCCTGGTTCGAAGCAGAGATACTGGCTATATTACTATGGTGCTTCGAATAACTCGGGATGAAATGGCTTAGTGATTATCATGCCTGACAAGGCCCATTCCGCTTTTATTCAGTGGAAACCGGTAAGCGAGCGTATGGCCTATGGCTTATTTTAAAGGTGAACTTTATGCGCAGATGACAGTGATAAAGATAAGTTTTATGCGGAACTTCAACTGTTAAGTCTCTGCCGAAACTGATATGGTATTAATCAGGGAAGACTGGAATGCTCGTGTAGGTCATAATGCCGTTGCGATGATCTCAATAATTGGCAAATATGGCATCGGAGACCGGTGGGTCAATGGGAAACATCTTCTTCGTTACGCCGAAGAACGTGAACTTTTCGTTACTAATACTTGCTTCCGGCATCATAGAAAATATCTAATCATATGGAACTCCGGACAACCAACATTTCAATCAGATTGATAATACTTTAGTCAATCGCCGTTAAAAGAGTTCCATACTAGATAGTCGTTCCTATCGCGGAGCTGAAACGGCCAATCTTCATTGATCTGACCATGTTATGGTCCGAGTCAAGATCCGCATAAAATTGACAACTCGCAGAAAATATCCCCCAAGATCCTTCAACTAAAAAAATCGGGAAGCGTATTTTAAACCGAATTATTGAAAGATCTCAGTGATGCAAATATCAATATTAATATGATTTTTCTGGAACAACAAATGAATACTGGTCCAAACTAAAGGAATGTCTCCGAAAGCCACTTCTACACTATAGCATACTAGTAGGAAGTATGCTAATTGGGTATCGAAGCAACTGTCCAATTGTCTGAAAAAACTGCCAAAGCACAAATGTCAGGTAATCCTAACTACCGAGTGCTTCGAAGATTTCAACGAAAGTAGCAAAGCGGAACAGAAATCACCATTGGAGTGACATGGTCTCAAGAATGGAGGCAGCGGCGAAACAATTCTGCTCCCAAATTTTAAAAAAGGCAATAGGACAAACTGCGACAATTATCGAGGAATCAGCCTACTAGACGTCTCAGCAAAAATTTTTGCTTCCTTGCTACTCAACAGACTTATGGAAATACGAGACAGCAGGATGCGCCCTAATCAAGCTGGTTTCAGACCAGGGCACGGTTGTACTGACCAGATATTCACGTTAAGAAGGAACATCGCTTCAAATATTACAACCCACTGTCACGTGTTTCATCGACTTTGCGGCTGCCTTCGATTCAATTGATAGATAGGAGCTTTGGAGAGTGATGGAATGGCGACGGTGTTCCAGAGAAGATATGATCAATCGACTCATAAAAGCATTTTATGAACGCACATCGGCGCAGATCTGTGTATATGGGGAGCTAACAGAATCCTTCGAAATAAGAACTGGTATCCATCAAGGATGCGTACTTTCCCCTACAGTATTCAACTATGCGATAGATTGGATAATGGATACCGCTTGTCGGCACTCAAGAGGTGTCCAAATCAGTCCAGAGCATCGTATCACAGATCTTGAATACGCACTGATAATATAGCCCTTTTTACTGACATGATGAAATGCAAATAATGCTAAATAACGTGTCAGCAACTGCATCGAGAATCGGACTCAGGATCAATGTAAACGAAAGTCTTTTCGTCTTATGCGCAAGAAGCTGATAAAAGCCACTTTTTGTAAATTCATTGCTGGTTGAGAAAGTACCCGATTTTAAATACCTTGGGTCCACTCTAATACCAAATGGACAGGCAAAAAATGATATTACAATTCGGATTACGGCAGATAGAAATGTGTTCTTCCGCTTGATGAAACCTTTGTACAGACGTCGTGAAATCACTATAAAGACGAAAGTCCGCATCTATATAGCCGTGATCCGTTCGATCTTGCTATATGATTCTGAGACATGGCCAATGAGAGTGGAGGATATTAAGAAGTTATCTGCCTTTGACCACTCTCATCTAAGGTACATATTGCGGATCCGTCGAACGGACAAAATATCACACGACCGCACCCACATTCGTTCAAATACCACTTGCATAATAATACCACTTGTTCAAATAATATGATCACAAATGTCGCCTTTCCGTCGTCCACCACAGGAGTTGACGCATATTTCGTTATTTGCTAAACCGTGTGATGGTTGGCGTCAAAAGCGAGGTGGGCCAATCAAGACCTGGACTGGTAGGGTGAGAAAAGATTTTGAACGTATAAGTGGACCAGCAATATATGGATTTAGACGATGGAAAAAGGAATGGCTTCCATTACTGTCGACGATGGCATCAGACCGCGCCATTTGAAAGCATCTTACCCTTATAGCCAAGCCAGCCTAACCAGTAATGGTGAGAGCAGAAGAAGCATAGAAAGCAAAATTCTTATTTTAAAACTAAAAAGACCATTTCAGGGAATCATTGATTCACTTCATGCTTCTTTCGAAAATTAGTTAACAAAGATTTCAAAAACGAGGAAGAAAGAGATTTATTCTGATAGACAGTGTGCAGGAAGATGGTAACTCGATAACTAACAATTTCGATCGAAGAAATCTCGTAACTCTTTAAAAAATTTCCTAAGTCCATGGTAGCGATCATCGTAGACCGAATCATTTAATTAAGGAAGCCAGGATGTTGCCAAGGATAAGAAAATGTCAAGAATACTGCTGTAAATACCGCCATCAATATTTATCATAAAGCGATTCCTTGATTACTGTAAATATTAGTTTGATGAAAAAGAAAAATGATGAAAAGATAAAGAAGTTTTTTTCAGAAATAAAGGCGAAAAATGAAAGAAAAAAATTTATTCAATCAAATTCAGTAAAGAATTTTTTTTTTTTAAAATTTTTTTCGAAATAATTTATGGAAAATTAAAAAATTTTAAAAAATTTATTTAAAATTTTGGTATTATAACTTGTAATTCTTCTTTTATTCTATTCTTTTGCATTAAAATTTCTCAGTTTTGTAGGATTTTTAAATTTGCTTATTTTTTTAAAATTATTATTCTTGAAATGATTTCTTTAAAAGTTATTCAAAATTCAATATTAAATTTGAATCATTCCTGCGATAAAATGAAAAATTTGCGGTGATTTCAAGTTAGTTTTATTTTTTTTGATGTGGAGAATGTGGATGTGGAGAAAAATTAGCAAAATTCGAACAAATTTTTTCATGTTATCTTATGGAATAAAATGGAACATTTTCCTGAGGTTATTCACGCTTTCTTCTGGGTTGACCCATGTGTCTCTTAATTTTCGCGGGCCTTGATTTGCGCGCATGAGATTTCAGATGCATTTTCGCGATGAAATCGGCGATAATTCATTAACGCTTCACAGTATTTTGCTCAAATATCTGTTATCATGTTCTGCTGCTCTTGTTGCTGAAACAGGTACTTTTTTCTTTCATCATTTTTTTCACTGGTATTATCTTAGATATTCCATAAACCAGCTGATTACTAAGCCTTTGAGATTAGGCCTTTCACTGGAGAATCAGTGGTGAATAGAGAATTTCGATTTTAATGACAGGTTTATTCCTGCTGCAGGACGAAGTAATAATATTTACAAGCATCCGAGCCAGCTTACCGCTCATCCAGTGTATTTCGCTGCGTTTATTTCTTTTGGTTTTTAGGATTAAATTTGGTGATTAACTAATTTTTAGTTTGATTTCATTGTTGAATCATAATTGTTATTTATTTTTATCAGAATTAAACTTCTTACGAACATAATGTCGATCGAAGCAAGAATTTTGCAGCCACATATCCTCTTGATATAGTAAAAACGAGATTACAAGTGATGGCATTAACTGATACTGATCAGATAACTTCGAAATCTAAATCAGCTCGGGGAATGTTTCGAGTGGCTTACAATATCAGTAAAATTTTTTTTAAAATGACATTTATGAACACCATGCGTACAAACTGAATTCGTTTTATATTTAAAAAAAATTATTTATAGCAATTTTTTAGAAAAGTTATACTAAGTAATGGTGCATCTCGAAATTTCTTTCAAAATTGAATGAATGAAATTTTCAGTTTTTCTGATTCTGCTTTAAACTAAGGGGAAAATTGAAGTATTCAACATATTCTTAGTAGAAAAATATCGTACTGGAATATTAATCCGTTTTGAAAAAAAAAAAAATTTTTATTTATGGGATTTTTTTTTCGAATATTTTAGTTCGGCAAGAGAGTTTAACTAGCCTTTGGCGAGGCGTCACTCCGGCCATTTATAGACATTATGGTTAGTTTTTTAAAGTATTCTTAGACTCACTAAGCACATATTCTTTGACAAGAGTAAACTAACAAAATGGAAATAATTGTGGTTATTGTGGGTGCATTAATCATATACAGTATTGCATGGAAAAATCTAAAGTCCGAAAAATTTTAGTCTATACTGGAATACGAATGGGATGTTACGAAATCATTCGTGATAAGCTTTTTGATAAAGAAAAGGATGTCATTTTTCCTGCTTGTTAAGTTTCAAATTCTTTTTTTCAAAGGGTTTTCAATTTTACCGTTAATCATTTATTTCATTCATAAGAGTAAATCAAAAAATTCCATAGGTCTTGGATAATTATTCCATAATATGATATATTTTCATATCAGTAATCGTATCTTCATTCGAGGATAGTGTTAAATGATGCAAATATTATGCGTTATTTATATATCTTAATCACAAATCTGGAATTCGCAAAACGATAGATTGAGCGCTAAACATCTTCGGAGAATTTTCTTTAGTTAATACTGATATTTAAAATATTTAATCAAATCAATTTTATATGCTTATAGATTAATGATATTTTATTTAAGGTTTTGAACATTGCAAGTCATGATGAATCTAAATCCTCATGTAGCATTCAAAATTATTCGTGATCATCACTAGGAACATCAATATTGCACCAAACCACAATGCTTAATCTAACAATATATCATTTATCATACTGCCTCAACATAATTGCTTCAGTTATTTTATATTTTTAGGAAATCAATGATATGTGGTCTTTTCTCAGGTGCTTTTGCTCAATTCGTTGCATCGCCAGCAGATTTAGTTAAAGTTCAAATGCAAGTGGAAGGCCTGCGAAAACTACAAAAATTGCCTCAGCGGTTTGTGAATTTTGATGGTCTAAGATCATTATTATTGGAATATATTTTTAGAAATTTGTCAGGATAATTCGAAAGCCTCCTTCATTTTCGGTTAAAAAAAACCAAACCAATGACCGAAGATTTTGAAAAATGAGGTAGTCGTATTTATTGTGTTAATTTTCCTCACTTAATTAATAAATATTGTAAATGTTTATATGCATCAATTATTAGTCAAATGCAAAAAGAAATAATTTGGGAGGGGGTAGATTGTGAAAGGAGGATAGGGAAGTTGGCCGATTGTCCTGGATATATAAGTCCCGTAAAGCATTCTTTGTTCATCATTTAAGTATTCATTTCTGATTAAGTTTCCACGGTAGAATAGGCAGTCTTGTCAGGTATTAGTCTTATCATTTGGGAATAAAAATGACACCCAGTAAGTATACTGGATCCATAGGAATCTCCTTAGTTATAATAAGGTAGCGGGAAGGATTATTATTACTGCAATTCGCCATTGTTGCAAAGATTCCTTTCGATGATATCGTTTTTATTTTATATTCAAAATGCAGAATACCAGATGTTTTCCAACATAAATCATTTTGACAAAAAAAATCTTAATCAGTACTGGCTATTTTTAAAAAACGAATATGCAGTGGTTTTAATTGATGACGAGATTCACTATATAGATTATCTCTCAAGAATATGAATAGATAGGAAAAAGTTCAGTGTAGGATATTGTTAAGATCATGAAATAAGTGGTTTGATAACTTTAAATATTTGGCTTTCGATGGTTTCCGTTTATTTTATTTTTTTTCTGTTTTCTATTTTTTTGTTCATTTTTTTATAACGATATTTACTGGTTTAATATTTGTGCCGTAGAATTAATTGAAATTTATTTCGTAACTACACAATTAGAGCCGCGGTATGAGATCATCGCTTTTTTGGATGATTCATAAATTTACGCCAGAAATGTTTTGTATGATATCTACTCATCCGAAAATTCATGAAAATTCATCTAATATCGAAAATAGAGCTGAAAGCAATTTTAACTTTAAAAAAATGAACCATGACTACAGCATACGCTCTTATCAATTTAATCATGATAATAGAATTGCGAATGAAAAAACTTCGTAATTAATTAGCGGCACGCTTGAGTGAAACTATGAGAAGAGAGGATATTCCATTCCATTCAGTTAGCGAGATCAAAACGGATAACTCAATAACCCAAAATATTCAATACAAGAGGAGTTTGCATAAGTCATCGACTATTATCAGAAGATGCGAAATTTTGTGAAATCAAAACAGACACTTCTTCATGAAAAATATTCCATTAATATTAATAATAAATATTAATGAAGTATTTTTTATTTGATTTGATTGATTTATTTAATTGATTTTATTTATTTTGATTTAATAAATGTTCAGTCGTGTGCTGCGATTCTGAAAAAATTTATTTCTTCTATTCTTAATAAAACCTTTGGGCTTCGTTCTTTCCTTCCTCATTTGGCTGAATTTGTCCTTTGGTACATTTTTATATTGTGTATAATCTTATAATTATATTTATCATTTTCATTTTTCAATTTATTGATATAAATTGTATAAATTTCTTTCTAGATATCGTAATACATGGCACGCATTCCTGTCATTATATAAAACAAATGGGTTCCGAGGCCTTTGGACTGGATGGATACCAAACTGTCAAAGAGCAGCTTTATTAAATATGGCTGGTAAGTGCACCTAATTGCAATTTTACTTAAGTATTTGTCCATAGATAGTACCTATTATTACCTGTTATTACCTATTATATGTGCAAAAATAATGAGAATAAAATTCATTTAAGATTTATAAAAATATGAGTGAAAATTATAGTTTGTTTTGCCATTTTATGACATCGCATCATGAAAGGTTTTCATTTTTATTTTATTTAGATTCTATTCGATTGTAGATTTAGCGACTTACGATCGATCGAAACGTTGGTTTTTATCGAAAGGAATGGGTGATAATATGCTTACTCATGCTTGCTGTAGTAGTTTATCTGGTTTGGCTGCAGCAGTAGTTTCTAATCCCGCAGATGTTATAAAAACTCGAATCATGGATCAGTTGACACGAGATACTATCACTTGGTTTGAAATTTGCATATTGTATATATATATATATATGTGTCTTTACATTTCGAAATTTATTAATTTATTTGGTCGATTCTAGCTCCATGAGTCAACGCAATTCTTATAAAGGATCCATCGATTGTTTGATAAAAATTATTCAACGCGAAGGATTCTTCACTCTTTACAAAGGCTTTATACCCACTTACATGCGAATGGTATTTGGCTTTCATTATTTAGATAGTATAAGTTTTTTAAAATTGCAGAAGAGTGTGTCAAATAAATTTGCACTTATGTCTGCAGTGATCTCTGCGCAAATTTTTTATTTTTTGTTGAGAAATTGTATAAATGAAAATCCTTTTTATCACTTGTACCCTCATTCTCGATTCTTTTATTTATCATTTAAAGCGTTGTTTTGATATTTGATTAAAAGCTAAAAAGCTGCAAATATTTAGTGGGTGAGGGGTCATGAATTGATGCGCAGTAGCGCAAAGTTTTAATCATATTTTTTCACAATATTTTAATGCTTTAGGCACCGTGGTCATTAACATTCTGGGTATCTTATGAAGAAATAAGATATTTAATGGGCGCAGAAAGTTTTTGATTGAATTCATAACGTCAATCTCAATATAAAGATAAGCAAGAATGATGAGCTGATGTTCAGAAATTTTTGGAAATTAATCCTTTCATCTCAAAATTTTTATTATGGATCGATATTATATTACTAAAATTTCTTTATTATTAAATTATATTGAAGTATAATAAGGATGATATTTAAGTTAATGAAAAGATTAAGGCAAAGCCTAATAAAATTGCACTTTTCAAAAAATGATGCATGAGAAAAATTAAAATTTTTCTCATCTTATCGTCCTTGCGTAAGAAATGACTGAAGCAAATCACCGATCGTTGACCATGGATTATTCGATGGTCGACCAATTTTCTTTAGCACATCAGGTAATTGTTTTAGTATGAAATGTTCCCATGAATTGTCAATTCCATTTTCCGCACCAATCAGTGCAGTTATTCCACCACCGTTCCATCGATCAGGTGGAGGTTTTGGTACTGGTGTCAGTAGTGAATCTAAAATAAAAATATCAAGTTTTCATTATTTCAATGAGTATATTGAAATATTTCTTTCTTTCTTTCCTTTGATATTGGCAAAATTTTTCAAATCTTAAAATATTATGACCAACTTCATAGATCGAAATTCGTTGAACAGTAAACCTGTAATATATCGCAGAGTGAAATATGAGGGATTTTTGATAGAGATCGATATTATATAGACTCGGTTGGTTTCAGAAAGTATTATTCCTGGTGCACCATTACAACATTGCCTATATTTTGATTGAATGATTATATTTATAATTAATAGTACATTGCAGTAAGGCAAATAAAGGTGACTAAAAATAAAAAAAAACATCAGCTATGAAAATTTTTATAGGTTTTAGAGAATTAATGAGAAGGTCTATCAGAAGAAGAAGATTAATCAGATAATTTATTTTTAAAAAGAATAAAATCTTGGAAACCTGAATCCAGTTTGTTCTAAATTTTTTTTATGTTTGATTTCGAGATAGTTGTCTGAGCAGGATGAGTCGCATACGTACGATGCGTCAAGAACTTCTAATCGGACTTTTCCTGTTGTGGACTAAAATATTTTTTTCCAGTATATGGTAATAACTAATTGATCAGATATGTTTGCGAATCAGTCAATTAACACAAATAACGCTGTTCTTCGAATAATATGAGTATGATATTCTCTGTTCTTCCAAACATAAAAATGAGACAACTTTTTCGCGAAAGTGCTCAATTAAATTAGTTTTTTTATTATATTGTGCTTTTTGATTATTTTTTAGCAAAAATGCTTGACCAACCGTGATCCGCCAGAAGCATTTTCCAACAGTCTTACTTTTCAAAGTTTGCCAGATTTGACTTGCTGTAAGCTCTCCACCACATTTTCCTTGAAAGCGATTAAATGTTTGTTTTTTAAATAGAAAATGATAAAAAAATCGTTATTTTTGGCCAATAGTTCCAATAGTTCCCAAGGACAGATTTAGATGAATTGTGATGCGATTCAGAAAGGGAAATTTAAAAGGGAAATTTTTGTCTTGAAAGAATTCATTAATTGCCAATTTACGAAAGTTTTTGAAACACTCATTTATCGATTGATTGTTCGCTTTGTCAAAAATTATTTCATCCATAAGGAGTAGATCTGTCATTGTGGTGTTTCCTTTTCTAATTGGTGTCTTACGGAAGAGTCATCTAAGCTTCTCATATTGGTAATGATTTGAGCCAGTTTGATCAGAAATGCCAGTTTGGACTATGAGAAGAAATTATTTTACCCGTTGAGTGTGGTATTGATTCACATCGGGTTCCAGACAAACCAGATGGGCATTTGCATACAGCACAGTTCCTGGGATTTTCATATCCTCCGTGTAGACAGTCCAGTTTCTTTCGACAACGATCTTTTAAATAATTCTATGAATCATTCATTGTCTTATGTTTAAAATCATTTTCATAAATGCGTTACCAGTGCAATGTTGAAGATGTCCAGTTAAAATCTAGATAAATCGAAGTTTAAAAGGGCTAAAAGAGAAATTGTTCCTAATTTATACGATGTATAATGTTTCCATGCAAGACATGAATCGTGGTTGAATTTTAAATTATTTACCGGTGTTTGGATATAAATTTTCAAAAACATTGTGGCAGGATGATCGGATGGTTATTTCAGGGGATGACTTTGGACGTCAGGCCTTGCGACCTGTCATTAAAAAATCTAGGTGGCCACCGATCCACTTCTATCGTGCTTCTATCGCCCAATGACTCCAGTAAACTTTCCATTATGCTAAATAATAGCCAGCGGAGTGACTAACCAGAGGTAATGAGCGTTAACCATTTCCTATTGTTTCTGCAAATAACTGCAAAAAGTTACCTTTGCAATAAAGTGTGTTCGCCTCTTTTATATCAATAAATGATAAATCTTTTCTTTGACCTATAGTATGTTGAAATCGATGGTCCTTCGTTTCAATTGTTAAAAAATTATAATCATCTGTAAAAGCCTGTAATGGCAAAATCATTATTGCATTACCGTTAAGTAGAAGAAATTTCCATATCACCAAATTTTATTTTTACTAAATTGCAAAAATGTGATAAATTAGAAAGTCCAAATGACGGGTACAATTACTTTAAATGCACCTGTGGGCCATAATGCATGACTGATCCATAGTCATATGTTGTACTGAGGTCAAGAATGTCGTCGCGTCTTTCAAAATTACCCTTTGTACCACTTATAAGGTGATCCTCATTTATATTTATATATCTGCAGAATTAATTCCTTCACATCAAATATTATCATTATCATTCATATTATCATAACTTCATAAATTTTACTTCAAGTAATTTAAAGATTTCTAAAAATTGTCTTGATTAATCAAAAATTTAATCTAAAATTTAAAATTGACTAGTCTAAGAATCAAAAATTTCACGCACTTATCTCGGTCAGGTCTGCTCTGTTCATGCCAAAATCCTATCGTATGTCCTAGTTCGTGGGCAACAATACCTTCCTATAATTAATTCATTCAAAGCTGTTGGATTTTTGATATTATATTGTATATTTATTCGTTCTTTTAATAATACTGGTTTTAAATTTTGAATTGGTTTTAATTGGTTTTACAATCGGTTTAAATTTTTAATTATTTTTTTATAATTTTTAATTAAATTATGAAGTTTTTAAATTTTCGTTAAATTTTTCGTTGAATAAAATTTGAACGTACACTTCCACATCCAAATCCAATTGAAGTATATTGCTTTCCACCTATTCGTCCAACGCTTGAATAACAACTGCAAAATTATAAATTTTTGAACAAATTTTAACATTTCTAATGAATTTTTTTAATTTTTAAAAATTTTACCCCGCTCCTTTAAAGATGTGAACATAGTCTTTTTCTGCACTCCTTTGTTTAAAACGAATACAAGTCTCAGTCTCCCACTTTTTCATTCCCGAAAGTATTAATTTCTTCCATTCGCCTAAAAAAAATCCATCGTCGATCAATCTCTCAGTTCATTTATCTCCAAGTGACTTTGGCAAAATGGTCTCAGTGGAACCAACCAAACTAGAAATTGCACAGGCAGTTTGGACTGCATTCAGAATATTATGGTTTGATTTATTTTTGAAATCTTACTGTCGTTTTCTTTTAAAATATAGGGAATGACTTGGTTTGGCCATCTAAATGATTCTCCAATTATCGCTTTCCGTTTCGTTCGTTTTATTCTCCTATTCACTGAAAATTTTAAGTTTATGACAAAACGAAATATTTTTTTATTTAAGATTTTTTTTCCTACAGCAGATAATTTTAAATATTATATAAAAAGAATAGGAGATTAAAAATGGTTAGAGAATAAATTAACTTTCGATTCAGTCTTGCATATTTTCTCATTCATATCATATCAGTGTTTCCATTCATCGCAGCTATGAGTTGCCTACCACATATTTTAGGTGTTACGTGTTATCACGTCAGGGACCGTCATATGTGGCGTTGAATTTTGTGTTCGCTATATGCAAATGTTGGCAAAAATCGTTGTTATCGGGAAAACGAGCTTAATTTTTGAGAGACCAATCTTGACTATTGACTATTACTAATAAAATGTATTCATTTAAATGTTGCAGATAAATTTTTGGCTATAAGTCGGGCATGAGAAAAGCAGAACATAGAACGTGAACGGCTTTAATAACGATAGAAACAAGCGAATAGATCATTATTATATTTAATAATGGCTATCGATAAGGATTTCACCTGCCATGAACTCATTAGTCTAAACGAACTAATTAATTCCATGTCCATTTAGCTATTAGTGTGTTACATTATAAATTTAGAGTAGCTAACTTGGCAAGAATCGATCTGCCAATAGAAGCACCCGCGTGGTTACCTCTCTTTATTCAGTTAATCTCCTTGCTACTATGATGAGATCCTTTGGGAATAGGATTGCAAATGGATCCTCCATTATCACCCTACACCTTAATCAGTTTTCTAGCCTATAGTTATGACATCCCTAGGATGAAAATTTTGTTTCAGTTTTTAGACAAAATATAAATTAAAAGAAAAAAGAAAAAATAGATTTTTTGCCTTTTCGCCTATTATAATTTTCTATCAATTTCCTTAACTGTGGTACAGTTAAAATAAGATCAGTTTCGAATACTTCGTCGAGAATTTTTCTGTTTGCATGATATTCAGTACGATCCATGACTTTGTAATTAATTCGTTTCTATAATTGGATTATATAAAAAAGCTGATGGCGTCAAAAGGACTAAACTGAGTTATCTCTCATTTCTTTACATATACGTTGATAGCATTTCTTTGTTCTTCAACACGAAAGTTAAAAAATTGCTGTTTCCATTCAGAGAAGAAGAAGAGATATGGAAATAAATTTTGCAAACTGTTGACGAATTGTCAAGCAAAATGATTCTCTTCGTGAAGCCAGTGTGATAAAATCGCTTTTATACCAGTTTTTTAGCTTTTTTCACCGTTAAAAATGAATTAATTTGTTTTTTGTAATCGTCCAAATTATTATTTTGTTTTAAAGGCTTACCGAACCAAAATTAGATCGCCTTTGAGGAGTCAGTGGAACATCTGCCGAAAGCTTTAAAAATCCTTTGAGAAGCGCTCGAGCTTCCTCGATACCCTCATTGATATCTCTTTTACTAAAATTGATTTATGGTACTCAAATTATATTCCCACGATTCCTTTAAATCTATGAAATTTGTTTATAAATGTAATAGTTAATATTTGATGTAAAAATTTCAATTGAAATAAAAGTTCTTTTGAAGGTACAACTAAAGTTTTAAAAAAAAATTACTTCCTTCTTACTACTGTTTCATCTGCTCGAGGTAAAGCGAATTGAGCATATAAATAGTCGTTAGAAATGATAAATAATAATAATATATTCGTTGCATAATTAATTTTTATTTGCACTGAAATTAAAGATAAAAACTCGCGTTTGTACAAAATGTAAATAAACATTGAATAGAGAGCACTGGTTAAATGGTTTTGACTGGAAGTTCGGAACATAGATTCGGTTTCGGTCGCTTGACGAAAGTAAACCCTATGATTAAAATTGCAATCCAATATACTGGTGGGGGCCCGCATATGTATTTGCTCAAGTGAATTTTGCAAAAGGTCTCATCTCAACAGCCAGTAGGGCGAGCCAAACTAGAAATGATATGCTGTTAGCAGAAAAATATAGAAAAAGAACCAGAAATATCGAGTATTGTTGAAGCACGAGGCATTAAGATAATTTTATTAAGCTTTCCTCTGCTATCATTGCAAGGTATTTAATTTAATAAATTTTATAAAGAAATCTTACTTCTTTTCAACCATATTATTTGCCTTAGATAGCTAAAATAAGAAATTGGAGGAGTAGATGATGAGTCGGTTAAGTATGTAAAATGCAAAGAAATGCTGAATTAAAGTGACGATAGATCCGAAACCAGTTTGAAGAGGAATTTCGATAGTTTCTAATAATTGCTTCACCAAAGGCATGCATGTCTCCTACATTTGACAATTCTCATTTCTTTACTTGAAACTGGTATTGAGCGCTTGGCCAATGACCATTAATTTTAATTTCATTTCTATGTATGCGATTTATTTGCATGAAAAATGCCGATTAAATATTTATTTTTCATATATTATGAAAATGGAAAATATAAAACAAACCTGCCATGTTTTCATCACTTTGTTAAACAATGAACTTTACCTTATTTGAAGTTTCGAGAATCGCTGAGTGGCTATAACACAGTCATCCCGAGTGGTGCTGGCGATCCACCTGCACTATGATACCATATAACTCCCCAGCAAAAACTACAGCCAACTTACTATAATTTTTACTACAACTTATACTATAGCCAGCGAAGCTCGCCCAACCAGAAATGAAAGCCAGTCACTTTTTCATTTACTAGTACTTTACCTCCACATTTATGCATATAAACAATTAGCAAGAAATAATAAAATCAATTATTAATATATCATGAAATTTATTTGCATTATCACAATACTTGGCAGTGTTAGGCAATCTCAGTTTGTTCCTTTAACGAGCTCATTTGACAAAGGATTTAGTCCACCGATAAGCTGGTAAAACTAGCTGGTAAAACTACAGCGAAACCGGTCTCAAGAAGAGTGGCTATATTTGTTGTTCTTCAGCCATCACAGAGGAAACTGAGATTATTCAATATTTCTGGAGCTCGATAAAGTAAATATGATTTATGAAATATTGATATATCTCAAGTTTAAGCGAAGATGCTTTTGAAGAAAATCAATTATTTCTATGTATACCATATAAAAAAATAGCTTGGGAAATCTAATTATATTTCAAATGATTCAAATATGATAAAATCGGTGTTTTCAGTACTGAAAAGAACTCGGAAAAGAATAAGTCAGCAATGCGCCACATGCTTCATTAAATATGAAAATCTGGCAAATAACACTAATTCATGGTGAAAAATTTTTTTGAATGAGTGATATTACTCCATAATAAATGCTATTGGAAAATTTGTCGCTAAGAAAAGGAGACTCGCGAAAAATGACAACAATTTTCGTTACTTTTTCGTTATAATTTAGGAAGCATCTGCTACAATTATTTTCTAGTTATAAAAGTAAGAAAATGGTAAGATTTTCACAAGGAATTACCGGATTAACCTGAAATTATTAAGTGATACATGACAATATGAAATGAATTTAACAGAATCCTATTCATCTTTTGGTGAATGATTTCTAAGTTGATAATAACGAGCTGCTATTGAATCTTTCCGTCAACAATCCGAGATATCCATTTCATTTCATTAATTTCATTATCGAAATCCGCATCATTATCACTATCATTGTCACCATTAAATTTTATTGTTTTATTAATAATTCCTAATTATAATTGATTCCTTTTCCATTCATGGAACAAATTATGTGGTAAATTATTGGCATAAAATTCACTATTTTCATAAGAAAATAAAATTTATTTCAGAATTTTTTTTGGAGGATAAACAGTAAGGGGCATAAGGTAAAGTACTGTCGAATGATATATTGCTTTGATTATCGTGCTAGCCATTGATACCTATGGCCTCAAAACACTCTGGCCAGAAGGCTTTATTTTAGAACTTAGTAGAGGAAGGAAGTTAAATGGTGAATATTGTCAGAAGAAGAAAGTATTAGAATAGCTTTTTTATGAAATGTGGAAATTACATTTTGTGCTTCTTGTGAATCTATCAATGTACTGTGAATGTTGAAATAATTCACTATTTTTGGCTTTTAAAATTCTTTAATATCCCTCGTCTTTTTCAGTAGAATCAGTAATTTTAGTTATTCAAAGGAGTCAAAATTTTTTAATTCATTAAATTAAACTTGAAATTATTGTTAAGGAAATGGAGACTTATAATTCTTTTCGATTTTTTAAAATTTCGTTTCTTTCGCGAAAAAAAAGAATTGCAAACTTCAGCGACAAATTTGCAGAAATTTCTAAATTTATGAATTTACTAAATATATTAAATTTACAAATTTAAATTATTTATATTCGTAATTCACTAAATTTACGAATGGTACCATGCGGAGCGAGTGGTGTACCATTTCCGCTTCAAAGTGCTAAGTGGAAATATCGATGTGCCATGGGGACAAAAGTGAAAAAGAAGGAGAATTATGAGGCGAGGATAATTGCTGATGAAGCAATATTTATAAAGCAGCGAAACGAACATTCGCATAGCTTTCATTCTAAACAAATTACAAAACCATTCCAAATTTTTTTCAAAAGCATTTTACGAGATTAATATCTTCATTGTGGCAATGGTTAATGTATCATTACATGTATATTTTTCCAGCTTAATTCATGTTTGGTTTAAGGCGCGGCTTTATCCGCGAAATAGACGAGAAAAATAATAACGAAGGCGTCGTCGATGACGATATCAATTGGGATTTGTGACGAGATTGACGACAGACGGCAAAGACAAGCAAGCAAGCAAGCACACATGAGGAGAACATGGAAGTATCCATCCGATCTTGGTTTCTCACATTTATTGGATATTCCATTGTCCGTCCGTTTCATGCAATAAATTCATGCCGAAATCATTACTTTTGCTGTGATTTACATTTTATAAAGTAAATTCTTCATGGATCATATCCTCAACCGGTTTGTAGCCAAATACGTACCGATTTATATAGCGACATTTTATTTTATTTATATAGTTTATCAATCTTTTATATTGATTATTTGCCTTTTAATGTAACTCAGATTTTCTCCTTTTATTTTCTTCATCGAACAACAAATCATTGACCAGATGTATTGGCTATAAAGATTCTTCGAGATTCTTTTCAGCGGAGAGTTATTTAAGGATACAAATGAGTTCATAACATCTCCCGCGACTACTAAATCGAGCCTATTGACCTAAAAATAGAACCACTTGAATATCTCTTTATCTCCTACTCGTTAAAAAATTTTTTGAAAAATATGGATGTTTTCCGGTAATATTTTCATTCTAATATAAAAGATCACACAAGCCATCAGCAGCAAATCGTAATTCTGCCTATCAACCTTGTTTTTTTATAATTTAAATTTATTGTTTGATATATATTTGCTTGATCAAATGTTCGACCTAATTATATTTCCAAATTGTTTCTATCCCGATAACTGCCTATATTCTTTACGTAGAATCAACTTTTCTGACGCAAAAAACTTAGAATAGTTTCAAAGAAGTTGTACCTGAAATGAAAAAAATTAATTGATAAAACTGTTCATGAAAATGATATGAGTAAGTAAATTAGCATTTTTCGTTAGACTGGCTGTTGGAACGGTGAGACGCTTGACTGAAAAATCATTTGGAGATAGAATTATAGATATAATTTGGAGATAAATCCCCAACGCTACTCATATTTTTTAAAGGCAATGCCAATTTCACGAAGGCTGAAGCCAAACTCTTATAATTGGAGTTATTCTTCGTTAATTCGATTAATTTTTCTCATTCACCGAAAAACAATGAATTAGTAAATTATTAACCTATTATTAAGGAAAAAAAATTTTTATATCAATAATAATTTGGTATTTTTTTATATTCGAATATTATTCAGTGATGCATGATGAAGATTGTCGTCTTCCGAGTCTCGACTGGCTTACGGAAGCACCAACTAAATCCGAAGAATCATCGGTGGCTAATGATAATGAGAATCAGGTAAATTTAACATAAATTATTCATTAGCGTTGAAATTTTGGTGATTTATTCCGACAATTCAATAAACATAATTTGAAGTTTTGATGAATTAGAATATTGGTTTCCATATGTGATTTCTCCATTTTTCAAGGGTTTATTTCAGAAATTTTTCAGTCCTTTTTCTGATTTTTTTTGTCCATATTTGAATTCCTATCGTAATTTTTGTATTAGCGAATCACAAAGCTATTATGGTAATTTTATTGTCAAATATTCTTCTTATTCCATCATTGAAAATAACTATAAAAAGAAAAATAACTATATGTCATTCTCCATCCAACATCAAATAGAATTTCTGGCTTCCTTTAATTGCTAAACATTTTTGCCTTTTTGGCAAATAGTCAATTAGTGATAGGGATCTTATGGTTCCTTAGCGTCCATTGGAGCTTTCTACTTTCTTGCAGGATCATGTTTCAGCTGAATCAATAAACTCAATCAAATACTCATTTAAGAATATATTATTTTTCACGTTTACATTTGCATGAAATGATTGCTGAGAAACCTTGAAAATCCAGATGGAATAATCGATGCGATAATGGCATAGCTTGTGGTTTAAAAATTGCCATATGTCAATCACACTTTTATATGATATCGAATGAGATTATTTTAAATATTATTTCACCTTTCATATTTTAATTCATCTTATTCATTCGATTATTTACCTTTAATTTTTTTATCTAACGAATCATAAGATTTAAGATTTTAGTTCTTTTCATTCTTTTCATACTTTTATGAAGAATTATGAAGAAAATGTTCTTTATTAAATCAGAGCAACTGGAGAACTGTGTGCTTGAAAATTTCACCACTTTAAGAGCTAAAAATAGGTGAAATTGATCTTCTCTTGTCATATTATACCATATGCATTAATATTTTATTAATATTCATAATTTTTTTTCTAATAGCGCTCACCATTTCTGGTTAGATGCGCTCCATTGGCTCGTTGGACCAGAGAAATTTTGCTAGGGATCTAGGGATTCAGGTAAATCAGCATTATCCGCATAATAAGGCGAGAAAAATTTAATAATAAAATAATAAATAGATTTATAAAAAAGAAATAATGAAAGATAACATGAATTTGAAAAAATAAAAATTTTTCATTTTCATAATGGAAATAATTCAATTATGGTAAAAAAAAAATTAGTTTTGACCGTAATATATTTATTTCATTTGGATAATATTGGTTATTAAAAGGTGGCTGTTATATATTATAAAATATTACCGACAAACTATTTATAGCAATAATTATATGAATGAGTGCAAATGAGTTGGTTATTAATCAAATGGTCTCATAAATATTTCCTATTTCGATTCGAAATCCCTCCAATATGATTTGCTGATAAGGTGAATTATCAGCATCTTATCGATCATTTCTCATGACTCGTTATTTAGCGAAATTAAATGGATAAAGCGATGAAAGCGAAGCGATGAACTCGTTATGTTGAGACTGATTTTTTCATTGGATCTCCCGTTTTTTTGTAAATTTGTTTAAGCAAAATTTATTGAATATAAGCAGATTAGATTTTTGCTAAATGATAACAACTGAAGCAATAAATCATTCCTTATTCAGTCTTACTGATAAAAATCAAAATTTTAACAATATAGAATAATTTTAAATGTATGCAAAATTGTGAAATACCAAAGTAATGGAGCAAAAAATAAGAAATTTCCATTTTCAGTTGCTTGGAGGATTGACTCACAACCATTTCTTATTTAGCTAACTACAATGGTCATTGGAATGACTACCTTTCCGCAGAGAATCACTTGGATAAAGAATCGCTAGACCGTAGCACCACTGAGATTACATTTTCAATGACTTTCGCTTATCGCGTCAAGGAATAGGGAACGAATTTATCATAATTTAAACTTGGTCCAAGCAGTTTTCTAACAAGCTGATATGCTATTCGATTATCCTGTCGCGATATTATTTTACTTCTCAACCTCAAAAATTTTAAAAAACACCCAATTTCTGAATATCTGAAAGACCTATTGAAATCTCATTCAATCTTTTTTTTACGCTAAAACAGTGTTAATTTAATTTTGAATCATAAGCGACGATTTCTTTAATACTTTAACTGATTAAACGTGGTTTTTTTGTTTGTGCACTGTTTCAGGTTAAACGATGTCCGATAAGCAATAGGAAGGGATTTAATGCCTTACATTGCATGCCTTCGGGTGATGCTGGCGATTCACCTGTATATCTATCGCCAAGAGACTCCTTAGCATATTTGTCCAATACGGTAAGACAGTGGAGCAATTTTAACCAGTAATGGTGAGGACTCTTATAAAAAAGAAAAAAAGTACTACATGCTTCCTACCTGCATTATAAAAAAATTTTTTTCAAGTTTTCTAAATATTTGAGGTAGATTTTAAGAATAATTCATTTTTACCCTTTGAATAATTTAATTATTCATTTAGTGAGTGGATAATTAAAATGTTCCAACAGATTTAAATTCGCAAAATTTTTTTTTGATTTTAAATAATTCCAAATTTTGTCATAAGGAAAAGTTTTTTTTCGAGCGAAGTCAAAACTGAATGAAAAAATTGAAAATTTTCAAAAATGAAAAATGAACGGCAAAAAATAAAGCTATTTCTTGAGGAAATATTTTAAATATTTCGTCATTATTGAGATTTCGTTTAGTAAAATTATTTAAACATAATTTAAGATCAAAATTTATTTCATTTTCGAATATAACTTACTCTATTCGCTGCAAAAAGTTTTTTTGACAATGAATTAAAATATGAACCGAACACTGACTACTGTAAATGGTTAGTATTCGCTATTTTTGGTTGAACTCGCTTTATTGGCTGTTGTTATGCAAAAAATTTTTGGCAGTCAATTACTTGGCGATAGAAATTACACATGTGCCCCAGACAAATCTAATGAAAGATGAAAGTTTTTGTCGACAGAGCTTAATGCTGGAGGCGATAATATAAGCTACGAATCAGCTATTCTTCGTCTATTCTCTCAATCCGATCTCGTTTCAGTGTATGTTATTAAAGATAAATAGGTTTAAACTGGTAGTTTAATCAATGTTTAATTTCTTGTTGTTTTCCATTTTTCCAGAATAAGCAGTAATTTAGAATTTTCGAAGAATGATTTTTTAAAATTGCAACAATATTCATAGATAATAATAAAATTAAATGTGCAAAAATGTTTTAATGTTGAAAAATTAAAATTTATGTGAAGACAGCCTTTTTTAAATTAACATATTAACGCATGTGCATTGTTTTTCTTGAACGAAACTGAAGGTCTTCTTATGAAAATGTACAAAGCCTCTTCTTGACTACAATACTACGTGTTATTCCCCGAGATACCACAAATCAAGTAAAATGATTGAAGGACTCTAGAAATATTTTATATGTCGCCTCTATCCTAATAGCAATTTTATTTATAAAACACAACTTCAACACTACAACCTGGATTTCCTCTCTTATCGAATTAAACATTTGAATTAATAAATATGGTTATGTTAATGTAGATTGTTCAAAATATTACAATTTTATGTTAAACCCAACAAGATCTAATGGGCTAAAATTACTAAAAGCTATATGCAAAATTAAACTAAAGGCTTATGACTTCTTAATTCGCACTATTAATTGCTGGACTAATACTCAACGATATAATTTGTGCGTTATCCTTAGCTATTTTTAAAAAAAAGATTAGATAGTATCATTATGATATTATTTAAAAAGTTCACGTGCAAGAAGTTTGAAATTTGAAATTTTGATTTTCACCATTTGATTATGTATAAGTAATACATTCACTACGAACAGTCCTTTTTCGTTACTCCTCCTTATTAATTTTTGTCATCATATGTTCTTTTTATCTTTAATTTTTATTATTTGTTATTTTAATTATGATGTTATCAATACAAGCACACGCGCTTGCCGACCAGCTTGGTTGGTTTTCAATAAACAAATACAAATATAAAAATATTAATATAATGCTGTATTTATTTGGTGAAATTTTGTTTAAAGTGATAACTGATTAAAGATATTAATTGGTGGCGATATCGACTTTTCAAGAGATGCAATAAAACCTCCATATAGCTACGCTCAACTAATAACTCTAGCGATGCGACATCATCGTAACTGCAAAGTACTTTTAAGTGATATATACGATTATATAAAGACGAATTTCGCTTGGTATAGGAAAGCCGATTTAACTTGGCAGGTAAATTCTTCATCGATAATTATGATTTGCTAACATTTTAGTTCGTCTAATAATGTCTCTCATACATAGCTTTAAATTACCTATCGATGAATTTCTACAGTATTTTGTTTCCTTGTTAATATTAGTATTTCGTTAATTTCTTTTCTGTCACTTATTTAAGCGTGCTTATTCATTTGTTTCATCTTCTAAGTAAATAAATTTTCTGGCCAAGTGATTGCAATGATTTAGGTCTCAAGAAAAAAAGCATTTTGACTAGCTTATAAACTCCTTTGTTATTAAAAATTTCTATGATTATTGCATCAATTTTAAGGAAATTTCTTTTCTGAAATTGAATATTTATCTAATTACATTATTTATGACTAAGTCTTCCTCAATATTTGATCCAAATGAGCATTTTGAACATTCTTTAGTGTAAGTTTCAAATATATTAAGTAATTTTTCAGAATTCAATTCGACATAATTTATCACTGAACAAACAATTCGTTAAACTTCCTCGTAAAGAAGGAGATAAAGGCAAAGGCTCATATTGGATTTTGGATCCCAATGTGTAATCTTATTACATCATCTTAACTTATCGTCGAGTAGATTTAAGGAAGGATTTAGGAATTTCTGTAATTAATCTGAAAAATTCGAAATTTAAAAGTAAATCAAAACTTCAAATATTTAAATATTATAAAAGTCTAATAATTTCACTTTATATATCGATAGGAAAAAATTATGAAATAGCGACATCATTACATTTCAAAGATTTCGCTTCTTTTATCCTTTTTTATGGAGAAAACAAATTTCTAAAAATTGATATAAAACAAAGAAAAAGATAGGAAAGATAAAATTTAAAATTTATAACCAAATTTAATTTTATAAACGCAAAAAAATTTTGAAACAATTTTCTAGTCCCGATCCGCTCTCTACAAAAACGAAGAAATCGGCTTATACGCAAACGAAATCCAAATCTATTGAAACTATACCCAAGCTAAATCCAGCATTATTGCCCTATTTAAAGAAATATCAAACTTGTGGTGGTGAGTTTTATTATTCTAATTCCCCAAAGTGGCATAAAGTCGATCCCAAATTTGATTAAATCGTGCCTTAGCTGAAATCGCTCATAATCATTTCGTTCATAATCGAGTTGAATAAATGAACTTAATAAGCATAACTAGATTGTTAACTTTATTTTTTTTGCTTTATTATTTATTATTTATTCATTTCTTTCAAGTATACTTTTAAATTGTGAAATATCATCCTCTATCCTTTCGTTATCCTTTAATAAATTCATAAAATTCCTATGTATTCGTCATACAAAAGCAATCTCGATTCTCGAATGTTTCTAAATTAAAGAAACGAATGACGCCTTTTATATATATTTTATATCTAGCAATTAGCAATCGCAGACCAGTATATCTTATAGCGCCATTAATTGACTGGCTAGTACTTTCATTTTATTTACTGACATTTGGGGCGAGGAAGTAGAATTAACGTCAACACAAGATATTTAGAAGTATCGTACATCGATCTGGATAGTGGAACTTCGATATCGATGGATGCGAAAATGATTTGTCAACTGGATAATCCAACAATTGATGTTGTCGATTACGATTTCGCTACGCTCGAAAGTATTCTAAAAACTACTAAAATTTTTAGTACTAATAGTACTTCAAGAACATTTTGAAAAGTCATCTTGTACTTGGTTATTATAGGTGAATTTGGTTCTAATAACTGCGGCGATTTGCGAAATTCCTTCGAGGCGAATGAATATTTTGACGAACAGGTAAATTATAGGATTAATCGAATTGAATTTCATCCCAGAAGGTCTATGTGATATTTAAACCATTCGTTAAACGCAAAACTTATAAAAGACTCTAAAATTCTTGATTCTAAAAAATGAAGCGAAAAAAATATGAGAAATTTTTTCTTTAGAAAGTTCAGCATTTCTAGAACGAAAAGAGTTCGAGGAAGTTATTAAAAATTGTACTAATTCTGAGATTTGCTAAAGATGTCTAAAAGATGCAAAGTTTTGATTTTCTTCGTGTCATATTTGATTCGGCTAGTTTAAGTATTCGGCTAAGAATAAGGCCTTTGCGCCAGAGGACTGCTTGGATCGATAGGTATCCAATAGCCATTCGCTAAAGATTTACCGCTCTCGAGAGGTAGGAATTGAATCCTTGCTGTTTGCGTGATAGACGAAGCTACACACTGCTATTCCAGCTTGCTTTGTCTTTTTTTCCTCTTTTTGTTTATTTCACTGAAGATATTTTATACTTATTTTAATTACTGGCATATGCCATCATAAAAGTAGGATGAAATGTTTTCGCCAGAGAATTTTTCGGGATTGAAGTATGTGGGGGCGGATTATATTGAACTGATAATTTTTAACGGCTCAAATTTTTGGTTTTTAAATATAAATATAAAAATATACAAAGGCCGTACATTTTTTTTACAGCAAGTGGAAATGAAGACACCTAATGTTTGGAAACAAAACGATTCATTAAATTGGTCTTCGATGAGTTCGTTTTTCTCCTTGAAAAAGCAACAAAATAAATAATAATAATATTGGCAATAATATAATCAATAAAATTCGAAATCAAATTGCAATATGTCCTTCTCTTCACAGTCATGCGAAAAAAGACCATACAATCTCATATCATTAGCCAGGGAATCTTTTTCGTACCATTAACAACATTGGTAGGTTTGTAAGAACGGTGAATGAATTCGATTTTAAAGTAATGTGTAAAAGCACAAGGTAAAATGTTTCATGTAAGACAACACAACATTCCCATCCATGTCATAGACTCTCAGGTAGTTCGTTAAGAATCCAACTTTTTTTCCCAAGAGAATTGAACCAAATTGAACAACCTGAATAAAAAAGGAATCGAAATAAATATTTGCTGGCTTATCGGATTAGGTACATTTTTCTAAATGATAGATGCGTAGAGATAGAAGCAAGCATAGGAAGCAAGCATAGGAGTACAGTGGGTCGCCAACACCGCCCACAAAACAAATTTCGAAAAATAAATTTACTTTGTCGTGAGTAAAACCGCAACACTGGCCAAGTCATTTCAAAAATTCCAAGAATCTTATAGCATAATTACAATAAAGTTCTTCAAGCTTGGACTTTTTTTTAGATATAACTACTGTATTCATATTTTTTCAATAAAAGGTCTTCAAAATCTATCAAATTATAAATTTGTATTTTGAGGCGATTCGTATTATTCGCAATCATATAATCACTCAGACTTACAAGCATATCCAGTGATAAGTGATCGTTTAAGTCCGACATTTCAAACACACCCATGGCAAGATCTCGAGCTCAAATCGAATGATGATTATTTATCTCTCGATTTAATTTCATAATATTTGAATATAAAACCTGGAACTGTTCAAATTTTTTCCTTCTTTTCATATTCCGCATTTTTTTCTACTTGGTGCTTTACCGAAATCATTTGTTAATTGGAATATTCAAACTAATTGTTATTTTTCAAATAATGGGATTTCGGAAATTTACTCTAAAATTTACAGAAATTCAGAATCTTTTAAAAATTTACTCTAAAAATGATCGCAAAATAATTAGTGAGTTATTTTTCATCTGTTGTGTATTCTTGGATTAATAAATTTTTTTCCAATATTAAATGATTGCAATTTATTCTATTATTTTAAAATTTTTCTTAGATTAAATCGAACGATTCTGCAATTTAAAGAATTCAGCAATTAGAATAAATAGAAAAAGTTTTTTTAAATACCTTGGAGGCACAAAAGCAATAGCTGCAATAATTTAGATATGCAAAATTAAAAAAATAATACAACAGAAACCCTATGAGAAATAAATGAATAACCTTAACTCAAGGAAAAGAAAATTCACCACAGTTCAGCCTGAATAATCTGAACAAATCCAACTAAATGATATAAAATAATTGTCAATACTGCAATAAAGTAAGTGATAGGAAAACTCTACCCTTTCAAATTTATAAAATTAAAAGCAAATAAAAATAATTGAATTTATTCTTCTAAGTGAAGAAAAAATATAGCAGGAAAAAGCATGAAAATCACTCATTGGCTACAGCAAATATGGCGATAATATAAAGGTTAATATTTCAATCACCACCAAGTGAAAAATGCTGAGCGAGTTTGCACTTTCTGTTGATAGGTCTCGAACCAACTTTTTGGCATTTCAGAAGCACCTGATGATGATGCACTCGCCGCTTCACTTTCTTCTGCACCTGAAACTTTAAAAAACAAATGAATTTCAATTTATATGCTAAACCGTCAGGCCAACACGAAATTATTTAAGATTTCATGTAACCATATCAAGTTGGCCATAAATAACGAATACAAGAACAAGCTGTAAGCCTCCACACAAGGTCACAGATCAAATAAAACTGACTGGTTTAAGACACGTTTTAGATTTAGATAACACCTATTAAAACATGGCCTTTTTTTATAATATTTGTTATTTATTTATTTGCAATATTTATATCCATACAACGGTGATTTCCAATAATGCGGCAGTTGCAAGTGTCATACATATACAAATAATTATTACAATTTCGAAAGACTATATACTACAGAATAAACACAAAATAAAACCCGACACGTAGCACCAAATTACTAGTTAACTTATGGAAAAATAGAAAGAAATTATGTATCAGAATTTATTTATATAAGGCAAGTATAATTTTACCCGCTGATTCAGTAGATTCATAATGACTTTGAGCAGTTTGCGAGTTTCTTGAACGATGCTTGCGTGAAGCTGACTGACGCTTTCTCCTTTTTTGTTTAATTTCTACCATTAACTGCGCAGGCATCTTTTAAAAAAAGCCTTATTATCCGAAACCAAAAAACCGAAACCGAAAAATCATAGGAAAAATAACAGAAAAATCGATAAAGAACACCCATTTTTACCCAATAAAATGAAAAATAAACTAATTACTAAATAAATCTTCTAAATATAGAACACAATTTTTTTGAAAAAAAAACCAAAACCTCTTCGAAATCAGTAAATGTTAAAAATAAAGAGAACTTTAAGAGAAAAAATATATTTATAATGAACATTGGAGCGAATAATATTTTAAAAAATATTTAATATTTAATATTCTAAATAAAAATTTTACGAAATAACCTGGACAAGCTGTAAAGGAGATTTCCTTTGCTTGAGTGCCTCGCATAAATTAAATATTTGACCTCTCATTACACTTAGCTGTAGTTCAAATATCTTTTTATCAAAGCCAAGATCTTCCTAAATGCATGATTAATGTTTGATCCGAAAGTAATTTGTTGAAATTACCAGAAATTTTCGCAATATTTTTGTGACTTTCAAGATTTATCGGATAATCTGTTGACAATTATCAATTCTTTTATGAAACGAATTATCAAAAAATTTATTCGAGACAGCATTAATTCCAATTTTGAAAAATGAATTGGCGTAAAAATTGCAAGAAAAGAAGGCAAACCTTGAAAAGTTTTTTCAGATCGTTGCACAATTCCTTGACACAATTCACATTGTCAAGAAATGGTAAAACCAAATCAACAATTTCTTCGCTAAATGGTTCTTTTGCCATAGGCAACCATGCCCATCGATATGGATCTACAAAAAACTGAAGTACCACCACCAAAATATTACTAAATGAACAACAAAAAAGTGAAACGAAAACGAAGACTAACAAGTGCGCCATTCATCGGGATGTTTGATGGGGAAAGCTAAACCATTATCGATAGCTGCTATCTTAATCGTAGGCATTGACACATGGTTCCAATTTTCATCATCAGTGACATCAATTTTATGTGCTGAAAAAGAAGTGATATGATAATAATTGTAAAGTCCCTCGAGAAGTAAATATGCCAATAAGACTAAGACTAAAATTCGGGAAGCTGCAAACCATTTACACCTATTCCGCTAGTGACTCTACGGCGAAAGAGTCATTTAAGAGTCATTTTGCCCTAATAGCCACTGGAGTTATGCCATTCAACATAAAATTAAGTAATAAAATTCGCAAAAATGAATAAATCCATTGAAGTTAAAAAAAAAAAAATCAGCAGCTTACATGACAAATTTTCAGTAGCCATATAGAATTCACCATCATTTACTTGAGGAGGAAAATCCTGCTCTGACTTTTCGACACTTTCACAACGTTTGACTTCATGAAAATTCTCATCCATTTTAATTAAATGCTCGTTCTCTATATCAACCTTAAACACTTGTAAAAAAATTGAATAAAATAATTTCAAATACGATAATTTAAACAAATTTTAAATGATAAATTTTATTCAAGCAATTTACCATATTTTACCTTCAACCAAATAAATTTTCCTATCCATAACCATTCTCATGCCATCGAAAAGTATTCAAATTTTGTGAAGAGCAAAATATTCAAACATAACAAACCTGTTGCACTGAAGGGTTAAGTTTTTGAGGAATATGGGTGTCTGCAGGTTCATACTTAATCAACCAGTTATCATTGCCACGATCTTAAAAGGTAATTTAATAATTTCAGGAACTGAAAGATCCTCAGATCAAAAAGCAGTTACCAAAAGTTAACTTTAAAGGAAAGCAAATAGAATGGTTTCATCCCCTGAGAACAAATCTACCGTTAAAACAATTCAAGTGGTTTAAGAGTCGTACGTCCATCCCAAAGTAGTGCTCTGGTATAAAGGACTTATTCTAGTTGAAACCGAATGGAGCTATCCGAAAAAATATGATGAAAGTACCAAAATTTACCAAAATTTAAAACGATTATAACATCTTCAAACATTTTTTTTTCCACTATCTAAAGTAGAAACAACTACTAATACTCATCGAAAAACTTTAAAAGCTTAGGCGATGGAAAACAGGAGTGGTTTCAAATAATACTAAGCATGCTGATAAGTCTGGAAGTATCTTATCTCTCTAGGTGAAGATAGCCAAATTAGAAATAATGCGCGCCGTTTGAAGACGCGAAAGGCGAGGCAAAAAAGATAAACCTGTATTACGAATAATATAATCGAGCACAACGAGTTTTTCGAATTCCAACTGAAGTTGTTTTCTAGTAACTGGAGGTGGTTGTTGCTCAGGATGTAATTCCCACTGACGTAACCAATAACTTGCATCTTTATAACCTTTTACAAATAATTGAAAACTTCCAGTCTGAAATAATCAAAAGCACTCTAAAAAATCCTATAAATTAAATCCCTAAATACATTTGATTTAGCCGAGGTATCTATTTCGATATCCTGGGAAGCCAATAAAATCTTCCTTAATACACCTTTCGATACTACTGAATAAACTATTTCCTTATACGATTCTCTTTATTCTCTCAGGCCCACCTTGACTTCTAGTCAGTGTTATCCTTTACTATTCTATACAAATCACGGCAATCTGAGATTAGACGAGGAAAATAACAGAGGTGAATGGAACGTTTTGAAGCAGTTAAGATAACATTAATCTAATTGCTCATGGCAAAAGAGGATTACGAGAGTAATAAAGGGAGTTTGGAGAAATCGTTCACAGAACAAGACAAGGAACATCTATGAATAGTCAATGGAAATTTTTCGAAATTCAAAGTAAGCATGCCTTTTTCCAGAAACACATAAACACAAAGTAAATAAGTGCTTCATTTTCTTTTTTTATGTTATATAAATCAATTAATTCAAAAACTATGTTAAACCTTGAGTGGCAACCCGATACGATGAAAACGCTTCGCTAAGTCTGGATATCTCGTTCGGATTCTTTCTTTTGTTCGAGCCTTTGCACGATCAATATGACCATAATTAAAAGTAGGGGCAGCGAGAGCGACCACACCTGTTCGTGGTACTATATTCAACTTTAATTTATTATCAACCAGTGATGCACCAGCTTCGGACAAATATCCCTAAATTATATATTGTATATATTGTTTAAGGGAAATTATTGCTTTATTGCTATTAAATATTCCTAAATTTTAATCCAAAAAAATTGCCGATATTTCTAGCAAAATTTTATAAAAAAACAACAGAGCCAAACGACGAAAAAACATTGGTACTACCACTGTAGTGTGCCATCAGCTAAAAAATTAGAGTTAGTCTCTAGCCATGTAGTACGAGTTCTATCGAAACGTGGTTGGAACATCAACTCATCAGCGCGCAGTTTGTCTGATCAACATCTCCTAATTTAAGATTTATTAAGAAATAGATTAAATCCAGTTTGCTGGACACTAAACTATGGCACGAAAATTTTTTGCTTTGTACGAATATATAACGATTAAAACAACTGAATTTCTAAAATTTCAATTTTCAACAAATTTTATATTGAAATTCGCTTTATAGAAAAATAAACCAATAAAAATGATCAAAAATAATGGAACATCATAAGTGAATTTTAAATAAGTAAAATTAAAATTGAGCAGAAGAAGAAAAGGTAGGTAATTGATAATAATAACAATAAATATTTTATGGAAAACCGGAAATTCGTCAACAGCTGAGGTGGCACAATAATACGTAAAACGTGAGCTACAAATCTATAAATTGTTTATTATTTTCCATTAAATTCCGTCAATATTCATTATTTTCGTTATTTATTTCGATATTCGTTTTTAAATAAATTGGTTCTTTTAGTTGGTGATTCTCAGCGTAAATCTTATAAATAAATCTTATCTCTTGATTATCCCTAATATTCATTGAAAATACCTCACTGTAACGATTCAATTCGGGTTCGTTTGCTGTTAATCAGTTATCAACTATTATCAACTATTATTATCAACTATTAATCAGCTGTTAAAGTGAAAGTGCCATGGATCATGGATGTGTAGTTCTACCCACAAACAGCTCCTCCAGCGCGAGGGGCTATTACTCACGGCAGCGAGAAATTAAACTGAGCGGACTATTTAATAAATGAATGAATAAGCACGTGTCGAATTTTTTGCTAAGAAATTCAAATAATCAGAAATGAAGCATAAAATTATAAGAATAATTCGTTTCAAAAAATAAAAATTACAAAAACCAATGAAAATTTTCGAGAAAAATGAAAAATTTTCCAGAGTAAAATCATTTAAATAAATCATATTTTCATATCTTTAGTTTTTCAAAAAATGTTTTGAGATTTCTCAGTTTTTGAAACGATGAATGAAAAAAAGGGAAAATTTTCACCTCTATTTATCTAAATCCTTCACTTTTTTCCTTTTTTCATCCATTTTCCTTTTCCTTCTTTTCCCTTATTTTTTATTATTACAGTATTATTTTGCATTTAAATATAGATAAATAAATATAAGTTTAAACAGATAAAAATTGATTCAATCTCCATATATCTGTGACCATTAGCTACTTCTTTTACATCTTTTATGCTCCGTCAACTTCTCTTTTCGCTAACCTATTTACCAATTACCATAGAAACCTTCTCTTATTTGTTTATCATTTCACCTTTAAACTATTCTATTTTATATATTTAATGTTTAGTTTCTGCATTATCAGTGCTGAGTTTTAAAAATAAATTTAAAGACTATCCTAAAGCGCCCGTCTTTAAATATTTTCTACTCTGAAATTGTACAGCGGCAGCCAGAAATGCCTTCTTCCGTCTAGCAAAATATCTATAGAATCATAATTAAAATTTTTTTTCGCGTCTTCTTAGCTGCAGTGCGTACCATCTTGTTGCGAAAGCTGGGAAAAACATGGCCAATACGAATGGAAGAAAAAATTAAAACGCCTATCTATCTTTGACCAGTCATAAGGCATTTTATATGCTCGCTGAGCGGATAAAATCAGCGGATTGTATCTGCCTTTACTTAAATACTATCCGCATTAACAACAGCATCACAGAGCGCTGCCAATGCCCTTTTCTTCGCAGGTCATCGCATATCGAAGACCAACCAAGACGAGGACTGATATAGTCAGGAAAGATTTTGAACGCATAGATTCCGATCCAACGATATATGAGCCTAAACCGTGGAAAAATGAAAAATGAGCCTCTGTCACTCTCAGGTGTGGCATGGGATCGAATGGCTTGAAAAAGATCTTCGCTTATTCGTTTCCAGCGGGATCAGCTAAACAGTAATAATGTCAGCTGTTTGAAGAAGAGTTATCCACTTTAATGCATTATTATCAATAAAAGCTCAGAGCAACTGGTTAGGGCAATTGATCGATTTTCCCACAAATGGAATGCATATAATAACTTGAGTGAAATTATTGGTGTGAGGGTGGTTTTATTCGTTCAGCTTTGAGCCAAGTGCATATGCTGAATAGACTGCGAAATAAAAGCTCACTTGAATTTAAAAGCTGAAATTATTTACGAAGTAATATTTTTATAATAAAAAGTGTGCCAATTTTACATTAACGAACTTATTCCAACATTTAAGAAAACTTTTCGAAGGGTTATTTTTAGATGGAAATTTTTTTTGGGGAACTTAAAAGTGTAAAGAAGCAACCCGTTCAACTAATTCATATACTTTCATATTAAAGTCGAATACAAACAATTCACAACATTTCGCGATATTTTCTCGATTTGAGCTCTTATTCGTCTCAAGTTGCACTCTGTCTCGGGTTTGCTTACCTCGAACTTTCACTAATCCACCACTAATCCGCAATCCATGTTTTCACCATCACCTATTAAAGAAATTATTGAACAACGCGATACGATTATCTCAGATGAAACTTCCTCATTCACATCTTCATCAATTTCGCTTGTTACAGGTTTGCTAATTTTCGATAAAAGCGCTTTCGATTGCGACTTCATTATTAGGCCTAACATGCCTAAAACGAGTTCATAGTTATTCCTAAAAAAATTTTCGAATTCCGCCGTAACACTTCTATTTCATAGTTTTCAAAATTTTTCTCCCTTTCGATTTAAAATCCATAATTGAAATTTTTATCGATTTCGCATGTGAAAGAGTTATAAAAATTATGAAAAAAAGAAATTAAGAAAATTTTTAATGGAAAAGAAAAAATTTAATGAAAATTTAAATTTCTAACAAAGAAAGTTTTTTAAATTTTTTTGTCCATAATTTCAGTTCAAACCTTTTTCTTGTTTCTTGCAAAAATTTAAACATCGAAAAGTGTCAGTTGTTCTTCATTGCATTTTTCTTTAATAGAATTATCTCACTGGTTTCAATTTAAAAAAAATTTTTCAATTTCAAAGACAAAAAATTTTTATTATATATTAACCAGAATTGCACATTTATTTGTTGCAGTTTATAGCTCAAGTTCAAAGTCTTATTTAAAAGTTTAAAAGCTATTTTGATTTTAATTTTTTAATTAAATTTAAATTTTCGAAATATTAAGAAAATAAAGCATAATGATTTATTATTATATTCAAATTAATCCTCAAATTTCTCGTTTATTTGCAAATCATTTATTTGGCTGAATAGATGAGTGAAGAATGGAATCAAATAATCATCGCCATTCCTTTCTGCCCTTCCTAATTAGCTGATCCACTCGACTATTCTGCCCAACTTTTTTTAATGCTTAACAACGATTGACTATTAATAGACCGATAGTGGACTGAAGAAATCTATTAAGAATGACTAGGAATGCAAAGAATGCAGAGAAAAAAGGAAGAATTTGGAGTAATTCCTTAAAAATAAGGAGAATAAAAAAATCGCCCCTTCCACCTTCTTCCTTTCTCCTTTTGCTTCAAGTCGCTTCAATAATCTTTAACAAATTGAAAATTGCGATAAACTGACGAAGATGATCATTAAAATGCACATTTAATAAAGCAGTTATAATTTCACAAGAAAAATTTTAATCAGCTGGATGTGCAGCGAATGAATAAAAAAAATAAAGGAAGTGCATTTTTGTTGAGCACCTCAAAATTCCGATAAAATTAAACACTTCCCGTGCTGACTTTATTGAAAATTGAGCTATTTATGGCAACACACAACATACACACACAAATATACAACCGAGTCAATAGAAAAGTAATCAATTACGTCGAAAGCCCTAAAAAGCAGAAATTTACCAACCAACGAGAGAACATATGAAAGAGATTGTAAGTGGAAGTACATGAATATTGCCGACAGATGAAACAAGAAGAAGAGGCAAGCCTATTGGCAGTAGGGCAGGAATTACTGCGATACCAGTAGCGGTAGTGGCAAAATCGCGACACTACGATTCCCTAACGACGACAGTCGTTAAAGTGGTAGATGAAATTGCGACATCCGATGTCTGCCGGCTAGAAGGATTATATTACTTTTGAAAATAAGGATTATTTCGTATGCGATGAATATGTGAATATTTCTAAAACGACATTCATATCGACTAAGATTTACTGAAATTTAGGAAATTACGACATCAACTAACCCATTTATATTTTGCTTTCCCTTATTTTTCTCGTTTTATTTTCAATAATTATTTCTGTCATTTTCTTCTGCAAATATCTTTTTCATTCATCTCCAGTGTTATAAAAGAAATCAGCTGAAAGAGGTGGAAGAGGCTTATCAATAAGTTGTTGCTATTTGCTCTGGTTGACTGGTTTTATTAGAGACGTGGAAGTTAGGAATGAAAATGGATTTCAACAAACTTTTTAAAATTATTGAGGCTTTATTGAGGGCCAAAGGATTTTGTGATAGATGTTTATAAGACAGAAAGTTAAAAAATTTTTTAAATTTTTGTAAAAAATTTTTAAATATAAATATATTTAATTTATATATTAACATATATAATAAATATATTTAAATATTATAAAAATGATTTCGGACCCAAGCATCCCCTTGGAAGAGTATCAGAGCACGAATGAACCCTCAGGTCACACTCTGAGAACCACTGGTCTACATTAATGCATTATTTGGACGTTTTTTATTTATTTCATTAAAACTTGTAAAATTTATTTTATTTGTCCTCTTTAATGCAAAAAGAACGAAGAAATAATTTTTGCAGCTGAAAATTGCTGAATGTTGAGAAGGCAAATATGTATTTCATATCACTAGTTCTATCAAATCATCATCATCGATCCAGGCTCCATTGCTTCTTGTTTGCTCGATTGCCTAAGGCCGCGTCCCGTCCCGTTCGTCTCTTTCTTCAGTTCTCTTATTCTCTCTTTAACGTTTGTTATTGTCGTCAAAGTCGTGTTGTTCATTCTCAATTTTCGATTTTCTCGTCAGAGCTATATTTTTTCGAATACCAGAAAATCATTATTGTTTCCTTCTCCATCCATCAATAATATACAACGATCGCCATCCAGCTAGTCATCCATATTCACTCAGTAGTCGGTGAATTTCTTCTATTTCATTATCATTCAAAATAACACAATCAATTTGAAAGGGAAAAAATTATTGTGGTGGTGTATTATTTATTCGCGGTTGTCGCTCTTATACGCCCAAATGTCGTTTCATTCAGTACATGCTTTTTTCATGTTGTGGCAGTTCGAACGTTAAGAATCGTCGAATCGTTATTATTGAAGAGGAACAAAAAAGAGCATTTAATCAAAAAGACGAGGAAGAATCAAGTACATCTTCTCAGTTATCTTATTCGTCTAATAGAACTACTGATAGTGAATTAGTGAAAAACGTAGAGGAAAAATTTAGCAAAAAACCTCGAAGTCGAAAAAGTTCACGAACCGAAACCGTAGATCCAGGTCACTGGGTCCATATATCACCACAAGTTCGATTTCGCACATTAACAGCTCATGAACAACAGCAAATTTTTGCGTTACAAAAGCAACAAGGTAAATAAAACTTTGCTAAAACCAGATGATCAAACTGAAAGCGTTATATCAAGAAGAAAAATTGCTATTAAACTTGATTCGATATTTTGAGCTTTAATAAATTTTTAAAATGAAATCTCTGGGAGATGAAAAGTGAAATTGTTCGTGACCCATACATATATATATTTCTGTCCTCAAGTGACTCTCTGCGATTCTGTGACTCGCTTAACTTTTACTCCTGGAAATTTATAATATCTGGAATTGCAGCTGCGATATTATTCCCATATTCCTTCTAATCCCACTCAATAAAAAAAATATTTCGTCTCATCGTTTTTTTTTTCATAAACGTTCAAGTGCCTCGTCTTTCGATACGTAAATTAATCAATTTTCATTTGCAGCAGCAAATTTAACCAAAATGGAAGACACTGCCACTGAAATAACAACAGCTCATGGACAATCAATCGATTTAATCCATGATAGCCCGGGATCTCGATCTAATTACGGCGAATTTTATTGGTGACACATTTTTATTAGATGCTAAATTTATTATAATTTTAACAAAAATTTCAATTACATCATTTTCCGATTACTAAATAAATTAACAAATTATTATTTTATTATATTATCAAATTATATTGCAAATTATATCGCGATAGGGCTTATTGCTGTTAAGTGGAAAAGCTTTCTTTTACTTAAAGCATTTCTGCCTTAACTGGGATAAGATTTTTCAAGAAGGAAGTCATTTGGGGATAAAATTTCGATAAGTCCTTAGAATTCTTCACTTGCAAGATAAGGGAGCAATAACACAGCAATCGAGAAAGCTATGATGTCCACCTTCTGTGAGGAAATTGTACGATAATTTAAAAGTTTTAAGGAAGGATACGATAAGGATAACTGACATAAAATAAATCATTATACAAATAAGTTAATGGTTTATTTTGTTGTTACTGATACGTTAGGCAATAAAAAATAAAATGCCAATTAAATCATTGATAAAATGATTAATATTTGAGTAGTTTGACTGCCCGCATCACATCCTCTATTATAAAAAACCTTGAAAAGCAAGTTTTCATAATTCTAACCAAAAAAGTGAAAAGTGAAAAATTACAAAAAAATACCGAAGAAATAAAAATTTTGCTAAAATATAAAAATGCAATTTCGGGGACCAATATAGGGACACGAATGGTGAAACCACATCATATCACATATCGGATTCATTTGATAGCGATATATTACTGGATATGGATTCATATACGAAAGGTGCTACTGGTGCCGTTGGTTCACTTGACCGAACACAAGAAGATCTAAGTAAATATCGACAGCGAATTGATGCAAACGTTGAACAACAGCGTGAATATGCTGATATGATTGCTTCCTTACAACGAAAGGTTTTTTTTTATAAATACAATTTGCGAAAAAAGTCAAGAAATTTTATTCATCGTATTACTTAGATCTACAGGTTCTGGAATATCGACGCCATATTGTTGAACTTGAACAACGAATGGCAGCCGTTCGACCAATGAGTGGAGACCAAACAACAACATTCACTATAATTGATTCAACTGTCTTTCCGGATAATAAATATAAAGATGACAGTCTATGGACAGGAAAAAAATATGATGAACCTAGTGATTATCAATTATTAATGCGACTAGATGACGAAAGACGAAAGTAAGTCCAGGAATTACTGCAAAGTCTGCAAACTCCTGAAAAAGGAAGCAGTTCCCATCCTATGACTGGATTGAATCTGTCAGCATATAAATTCAAATCAAATAAATTTTGTCACTCTTATCCCCAGATCCCCAGATAAATAAAGATTCTATAGCCGTAGTCCAATCAACCAAGCCGAATATGATTCTTGCGATTAAAATATAAAGAAAGGTTCCAATAATAAAATTTATCATAGAATCGATGAATATCGCCTTCAACTTGAACAGGAACGAATACATAATGAACAATTACAACACGAAATCGAGCGAATGCGCCAACAATATGAGATGAGTGCTCGAGAAAAGGAGAAAACTTTTGTTATACGTGAAAGGGTTTGTTTTCAATCTCTTCTACCCAATCTCTTCATTTCTTCCACTCATATTAAAAAAATAAAATGTTCCAGAACCTCGCACAATATCTGAGTGAAGAACAGAAAAAAATGATGGATTTATGGACCGAATTACAACGATTAAGAAAACAATTGAATGAATATAAGGAACGAACCGAACACGATTTAGAAAATCAGAAAAATGAAATTGTAACAGCGATTCGTAATGTTGGAGGTCTTCGTCAACTTAATTTAACTGGAGTTGAAGTGCGTGACTTTTCTCTTCACTTTTGGTCTCTTGACTATAAAGTTACCACCGATCAATTACCACTACCATCTTGTTTTTAGCCTTCTAGAGGAGGAGGTATCGGTGAGCCATTACTTAGTGAGATCGCTGCAGCTAATGTTGATGTTAGTGGTACAACAATAAATCAGGATACAATATTAATCGAAGCGATTCGTCGTTTTCGAGAAAGTCAAGCACCGAGTACGACAAAAGATTTGGAATTAATAAAGGAATTAAAACTGAGTAGTTCTGCTGCTGATAAGGATCTTTACAATGAACTTATGAAAAAGTATGTTCCTCATGCTTTATGAAGAACAACGAAAGAATAACATATGTTTCTTATTAAATTATTTTTCAGATATGAGGAAAGCATCGAAAGAAATATTGAATTAGAATCAAAAGGTGATGATGCACAACGAAAGATTGCTGCACTTGAAGCTCAGTTACGACGAACTAAGGATCGTTTAACTGATAATCAAGTAGGAAATTTAGAAAAAAAATTTTTTATATTTGAAGAATTCAAAAAAACTTATAAAACTTATGCAAAATAATTGAAAAAACTTATTACGTGATTTGCTACACAATTTACAGAACGCGCTACGAAAACTTCATGACCTCGCCCGTGACACTGATCGTGAACCAGAAACACGTAAACGTACTCGATCACTTTCACCAGGTTTAAAATTATTGACGAAATACGTTAATCATGCATTTATCCTCTTCATTTCGCAAAATTTTTCTTATTAACAGAAATAACCCAAAAATAATGTACAAGTTGCCTTCTTCATTTTTTATTTATTTAGCATTATCATATTATTTTATTATAATTATTAGAAATTATTAAAGAAATTTCAATAATTTTGGATTTTTAAAAATTCCCTTTAATTAATGATAAAATGCTTAGGTGAAACACCGCTACCACCAACTGAAGCACTTCGAACAGTTCGTTCAATTATTCGAAATAAGGACAATAATATTCAGCAGCTAGAAAGGAAATTAAAAAACGCAGAAACTCAGGTAGATCACAATAAATAAAATATATTTCTGAAAATACTACAATAATAATTTATGACTTAAAATATTTATTAATAATTTTATAGATAAAAGAGTTCATAAATAAATTCGAGACAACCGACGAAACACGACGACGATTAGATAAACAACTATCGGATTCAAAAAGGGATTTTGCTAATCAGTATTAATTTTTAGAGCAAATTACTACAGAGATCTGGATGACTACTAGTGACCTACCAGCACACAGCCTTATACTCACAATAAAAAATTCTAAAAAGAATAAATTTAAGGCAAAAAGCATTTGATGATGCCGAAAGACAAATTCGACGTCTTGAAGATCGTCTAAAAACGGTTGATTCTGAAAAGATTGCAGCCGAAAATGCGCGAAAATATTTGGAAACCGAATTGGAAAAACTTCATCAGTTATATTTCATTTTAAAAAATATTTTATTAAATTATTTTGGAAAAATTTAATTCCATTTTAATTTTAGACAATTTCGTAAAACGACGGCCGAAGAGGAACGAAAAGCTCGAGATGAGGCTGCAGAACAAAATCAGTCTCTTGAAAATGATTATAAAAATCGGTTAATTCTTAATCGAAACCATTAGAATTAGTTTAAAAACTTATCAGAAGTTATCAGAAATTCATTTAAGATTAAATGAACTAAATCGACGGATCGAAATATTTCAACGTGATAATGTAAAACTGAAGAATGATCTAAATAATGTCAAAGACAAATATCGAGATCTCGAAAATAATTACAATATGACTTTACGAAAAGTTGAAGACAAAGGTCAGTTTAAGGATTGAATTCGAATGAATCTATTCAGTAAAGCCAAATTATTCTTCCAAAATATTTCCTTTTCCCTTTCTTCTTTAAATAAAAATTTTCAGATGGAACAATAAAGCATTTAGAAGATATAAAACGTACGTTAACAAAAGAACTTGATGATCAACGAATTCGCTATGATACATTAAATATTGAAGTGGAACGCCTGAATAATGAAACAGATACAAACCATAAAGCTATCTCAACACATGAACAAACTATTCGAGAACTTAAACAACAAAGGGATGAAATAAAGTAAATTTTTTTTAAAATAAATTTTTTTTATTTTTCTGCAAATTAAATTAAAGGATTAAAGGATTAAATGAAGCATAAAATGAAAGAAATCAAATCTTACTCGAAAGTTGCTTTCCATTTTTAGCAAACAAAAGGACGATTTATCTCGACAACTATTCGATTTAAAGCATAAATTGGAAAGCGAAAAAGCGGCTAAGGAAAACGTCGAAGGAACAACTAAAAGTTAGTAATTTATTGGAATCGCCAGTTATCGAGAGAAATATCTATTTGAGATGCAAGTCCTGGATTTGAAAATCTGGATTTTCTAACGATAAATTAATTCCTGGAGATAATCTAAGCATTAAACGCTTACACGCACCTCTTATGTATTAATTTGCAAAAAGCGATCATGTAACCCTAAAGAAATAAGGAAAACAAATCCAGCGACTTTAGATTGTCGAAGTCGACATGGATTCCATGAAATTTTGATGAAGAAACATAAAAATTTTAAGGACATATGGAAGAGATCGATGCGTTGAAATTGCAAATAACTGATTTGGAGCAACAATTAAATGTTTTACGACGACATAACGATGATTTGGACACAAAAATAAACAGTAATCAAGCAAAAATGGCGACATTAGACAATGATTTGCGCACCGCTACGAAAGAAATTGAAAAACTCAATGAACTTAATATTCGATTACAAAAAGAGAAAAAAGATGCTGTAAAGTAATAATTAGTTTATCCAACCTTATGCTGAATTAATCAGCAGCTGATAATCTGATAAGAATTAAATCTATGCTACCATTCAAAAACTTTCTTAATATACTTTTTACAGTCAAATGTTGAAATGTGAAGGAGATACGAGCGATTTCAAGGAACAAATAAAACGTCTTGAACAAGAAATCGAAAAATTAAAAAAAGAAATAACAATTCATGAAGAAAATGAACTAAAATCAAGAGAAACAATAAAAGAAAAAACGAATAAAGCAAATTTACTCGAAAAAGAACTTCAAGAAGCAAAAATTGAAATCGATGAATTACTAAGTAAATTTCTGGAATTAAAATAAAATTGTTGGTACTACTGTATGCGATCTATCGATTTCAGTCGATTTGACCGATTTAAGTCGATATATACTGTAGTGTAAATAGATAACGGCGGACAGTACAACAGCGATTCTAGCGATTCTTATTTATAATCAGTTTAGTTGCAAGCTTATTCTTAAAAAATCTGAAAAGGAAATTTCGAAGAAACTAATAATCTAATTTTTTTGCTAAAAAAACTCAAACTTTATTTGGACACAAAAATAAACAGTATTCTTTATTTTCAGGAAAAATCAAACAACTCGAGGACAATTTTAAAGAAAAAACACGTATTTCAATTCGTAGCAAAAGTTCCGATGAAGATTGTTTGTCTTTTTTTTGCAAATTTTTATAAAATATTTTTCAAAAATTTTTCTATAACTGGTCATCCGACTATTTTTTCCAGTAGCTGGTAGTGGTGGTGGCGGTGCTGGTGGTGGATCAGTTAGCACAACTCACGATACACAAATCACCGAAATACGCATTAAAGAAATTAATGATAAATGGAAGAAGGATATTGAAAGACTTGAAAATGAGAAGGTAAATTCAATAATCATTTTTTTGAAATTTTACGTTTTCCATTTAATTTTTTTACCGAAGATTTTAAAAAATTATATGCGATTTATATTCGTAATTAAATTTTCAACCTACTACTCATTTTTAAGCGAAATCAGCGAAATCTGAATAAATCATAAATTTTGGCACGAACAAAGTTAATGTGAAAATGCCTAAAATATTCAAAAAATTAAAAAACCTTTGGTATTATCAAATTAAATTATATAAGTAAATTAAAGGATGAATTAGAACGACGTATTCGAGAAATCGAAGATGAATTATCAATAAAAAACCGTGAAATTGAGAAATATGGAAGTGAAGCGAACGAATTAAGACGCAAATATCAAGCGGAAATCGATCGCCTTAAAGCTGAAATCTCACAGTTATACGATAAACACCAAAACGAACTCGATGATGAACGAGAACAATATAATAGAGTTCAACTTTTTTCCTTTAAATCCACTCCTACTTACCATAAAATTTTAAGATTTTTGTAACGTTTGATGACCCCTATTTATTTTATGAGCAATTAAATAAAATAAATATTGAAGAATATTGATGCGATAAAACTTATCGAAGATGAACTTCGAAATCAAATGACAATAAATGAAAAGAAATTGGCTGAATCGGAAAATCTAAGCAATCGTTTCGAACGTGAAATGAATGAATGGAAAGAAAAATATGAACAATTAATTAAACAAATGGAAAAGATACGAGAAGATTATGAAGATGCTAAAAATCAAGCTGAAAATGTTCGTTTTTTCGCTAAAAAATAATTGAGTAAAAGTGACTGGTCAACGATAACCATTCATGGTTAGGTCCGTTTACTCCGCTGGCCTTACGATTAGTACGATTTTTACCTGGGAATCAGGAACGACAGAAGCATAGATGAATTAGATCACCAAGATTTCAAGCCAAATTTTACTCCTGCTGGGAATAGGAGCGTCAACATCTGCCCCTCAACACGACTGAACCACCAGCTATTCGGCTATCCAGTCCCCTGTTGAAAAATAATAATTTAACAGAGGGAAAAAAGAAAAAACGGTACTTCTAAAAATAATAATAGTTTTTTCAGGAAATACAGAAATGGAAAACGGATTCATATTCAGCTCGAAGCGAATTAAAATCTATAGAAGCATTAAATTTAGCACTAAAATCGCAAATAGTCACTATAAATGAACGATGTGAATCGCTCAACAAAACCGTTAATGATCAATCGGCCAAGATAAGAGATCGTGCGATATTTATCTCTTCTTCTAACAGCTCATATTAGGGTTTATCTTGGGTTATTACCTTCTATGATCTATGATTATGCCTACACTAGAGAATTGTTAATGCACAGGTAGTGATAGAAGTATGGATGAATCTCCAGATTTCCAGTAGTTATCCGGAATCACATACATTAGATTAATATCAAAGATTTATCACTACTTCATATTCAAATAAAGAAGTTATTTAAGTGAATGCACAAATTCGACGCCTCGAAGAGGAAATATCTGATTTGAAGGCAACACTAACCAATCGTGATTCCGATTTGGAAAGTGCTCTATCACGTTTACGTACAGTTGAAGAGCAATATTCAGCAGCACAACTTGAAAATAGCAAAATTCGAAATGAATTCGAAATTTTACAACGTGATTACGATGTTATGAAGGTTTTGTCGAATCTTATCAGTGAGTTTTGACTCGGCTAATTTTCATTTTGAGCATTTTTTGTAAATTTTAAGGCGACAAATACTTCAAATGAAAATGAACTTGAACGTCTCAGAAAGAAATTACAACAAGCCGAAATCACGATAAAGGAATATCGAAATGCAATTGATCATCTTAAAGTTGAGGTAAATTTTTATGATTATAAGTTTTGACTTTGTGCTAATATCGAAAAAACTATTTTCAATAAAATTATAAAATTATCCAAATAAAACCAAAACGAAAACTTTTAAAGCGAGAAAAATTGCAAAACGCATATCGTGATAAGACGAAGCAATTCGATCATTTGAATCAACTGGCTCAATCATTCGATAGCAAACTCAGTAAATTAAGATTGGAACTTAAAGACAAATCTGATAAGGTTAGTTCCACAATTTTTCCTCAGCACCTTGATTTTTATTAATAAAATATATTTTCAGTTAATAGCGTCCGACACGGAACGAAATGCATTACGTTCGGAAATCGCAAAACTTCAGCAAGAATTACAATTTGGTAAAGATCAAATGGTACGTAAAACTGATGAATATCAATCATCACTTGAAGACCTTGCAAACGCGCATCGTTCAGCTGAAGATGGTCGTCTAAATGCACTTCAAGAAATTGAAACTCGTAAATATGAAATGGCTGATTTAAAGGTCTTTTTTTAAAATTTTTGCCATAAAAAAAGGATTTTCTAAGATTTTCTTGCTGAGAACTTTTATTTTTAGTCACGACTTGAGAATACCGAACAACGACTAACTGCATTACAAGAAGAATATATGAACATAAATCGAGATCGAGATATTTTAACTGACACTCTTCGACGTTTTCAGAACTTTACAAATCGTGCTATAACTCTTCATAAATTACGCGAAAAGGTCCGCATTGTATATTTAAAAAAAAATTTTTTTTCAATCATCGAGATATCTTAGAATATAAAGAATGATAATTGTGAGTTCAGGATGAAATTATTATTGATAAAACGACAACTGATGTCGACGATGGTACATTCCATTCAATTCCATTCCCTTCACCAATTGACTATTCAAGCGGAGGAATACGTAAAGCAGGTAATCCTAATTTAGATTTATAGTGTTTAATTTAGAGTGGAAGAAAAGGAAAAAATTAAGAAACCGTAGTAAACAATGGAGACGTAAAAACTAAACTTAAAGTATAAAATGCAATTATCGAATTATCTAAAACAAAAAAAGGCGATTCCATTAATTTAATTTAAAGGAATATTATACGAAAAATTAAAGAACAGTAACAATAATAAAATAAAATAGGTGGCACGATAACAAGTATTAATATCGGTGAAACACTTGATATAAATCAACTTGAAAGTACACTTCAAACACTTATTGGTCGCATCGAAAAACTTGAACGCGAACGGGTATTTATTTATTATATTATATTATTTATTATATTATAGTAGAAATGGATTGACTTCTGAAAGTCAAAAGTGTTCATGGTTTTAGTTATTGGAATGATGCAAAACTCTAAATTATTAAATGATGAATGATAATCAGTAAGTAAACTTTCCTATAAACATTATATTCTCAGCACGAGCGCATAAAACCTTTAAAGCGATTTGCTTAAAATAAATACAATTTACTTACAACTTACAGTTTTGAAAGCCGTAAAATTATTTTATCTTTAGAATGAATATCGTGAATCGTTAAATCGTCTTCGAAAGAAGACAAGTGATGTGCATACAACAATAAATAAACGAGAAACTCGATATAAGACTATCGAAGAAAATTTAACTGATTTAGAAGAAGGTTTACATATAAATCAAATTTATTTCTTCTTTTTTCCCTTTTTGAATACTTTATTAATAAATTTTAATAATTAATAATAGAAAAGAAAACAATGGAAATACGACTGTCATCAGCAAAACAACTTCTACGTTCACAAGAAGAAGCATTGAAAGAACGCGACGAAGAACGTCGACAAATGAAATCAAAACTCGTTGCTATTGAACTTGAAGCGCGAGGCAAAGATGCACAACTACGACATTTGACCGTATTATTAATTTATTTAAATATTATTTAAATGACCAAATAATCATATATATATATATATAGTTTGTTCTAGAAATATCTGTAAACTCGTGCAATCTATATATATATATATATAATTTATTTATATAATTTATTTAGAAATAATAACGAAAATATTTTACAATTAGTGAAATATTTAAATAATATTTAAACAACTATTAAATTCCTTCACTTAAACCTTTTTGGAAACTTAAAAATTAAATTTAAAAGATATTTTTCAGGAACAAATGAAAAGTTTACGTCAGGATTTGGATAATGCACATAATGATATTCGTCAGTTAAGAGACCATGAAGAACAATGGGAAGCAAATCGTTTCCAACTCGAAAGTAAAATTAGAGATAAAGAAGGGGAAAATCAACGAATTAGTTTACAAATGACAAATCTCGATATGGAGAAAAAGGTTATTTAATTAAATTTCTTTTCTTTTAAAACCATATCGTATTTAACAACAAATTATAGAACCTCACGGAACGAGTCAAAGAACTAACTGGCGAATTACAATTAAATGAAATAAAAAATAACGATATGAAAGAAGATATTGAACGATTAAAACGCGAATTAGAAAAAGCTGAAAATATTGAAGCCGAATTGAGAAAAACAAATGATCAACAAACACGTACGCTAAGTGAATATCACGTTTTACGTGAGCAGGTTAATTTTCCTTATTGATTATCTTGAAAATTTCAATATCGAATAAAAAAATTAAAATTTACAGATCAGTAGCACACAGAATGATTTAACAAATGCAACAACTCAAAAACAACAACTTGAAAATGAAATACAAAGTCTCCATAACGAATTACGTGACTATAAACAACGTGTACATGACGTGAATGGACGTGCTTCAGATTTGCAACGTCAACTCCAAGATTCAAATAATGAAAAAAATCGTCTTGATGATCGAATTATTCATTTAGAAAAGGTTCATTTTTTTGAAGAATGTTTTTTCATCAAAAAATTTAAAAACTTAACCTTCTATTTTCGAATAAATTTTGAACCATTTCTGTTACGACTTTAAACCTTTTTCTGGTGAATTTCACCTATTTCAGGATATAACAATTCATCAAAAAACAGAAAATGATTTAAAACAACAAATCGAATCATGTAAAAATGAACGAAGAGTTATGCAAAAAGAATTTGATGATTTACGACAACGTTTAACGCAAATTGAATCCGACAAACGAAATATTATTTTACAATTTGAAACAGCAAAAAAAGATCGAATTTTACTTCTTAAAAAAACCGAAAAAGTCCAAAATTTTATATTTTTTAATTTCCGATCTTTTTGAATTTTAATTTTAAATTTTATTTTACTTCTTCTTATCCATAATTTAAAGGAATATTTTTGTCAGTCTTTTTTGACACAATTGGACAAAATTTTATATGATTTGAAAATATTTTTTTAATTCGTAAATATCAAAGAAAAAATCAAAAAAAGAACTTTGAAATATCAAAAGTACTATAAAAAATAACTGAAATTACACGTAAAAATTCGATAATTTTTGCTAATATGCAATTAAAAAAATTTTTTTCCATAAAAATTTTTTTTATAGCTTGAAATAGAAAAACGCGAAACAAATGCAGCAATACGTGAAACAGCGTTACAACGTGAAGCTATTGAGAAATCATTGAATGCTATGGAACGTGAAAATAAGGTTTACAATTTCATTTTGAATTTCTTTTTACAAATATTTTAATCAAAATGATTATTATAATTATTTTGAATGATCCGATTCACTTTAAAGGAACTTTATAAAAATTGTGCACAATTGCAACAACAAATTGCGCAACTCGAAATGGAAAATGGTTCACGTATTATCGAATTAAATAATAAACAACGTGAAGAACAAGAAAAATATTTACAGCGAATGAAAAATGAAAAACAACAAGTAATTTTTTATTTTTTTAAGAAAATTGCGCAATGAATGATTAAAATCCAATGGAGGGAGGGCATTTCTAAAGGCTAAAAAAAATATTGAAATTTACAAAATTAAAAAATAAATTTCAAGGTTGAACGGATAATTGAAACTCGTGAACGTCAACTACAAAATCGTATAAAACAACTCGAAAATCAATTAAGCATAATGCGTGAACAGTTGGATAACGAACGGCGCCGAAGACGTGATTATATAGATAGAAGTTTAGTTGGTGATTTCAGTAAATTAGGCCCAACATATTTTGGTATTCGTGGTGGTGTTGGAATACATAGTGCAGGTTTTGTTCCACCCGCACCACCGATTGATTTCGATTCGTCAAAGTAAGAAACCATTTTTTTTACTTATAATCTTTTCGCGATTTACGATATCTATTGATATATCCGTTTTGCTAAAATTTCAAGAAAAAATAAATCTATTTTTCTTTAAAAAAAAGTGCAGTTCTAATTCCGATCTAGCATTCTAAGTCGTTTTAGTCGTTTCGGTCGAACATTTTTCGCATCAAATCCATTGACTCCACCACTTGGTTCATCAACACCCCGACAAGGAGGAATGACTAATTCTGTTATAAGTCTGAAGGAATCAGGTTTTTATTTCAATTTTCCTTACAATTATTCAATTTTCCTTTCGTAAGAAAAAGGAATAAATTTTAAGAGTCTTTCAGATTTGACTTTCAAAAATTTTATTTTTCTTCTCTGGCTGGCTGGCTGGCTTCATTGACTACTTAGCTGATGCATCCTTTTTACTAGATCTGGTTAAAATTTAATTACTGAAATTAGAAATTTATAAATTTATAAATTTTTTTTTGGAAAAATTTATTTCAGACAGTCAACAGCACATAAGTTTATCATCACATCAACCATCAACTGGTGGTATTAATGAATATGAAAAATATGAAAAATTAGAACCGTCACATGAAATCGAAGGTTAATTTAAAGAATTCAACAAATTTTAACAAATTTCATTCATTTATTCATCATATTTCTCATTTATTTATTAAAATAGAAATATTTTTTATTTTCAGAAAAACGAACTAAAACTATCATAGTTACGAAAACAAGCAGACTGGCTGAAAGTACTTCTGAAAAAAGTGAATAAGGAAGAAAATTTTACTGTGTAAAACTTATTTTTTACTTAAAAAAGTGAACTTTCAGAAGTACCACGCATCTGATTCAAACTAACCACTGAAATGCTGCCAATTAATTTTTCGCTAAAGATGATGATCATTACTTAACCAATGAATAAGCAATCTCGATTTCATTTATATTTAAAGTTCATTTATATTTGCTTTGTTTTATACAAACAAATAGGATAATCTTTCTAACCCAGAATGAAATTTAACTTTTTAACAAGAAGCTTTAGATTTGCTAGATTGTCTCTTAATTCTTCTATAATAATACTTCTAACAAAATCTGTCTATGTATAAACACCGTATTTAATTTTTTGGATTCCCAATTCTAATATTCTGTTCCCAAATTCCCAATTTATTATTTAATTCATAACCAAATCTCATAAAACTTACAAAAATTTATTGAAAACTTACAAAAAAACTTACAAATTCAAAATCTTAAATCAAAAACAAACTTATGTCAAAATTTATTAAATTACGCTCATAAACACTCTAAATTAAGGTAAATTTGACGGTTTATTTGATGGTATTGAAAAATTTAGAAATTAAAATTCGCTATCGTTAATATAAAAATACTTTATGGTGATTTCTTAAAAGTACTGGGAATCATTTTTTTTTCGTTACTTTCAAACATTTTCACTAAACATTCATTAAATCTGCTTTCTTAGTGCTAATTGTTGTAATAGTCTTCTTAAAAATAAGACGAAGAATTTTTTTGCGCTGTTAACGAATTTTTGTGCCGCTGCAAAAATTAAAACAGCCCGTTTTTACATTTTTCATCTTCAGTTATGCATGGTTAATTGAAAATTGACAAAATTTTTCTTTTGTAAATGTAAACTCGCCTCGTTTCTACAAATGACTTTTCCAAAATTGATTTTCATCATTTATAACAGAAATTCGGATACCAATTTTGTTGCAAATAATATGGAAGGAATCAGTCGATTATTGTACTTTCTTAATTCCCTAATATCGCTTCATTTTATAGTAAATTGCATTTTGCATTTTATAATAAAGTACAGTTCGCATAATAACACTAAAAACTGGTAGTAAAAAGAAAGTGGTGAAAAGAAAAAAAGTGCCAGTTTTGTTAATTTTTACTTTGTTTAGTATTACGATTTACGATCAGCGTTCTGTACTCAATGAAATTCGATAGCAGCAAAAAAAATCGTCTCTACAAATGCATAAAAACTCTTGTCATGCTTATTTTTTTTTATAAAAATAAACGTTTTTGTTATTATTCAACAAACTAAAAATAGTTTCGAAAAAATGGTTACAGAGATTTCAGCGGTATTAAAAAATGCGTTCTACTATCATGTTCACACCATAGTAAATCTATTGGTATAAATTGCTTTTGGACAAAAGCGAACTGTATGAAGATACCAAAGTTCAACCCTTACCTTAAGTAGACTGAGTGCCGTATAATAAAATATGATAGCAGACCAACCACAGCTTGGTGGACTATAGTAGTACCCAATTACTTACTGAATATTGATAAATTATAGATCAAGGAAAAAAGGGAGAATCAAAATTTAATAAACCAATGATTTTCTAAGAAAATAAAATTTTTAAATTCAGAAACATTGAAAGTTTACCATAAAAATCATAATTTACGAAATAAAAAACTAAAATAGAATCAAAATTCAAGAATAAAAAAATCCAAATAAAAAAAATTTGATGAAAAAAAACCATATATATACACCATATACTCCTTGATATACCATTGCCGAAAAAAACATCCCAACTAGTCTCGAACAAGAAAAAAATGAAATGAAAAACAAGAAAAGGAAAAATAAAAAAAACCTGATTTGGAACAAGACAGGAACGTCCGAAACAGCATGGAAAAAATATCCTATGGATCCACTTCATCCACTTTGGATTTAGACTACCATATGGTTCCTCGTTTTTTGGCTTAAATACTCCAATTTTTTCCTGAAAATTTAAAATTGATGAACCACAGCCTAACAATATGATTTAAGAAATTATAAGACAAAGAAAAAAACAAAAGAAAAAAATCACCCCAAAACAATTCATTACAAAATAAGACCCAGATGATCCTTGATAAATTCGTTCCGGAAATATACCTTTGTGAATTGCTCGGATCGCTTCTATGAGTGTGGACGTAAATTCAACATCACCGAATGATCCATACTTTTCAGTTACTAAGAATAAATCTATTATAATTTATTCAACTATGAAAATGGCCAAACCATAAACTCAACTTGTTAAAATTTACCAAATCCTACTGCATCATCGTCATCTGAACTCACTGTACACGTAGGACGAAAATTTGATGATGGTAAAATTTCAACAAATGAATTTTGTTGACGACCCGATAAGAGGGGTGTTTTTTCGAGATCTTTTATCTTAAAAGAAAATTTGCTTAATGAAGCAAAAAATTTATTATTTATTTAGATATATATTAATATATTATATATTAATAAATTATATATTAAATTTATATATTACATATTAAATTTATTTAGATATATATTAATAATTCTTCCTATTTTTTCATAGTTTAAAATAATAAAAAAATTTTAAAATAGTTTTTCTACAAATATAAAAATATCGAAAATCTTGGAACCTTGATTTCTGCAGATGATTTCTTGTCTGACTGCGAACAATATCCGTCAGATTCAATATATTCATCATTTGATTCTATAATTATTCCATATAATTATGCAAAATTTTTTTACAAATTTAAAAAAAAATAATAAATATTTAGCGGAGATGAAAACTAAAAATTCTAAGGAAGGTTATACGAAGCTAATTATAAAAAAATTAAAATTAAAAATCATAGCAAATTGAAATGAAAAATAAAAAACATTTTATTCTTTGATAAAAAATGACATAATTCTAGAAAAAAATTCCAATATTTCTCTTTTAAAAAAATAGTCTTTAAATTACAAATAATCTTAATAGCCTTAATAGTCTTAAAATATTAAAAGTGGTAAATGGGGTGTTCAAGGAAAAATGCTGCTTCAAATTTTTAACTTCAATCAGCTATCTCTATCTTTCTGGTGAGGATTTTTGCGCGAGGCTTTCTGAAAGCTTGTTTCCCTTATTTCAATCTCTCAGGTCTCCGATACAGGACTGGAACTGACGCCCCATATCACAAAGGAGTGAGAGGAGAATTTTTAAATATATATAGAGATTCGAAATCGTTTTTGAAAAATACTTAAAATTAATAAACCTGAATCGTGTCCATTATCCGATATTTTATTTTGTTCAATCATCGATGTTTCAAAAAATCTGAACGATTCGATTTCTATCAATCAAATTCAGTGATGGCTGAAAGTAAAGGTAAACCAGAAATTAAACGCCGAAGCATGGAATAAATCGCTTATAGAATATTATGCGACCATATCGATTAGTCGAAATTTGTATAACTGAAATATTCCGCCAAGTCTGCAAACAAATCTTCTGGTCGCAGTGATGCTGGCGACTCACCTGTATTTCTATCGCTAAGGGACTCCTTGGCATTTTTTAGTCCGGCAAGGCCAACGCCAGCGGAGCCAGTTTAACTAATAATGGTGAGCACTGTTAAAAAAGAAAATCCACTTGTAAAAGCAGAAGATTCAAAGGGACAAAATTGAAAAAGGATGGAAAAAACCTTGTAAATTACAAATTTATCAAAAAAATAAGTTGGAATATATGCAAAAAAAGATATTTCTTCTTATCACCTGTTTCAAATACATTCCTATTATTTGATTAATTGATCTATTATATCATTAAGATAACCTATAAATATTCACCGCCTATGCTTATCAGTTCAATACATTAATCAGTCGTAAAACCTACCTGTAATTTCGACATAATTTATCTTTTAAAAACACCGAAAAATGAATCTATAACTATTAGCCGACTCTCAAAAATTAAGTGAAATAAGTGAAGTGGTATGAATATAAATGAGTTCAATCCAATCGCAACCACATTAAAGTTCAAATAAACTTTGTTCCTTTAAATAATATTTAAATGAACTATATCTTTTAAATAAAATACTAATAAATTAATCGTAATACTAATAAATTTTAAAAAAATGATTTACCCTGAAAAATATTTTTTATATTCAATGCTCTAATTTTTCTATCAAATATGCTAAATAAAAAGCAACAATATGAATGAATGCGAAAGCATCCAATAAAACAAATTTTTATTATATAAATGCTAAAATACTTGAATCACAATTAATAATTAATAATTTACAATTTGCAAGAAAAATTTCAAAAAAAATGAAAAAAACTGCTCAAAAAAGCAATGAAAGCGGAAGGAATTTTTCATTCTTAAAAAACTTCTATTTTTATTGAATAAAAAATTTCAACACTTATAAATCTATTCCATTTCATAATATCAAAAATTTAAAAAAAATGCCAAATAAATTAAATCATTGTCTGGAATGATTTCGTTAATCAGATGACATAAGAGCAAAAAATAAACGCCAATATTAAAAATAAATGGAACCAAAAAATAAAAACTTTTCGTTCAATTTCGAATATTTTGGAAAGTTTGCTAAAAAAGCAAAATTCTAAGTTTCCCAATATTGAGTTCGAAATTAAAAATTATTCTTAAATAATTATCAAAAGAAGTACAAAGATTACGCTCTAATGCTCACAAAAACAAAATACAATAAGCTATATCAAAATTAATACCGAACATCCTTGTAAAAGCAAACCACTAATTCGATTAATATATTTCTTTTATTTTCAGCTTTCTCGAGTTAAGAATTGCTCGATATTTTCAAAAAACCATTAAAACCATTAAAAACCATTTCATTACAATATCAAAAAATATTTCAAATGCAAAATAGTAATTTCGACAATAATGAAATCAACAAAACAAAATTTATAAATATCCACAAATTTATAAATATCCACATTTGATAAAATAAAGGCGGAAAACTAATGACAACTAAAAATCAATATTTAAGAACAAACATAAGCTTCGCACAATAAACTTGAATTTAATTTAAAATAAAAATGCATAGATAAATTCAGAAATCGTTTCAAATGCTTTTTTCCAAAAGGAGAAAAAAGGTAAACAATCATAAAAACAGTTGTTACCAAAAAAATCTAAAAATTTCATAAGAAAAGGTAAAGTATTTATAAGTATTTATACTTGAGAAGAAAAGACTTTTGGATAATTTAATAGCATTTTACTCGTCTCAGTCATTGATAATTCAATAACTACTAAAAGTGATGTAAATGGATGATAATCCAGTCTTCAAGTTATATGTTTTTTTAAGTAAGAGATTAACGATAACAGTATAAAATACCCTTATCAATTATGGTGACTGATTTCATATGTAGTCATAAATAACAATTAACAACTGATCATCGCAACCAGCTAAAACTGTTCTTGAAGTATTTCACAAAGATACTTGGCTACAGTATCACGTGAACTGCGAACTGTTAGACGATACATCTGCAGTTATAGTTTTACTCATTATTACATAAAAGTTTATTCATAAAAGTTGAAATAGAAACATACAAATATAAAGATGCCAAAAAAAATAATCTTAACATTTCAGATGATTTTGATTTTGGATAAAACAAAAGAGCATTTCACCTTTGCCTGTTTGTTCGGTTCCAGTCGTGTTAAAGTCCCAATTTGCTGCATTTTTGTATGAATTATTCCAGCGGAGACAAAATTTTCAGGATTAGGATCAACTTCAAGCAATAACTTCGGTCCAAAACCAGTTAACTGAAACAATTTTAATAGATAAAAAATAATAAAAATAAAAATAATAAATTAATAAAAAAAATGAAAATAGCATGACCGATGTTTTATTGTTAACACTATCCGTTTTCAATTTTCTGCTCTTATTCATTGAGCGTAAATCGTGTTGTTAAATACAGTATTAAATACTTATCTCTAGTAGTCTGTGAACCAAGCCAAACCAGAAATGATGGGCATTTTAGAAGAAATGAAAGAAAAAAAATGCAAAAAAATTATCGGTAAAAAATTCTGTACTTTAGCTTTTATTTGCTCCGAATCGATGGGTAATTTTGCCGCAAATATTTTTTGATTTTCTTGAGCTGGTCTGAAATATTAAATCCAGTTTTCTTATCTTCTTTATATTTTTTTTACTTAATGAATAAGTAAATATTTTATTAAACATTATTAAAAATGGATGAAAGGATCTACTGGGCAAGTTGTTTCCATCGAGTAAAGAATTGTTCCGATGACATATCTGTAGGTTCAAAAAATTTATTTATAAAGATTGGAAGAGCGAATGTTTTATCAAATAATTGCTGTTGACCCATACCATCTCTAAAAATTGAAGCATCCACAAATGGAATATAACTAAAGAAACTGAAGCACAAAATAGTATATAAATAGTTAGGAAAAACTATATCACAATCGAAAATAAAGCATACAAATAATTGAATGTAATATGTATAAGAGGGCTTCTAAAAAATTCTCGCTCACAAACAAAATTAATCAGCTGTTGCACTTGTGAACCTCCTGCGATCATATTATCCACTGGTTTGCACTGAAAATATGGTTAAAATTTTAAAAAGATTAAAATATAAAAGTAAAAGTTTTGATTTTCTTGAGCTGGTCTGAAATATTAAATCCAGTTTTCTTGTCTTCTTTATATTTTCTTTTTACTTAATGAATAAGTAAATATTTTATTAATATACTTTAAATATTCAACTTCCGACCCAAATTATCTTCATTCCTCCTTGATTTATCCGAACTCAGAACTGAACGTGATTTATATAAGGTGATAAAGCGATTAAAACTTTTAATTTTTAACCTGTGCAATTAACTGAGAGCAAAGTGGACCAGGACACATCACTGAAGTATAAAATTCACTAAACGATGAACTGGTCTTATTGCCATAAAACATTCCAAGACGAGCCAAATTAGCTCGCGTCTGCAGTTTGTAACCGATTTGAATCGCAAAGTTTTCAAACAAAACTCCATTATTTTTTGTCACAAATCTAGAAAAAAAAAATAATTTGTACGATCTCGGAAATTTTTAAACAATTTCAAAATGACTCTTCTAAATATAGAACTGATAAAAGACAAGACTTATAAAGAATTATAATATACAAAGAACGAAGAATTTTAAAGATTTTAAAGGTTACTTAAGCACATCAGCATAATTTTCAACTGCTGGTTCATCATTTACTAAACCACCAGTAACGGCTGCACCATTCAGTGAAGAATCTGCTGTTGAATAGGCACCAAAAATATCAACTAATGCCTTACTATTGGATTCATTTCCAATATCTAGCAACTTATCCGAATTTTTCCTTTCATCCTAAAAGCAAATAAAGTAAGCATTATAAATTTGATATAAATTTAAAATATGGAATTCAGTAATGCAAAGCAATAGAAAATTTTAAATTTGAAAATGAAATCGGAGTACTATGGAGATCAACTTGTACTTCTACTTTTAAATCAATTTTTGAAGGGACCTCACTCGAATATTCAGTGAAACCGAAAATCTACAGCAGAGAGAGAATTAACAGAACAAAAAGCGAAATAAATAAATAAGCGAATTAAACAAGCATACATGACTCATAACGGCAACAGGCCTTTGTTTTTTTTCTATCGTTTGATTTTCGAGTTCTTCAACACGAGGTTTAGATTTTTTCAATTTCGCCAAAAGGGAACTCTCCTTTTCAGGGAAAGGAGGCATTTCTTCCAAAATCTAGAAGGAAAAATGTTGAAAGCATAAAATATAGCAAAATGGTATGGATTGCTCAACAGTAATTAAATGTTCATTTTAAAACTCTACACTACCTAATGGAGAAAAGAATTATTTATTTAAAATGACGAAATATAAATACCGTAGCAAGAACATCAGGTGATGCTATTTTTGCAAGCTTTAAATATTCAACAGCACGCTGCTGTAATTCTGCATCAGGATTACGTAGATTGTGATCATTAGCGAATACCTCAAATTTGTACAATTTACATAGATAAGAAAAATGTGCCAAATATATAAAAATAAATAAAAACATTAGTGAATATAAACATGCAGATTTTTTAAAACTTGAATGAGAATTGAACCCAATAAAATTTGATAGAGATTTAGCGTAAACCAAACAGCCAAAAAGGTACATTAACTATCGAAAGGATAAAAAAATTAAAGTATTAAATATATTTTGATTAAAATATATCGAATTCTTAAAAAACCATAAACTTTTGATTGAAATAAAGTTATATAAATACAAATTACAAAATACAAATAAAGCACAACACGTCTTCTTCTTCTAACAGCTCTCACTATTATTGGTTAGGCTGGCTCCAACGGCTACAAGCGTAAAACGCTTTAAGCGGTGCAGTGTGATACCATCGTCAACATTTTTTTTTTTTAGAGTCCTCACCCCTTACTGGTTAAACTCGCTCCACTGGTCTGTCGCATGTGTGATATGAAATGTGCTAAACAGTTCCTTGGCGACAGAAATACAGGTGAATCGCCAGCATCACCCGGATTTTTGTACGGGTTTACTCCTGCGGGGAATCGAACCTCAGCATTGGCGCTCCCAATTGAACAATTACCCACTAAGCCATTCTATCACCTCGTCGGTATTAATAAAACCATTCCTTTTTTCATCGTCTAATAAGTCCATATATTGCTGGTCCACCTAAACGTTCAAAACCTTTTTTGACAGCATCAGTATAGATCTTGATTGGCCTATCTCACTTTAAACGCCATCCATCACATGGTTTAGCAAGTAACGAAATATGCGTCAACTTCTATGGACGACGAAGAGCTAACCAGCGAAGACGACGCTCTATGATGACATTATTAATGCAAGTGGTATTTAAACGAAGGCGAATACGATCATGTGATATTTTATCAGCTCGACGGACCCGTAAAATATCCTCCACTCTCATTGGCCATACCTCAGACCAATATGGCAAGATCGAACGAATCACGACTATAAAGATGCGCACTTTCGTTTTTATGGTAATTTCACGACTACTCCATAAGGGTTTCGTCAACAGGAAGAAGACAGCTGTCGTGATCCAGATATAATATCGTCTAGCCATTCGATATTAGAATGGATCCAAGGTATTTAAAATCGGGCACTTTCTAGATCGGCGATGAATTTACAAAAAGAGGCATTTTATCATCTTCTTGCGCATAATACGAAAAGACTTTCGTTTTATTTACATTGATCCTGAGTCCGATCCTCGATGCAATTGCTGACACGTTATTTAGCATTATTTGCATTTCGTCATATCTGCCAACAAAAAATACAACAGCATAAAAGTGTCAAAAGAAACATTTAAAAAAGACCTAATACATAAACTACCTCATGGTCATTGTTTTAAATACTAAATATCAAATATTTAAAAATATCTAAAAAATATTCAAAAAATTTAAAAAAGATCTAATATAAAAACTACCTCCTGAATCACTGTTTTAATTTCCGGAAAAAGATTGCAGAATTTCACATAAGTCGAGAGAAGCAGTGACCGAGTAGCGATTGAGCATAAATGATATTTACTATGAAACAGTTGAAATTGTACTTGAGGACTAAAATAAAATGAATAAAACAGGAATGGTGAAAAACATTATTGCATCATCTTAACAAAAATAATGACCTTGATCGTGGATCACCGGCAATAAGATTACCGAATTCTCCTAAAATATAACCACCAACTTTAATCATATTTTCATGACATGCCGGACGCTGCAAAATAATAAATAAATAAATTGAAAAATGAAATATGCGACGAATTTAAATATCTATAGCATTATATTTACTTTATATATATTAAATAAATTCACCTGCAATGCTTCAAAAACGGTTTTTGCTGCATAACCCTGAACATCTTCTCTATTAACGACAATTTGGATAACTCGATACCAAACTTCTTCAGAAACATAATCACCTGCGATACGAATTAGCTTCAAAATTACATCAACATACCATGTATAGTCAGTAGCATATTTTTCTGCCAAAATAGCAACCTTGAGTACCTAAAATTAATGAAATTCTAGCAGTCTTGAAACAAACGTTTATAATTTATATCATTAAGAAGAAGTACTATATAATGTTTTTCAACAAACCATTTCCTCTCTAATCGAATAATCTGCTGTTTCCAAATATGATAGCATCTCAGAAACAATTTCTGCTGCATTCGATCTGAAATTTTAAATTAATTAAAAATATATATAATCTTTTATTTATTTATGAACATCATAAAAAAAAATTCATATTTCGATTAGATATAGTTATTGTTAACATAATTATTGTTAACACAACATAAACTACGCAGTATTTACGCTTGAACTGTTCACCTATCGCACATGGCGTATAACAAATCGACTGCTCTCTGACGAACGGATACATCCCTTTCCGTTTTTAAACTACTGATTATTGTTTCTTGATGTCTTTTAACAGCCTCATGAGAGAATTCTGAAGTAGCTAATAAGCACATCGATTCAAGCGCAAGATACCTGTAAAATTTCTTTTAAAATTTCTTCAAATATTTATATTCACTGTTATCTTTGATAAGTCATGAAAATTAAATATAATATAATATATATATATATATAAAATCACGAATATATTATATATATAAAATAAACAAAAACCTGAGATTTGTTTCGCGGTGTGATAAAAAAGTTCCTAGTTGATTACATGCTCTTACTAATAAATTTGGTTCTGAATCCATATGAATAATCAATGCGATCGATTCGAATAAAACTGCATTTTTGGCATTTGAATGCTGAACTTTTTTTGATTTTGGAGCATCCATAGCTTTATTTAAGATTCCTTCCAAGCATTCCATCAAACGTGTGCGATTACTCGGATCTTCTTCAAATTCATTAATTTATAACTGCACATATATCAAATCAAAATTTAAAACAAACTTAAAATAAAAATACCAGGTGTTGGATAATTTTGAAGTAATCTCAATAATTTAACACAAAGCCATGGAGCTGGCACGAAATAATATGTATAATCTTGCAAATCTGTATATCCTGAGGTAACAATCTAGAAAAAAAAACAAATTTAGAAATTATAACCAATTATGATTTTAAAAATATTAAGCATGAAACGAACGCGACTCAGACGAGAAATCGCCAATGAAATACATCCTTTATATTCTTCAGGCCATTTCTTTGAAAGAGCTTCAATTAATGAAGCAGCTGAAGTAACGACACCCTAAAAATTCTCAATATTAAATATAAATATAAAAATATTATTTAATAAAAATATTAATAAAAAATTTTATTAATTTCTATTAATTTAATTTATTTATTTAATTTATTATTTGCGTCATGCCCCACATTTTCTTCATTAATAATTATTAGAATTGTTGCCTAGAAATATTGCTTTTGCTCCATCTTTGCCAAAAAAGAATCCAAGCATTTTACATAATTTTACAAAAAAGAAACTTAGCATTCATGAAACACTTAAAATACTAGCTCATTAGTATCTTAGAATTTCTAATATCAATTTGGTATATCTTACATGGTACTGCGTCTTCTTGATTTCCATACATATAAAACAAGGTAAAAAATTTAAGACTTCATATGATATGATAAATTATTATACGATTCCCTCGATAAGTAATTCTTAAAATTCGTAAACAGATTTTTTTCTTTGGCATAAACTGACTGATTCAAAACCGAATGGTTTACTATTTTTATATCTTAAAAAATAAGTATTTGTAATATTTACTTATTAGTACTTATATTATTTTAAATTATTAATATAATATTAATAATTTTTAATATAATATTAATATTATTTTAAATTATTAATATAAGATTAATATTTTTATTAATATAGTATTAATATTATTTCATTATAACAGGTTAAAAACAGTCGAAATTACGAAATACAGAATGAACAATGAACAAAAAAATGAATAAATATACATAAAATAGACAAACCAGATGTTGGTCGTTGAGCAAATGAACAATTCGAGATGCATATTCACTGGGCGGAATAACATCTGGACAAGTACGAAATAACTTCAACAAACATAATGCAGCACTTTGTTTTACAAAATCTATTGTATCACTTAAAAAATCAAAATGTTGACAGAAATTAATAAATAATTTTCCAAATAATCCTTGAGCCGAACCACTTAACTTCTGGTTTTTTAGAAAAGTTTTTATGAATTTAAAATTAAGTACTCACCCTGACACGAGTAATTTTGGTAAATCTTGAGCAAAAGCTTCTGCCATATCTTTACTTCCAATGTTCGAAATACATTGAAGAGCTAAATTTACATGAACAGGATTACGCGACTGTAAGTCATTCTTTATCGACTGAATGATTAACTTGATTAGATCCGAATTATTATTAATTAATACCGAAATGAATAAGTAGCCCTGAAAAATCATTAACTACATTTTTTTGCAATGTTAATAATTTTTTCAAAAAAATAACAACCAACAATTTGCTTTTCAGTATATTTATTGGAACTGAGTAAATTTGTAGCTTCCATGTGCCCAAAATCTATATCATTGCCAAGAAGAAATATAAACAGTAACTTGCAAACATATTTCTTTTTCTGATAGCCATCAATCATTTTGTCTCCTGAAATATTTCTCAACCATGAAATAACAGGGTATACTGCTTAAGAGTTAAAAGAATGTTAAATAATAAAACAATGAAATAACCAAAGCAAACTACGACAATCTTAAAACAAATTTTTAAAACACACATTTTCAAAACGACCACTGAATATAAAATTTAAATATTAATGAAATAAAACAAAAAAGTATTTAAAATGTTCAAATCAATCAAAATAAAAATCTCTACAAACCTTTAAATTTGCTTCTTATATTTGCTAACTCTCTATTTATCCTCTTCAATTCGGCTTCTTTGCTTTTACAGTTTCGAATATCAGAAATAAATACGGCTAAACCACGCATACCGTCACCTTTCACTGCTGGCATAGTTTTAATTAATTATTAACAACAATCTCTGCGTCGATATTTCTAGCTTAAGAATTCAAATTATAAATTTTCATAAAATTTTATAAAAATTTTACTCATGCAATATTCAATTTAGTAAGTGAAAAAGAAAATTCACGAGAAATTAAAAAGTTCAGAAATTAGGGGAATCTAATATCTCATGAATTAAAAAAAAAATTTTTCATTACAATAAAACATAATTTTGACAAAAAAAAGATCCTTCTTGTTTTTTCTTCTTCCTTTCTTCTTTCTTCCTTTTGTGAAAATTTCATGAAAAAAGTAAAACTTCTCGAGATAACAAAACATTTTCATATATTTTACATTAAAATTATGTTTTATTTATTAAATTATGTTTAAAAATTATATAATATTTTGTTAAAAATATTAATAATATTTTGTTAAAACAAAAAATGAAATGACACGATTATTTCGTAATTTAGCAAAAAATACTTCCAAAAAAAACGATCATTGTAATGAAAAATTTAAATAAAATTTAAATTTTATTTTATTAAATTAACTTTTTATTAAATTTAAATTTAATAAAAATAATTTAAAAATTTAACAAAAATTACATAAAATTACATAAATTCATCTCGCTATGTACCAATCTTTATGATGAGTCATAAAAAGAGAGGGGGAACGTAAAAAGCCAAAATAGTCAACCAAACAGTCAATAGTCGATATAACCAAAAGACAGATATTTCGAAGGCCGTAGGAAAATGAACTAAAGTTCGTTACAGATTTATTTGCGAAACTTCTTTATTTTTGTAAAATATTTATAAGAAAGCAAAAAAAGAAAAAACCAAGCTGTTTTTTAAAAATAAATCCACCTTTCAATATTAAGGTATCGAATTTTGATTTCAAGAAAATTGAAAAGTTCGAAAGTTTATTCAAATACAAACAACATGAATTCTCGAACTAAAATAAATTTACTAAATGAAAATTAACTTATTCAAAACTCCACAGATCAAGCGAAGCAATTTGCAAAACTTTCGCCTTAAAGAGGTAAACTTCGCTCGTATTTGCAACGCTTATCCCGAGTTCACAGCCAATAGATTTGAAAAAAATGTGAATTAAGATTTTAAAAATTCAGAAATAGAAGAATCTAAAATCTCATGAATTAATTAAAAATTAATTAACAAAAATTCTTCCAACTAAAATAAAATAAAACAAAATTTTAACGGATAAAAATTTTTTCTACTATTTTTTTATGAATGATATTCAATATTCTATGAGAGCTTCATGGTTATGATTATGTTTCCACTGAATCATAATCGTATCAATTTGACTTATTCCCGCTGTTGAGGACCATAGGCGACTTCCCAACGAGAATGCACCACAGGCGACTTCCCGACGAGAATGCACCACAGGCGACTTCCCGACGAGAATGCACCACAGGCGACTTCCCGACGAGAATGCACCACAGGCGACTTCCCGACGAGAATGCACCACAGGCGACTTCCCGACGAGAATGTCTCATTCAGCGGAAATCTTTATCAGTAAAATGGACTACGATAACGAATCAGACTGAACAAAAAATTCTATAATTTATTTTGATGAATAAATAAAAAATGAAAAATAAGAAAAACCATTGAAAATGAATAAGAATTAACGAAATAAAGGAAATAAAATAAGAAAAGGAAAACTTTAAAAGGCAATTTTTATTGAGCGAAAAGGGTTATCTTTTACCGAAGAAATAGAACGAAGAGCGAAATAAAAGCTTTTAGGCTTTTTACGCGAAAAAGAGAACGCAATTCCATTTTTCCGCGAAGGTTTTCCTTGCGTGGAGAGGAAATTTTCACTAAATTAGCCGAAACCAAAGAAAAGTCACGTCAAAGGACGAAAATCCCTCGAAAATGCAATATAAGGAAAATCGATGCCTTGAAAGTAAATAATAGATTTGGAACAATGCCAGATTTGAACTGTTACAAGTAATTAATCACTATTCATCGGCTTTTTGTGAATTTTTGTTTTTAATTTTTTTTTCGAAAATAAGTGGATTGGTTCGTAGAATAAGAAATTCCGATTCTAAGAGAGTGAGGCGAGGTTTAGTTTCTTTCATTAATTAATTATCCTTCTCTGTAATTTTCCTTTTTCTCGATTGAATATTTTTGATCTTTTCCGCTGAAAAAAGTTTTGAGAGAATATAAATAAACCTATCACTGGCAGTGGAATTCGGATGGCTGTTAGCAATTTAATGACTTCGATCTTCGAATGACTCGTTGGCAAGCAAACCATCGGAAGTTTTGGTGCTCGGACCAAGAATTTCTGCTTCCTGAAGTACTGGAAAAGTTTAGAAAACAATTTTGTAATATATAGGTTGGTTGGCGACAGCCAATAGTTTTTTGGTTAATAGCTTTAATTTTTCTTATAGAGATGGTATTAATCGATTCGAGATGTAAAAATACTATTATTAATAATAGCAAAAATTATTCAAGTTCATTGCAAAGTTGTCGTGCGTTACCACCGCCAACATCTGTCAATGATTCGTAAGTTTGCTATTTTCACATAATTATTTATTCATTCTTATTAGTGGTACTGTGCTGATGAAATTATTATTTGATACGAAGTATCCTTTTTGCATGAAAGTTTTCATCAAGTAATTTAGATAAAATTTATAAGATTTGCAGTTTCATACAACTTTGGTATGATTTAAATTTGATGCGATATAATATAGGGCGAATTAAATTTTTTTGATGAGTGCGTTCGGTTGTTTTATTTTATTTTTTCATTTTGATTTTTTGAAATTCCGTATGAAAATGAATCGAAATAAAGGCAAATAACTAATGAAACTGAATTTTTTCCTATGGCTCAATTTCTTTTTAAAGTATCCTTGTTGCATATTTATTATATTATTTTATATTGGCGATTTTATATTTTAATTAATATTTCTTTACTAATTTTTTTTTCTTAAAATTTATTGTTTTACAGAAGTGTTTATACTTTTATATTTTTTTTACCATAAATGCAAAGTTTAAAATGAAACTTCTTTAACGAGCGAAGATTTTAGTAAATTAAAAATGCAAAGAAGGTCAAAGGAAGTGTAATTCATGGGAACAGTTGCATTTTCAAAAGAAAAATGGGAAAAAATTTATTGAAAAATAACAAGTTTATAAACTGGATGCTATGTAGTAGAATAAAATACTCTATAATACTTTATATAATACCCGCTGTAGGTTCCATCCAGACTATAAGAGTCTTCGCGTTCTCTCTGCAGATCTCGCAAATATAGTGGTGCATTGTCAAATATCTTGTTTCTCTCAAAGACTTGGCCGAATAATTACGGTTACAAAAATAATTAAGAAAACATGGATATACCTAATCTTGATTGTGTTCATTTTAACCATCCTAATATTCCAACTGGAGGAGTGGTATTATATTACAATATTTTATGATGAGAAAAAATTGCCACTCCTCATATTTATATTCATATAAATTTGAAGCAAACGAATTTACTGATAGAAATTATATAAACCATGTTTCTCGGTCTATCATAGAGAAAGGAAGAGCAATGCTGTTGGCGGTTATTAATATAAATAATATTTCCCATTATTAAGTTCAGGCTTTAACGGTATGCACTAGTGAGAATTTAGCGCATCTTAATTCTAAACTGTTCAAAATCCCAGTGGTTATAAGCGGAGATTTACTGTAAATTTCACTTCAGAAAATTCACATTTCCTAACTGAATTTGCACGCGGAAATTCAAGAATTACAGATACAACTACAAGTGATTTATTCATTTTTGTTATTAATACCTGTTTTGCTCGAAACGAATATTGTTCTGTTTTAAATTAATTGTTTTAAAACAATGTTTAATATTGTAAAATTCGATCAAATCATGGAGTGGAAAAGAATTTTGAAATGCAAGAAAAAGTTTTTTTTAAATTATCGCTTGAAAACACTTTTTGCTAATTATTTATTTTTATAACATGGTAATATTTAATTTAATTAATTTAAGTGTAAGAAGCGAAGATGGAATTGCATGGATTCGATATACAATGTATGGCTGCATCATCATATTTCTCGTAAATTTTTTCTCTTTTGATCGTTTTGATAATATTTCAATATAATTGTACTTTTTTTCATTTATTGTACGTTTTATTATTTTATTTCACATAACATGATTTTATTTCGTAATTTATTGGTTGCAAACAGTTATAATTAATGAAATGAGATTAATTTATCCTCATATTTGTCTTATTTTGAATCTTTCAATCTTTTATCTTCTTTTACACAATTTTGTTAGATTAATTATATTATATTTAATATAATGAGCAGTATTATGCAACTATTGGTTGATTTATTTATTTATTTTTGATATTAGGGTTTTTAATTAATTGGTAAATTGGTAAAAGTGAAATTCATCGCTCTTTTTTTGGTTTTCAATTTATTTATTCACTTATTCACTTAAAGGGATGATATTTTTTCAGGAAGAATAAATTTGGGGTGGATGGAGAGGGAATATTATGCAGTAACATTACATTTCCGGTTGTTGTAAAATGATCATAAAAACTTTAGAAATTTTCATTTTATTTTATATTGCAGACATATATGTATGTGATCCAAGGAAATTTGCAAATTTTATGTACATAATTTTCGTTAAAATTTTTCAGCTTGTTGGAGGTATTGCACTAACTGTTGGTGTATGGCTAAGAACTGATTCTCGTTTCAGAGATTTCTTATCTGAGCGATATCGAAACGTTGTGGAGGAAGCTTTCTGGCAGGTTATTTTTACAGTTATCGATTTAAAAATTTTAGTGTTTTTTCAACTTATTCAGACCTAAAAATAGTAGTTTTTTAAGCAATTCTGATGGTTATTTCAATGTTTTAGAAATCTTATTTCAGGCACCAACACTATATATATTTTCATATGTGCTAATCATACTTGGTGGTTCAATTACTGTTATTAGTATGTTAGGTTGTTGTGGTTTAGTAACTCAGTCGACTCTTCTTTTAGTAATTTATTCGATTATTATTGCTGCAGTTATGATCGCTACACTGTTTGCTGGCATTTATCTTCTTTTCAAAAAGGATGGGGTATATTTGATATTTTTTAGAATTAAATTCAAAAATATTTTTCAGTTCTTTAACCATTTTTGAATGATAATCTTTTTTATATTATTTTTTTCTTTTACCTCATTTCTTATATTCATTTCAGTCCGAACCATATTCTTTTAGATTGATGTCGAAATTTCTGATGCACTTAATTATATGGTCCAGCATTATTATCAAGGACCTGGAATAATTCAAGAAAGTCTCGATCGCTTGCAGCAAACTTTTCGTTGTTGTGGTATTTTTTGATGCTTGGGATTCTCTATTTATTTAATGGTTATTCTGTATTTTATATTCATTTCAAATAAATTTTGTAAAATATAAAGTATTTGGTGTAAGGAGGATTGTCTTTTCTTAACTGTATTTAAGGAAACGCCGGATGTGGTGATTTTGAAGTCTTTCGTCAAGATCCTCCTCGATCATGTGATATTCGCTGTGATGGTTGTCATTATCGAATCATGACTGCCCTAAGAATAGGATTTTCAGTTGCTGCTGTTATTTTCTTCGTGGTTATCATTGCTCAAGTTAATATTATTACTTTTTATTATTCTATTTATTGCTTAATTTTTAAGTTTTTTGTGGATGGATAGCGCGGTGAATAGTGGCTTGATTATTGTGATCTCTCCTTGAAAAACCAAATGCCACAGAATGTGGTACTCACCTAGTTTCCATCCAAGTGACTCCTTGGAAAAATTTTTAATCATATTAATAATCAGCTGTGGAGTTAGGTTACCCAAAAATGATGGGTGTTCCTAACTATGCTACTGTGCGTAAAGGTCGTTTGGTTTGTCGTATTGACAGAGCTCAAAGATCATGGGTTCGATTTTTTGGTTTTATTAAAATTGAAATAATGCTGAGGATATGCCCATCGACTATTTGGTGAAGTGGCTAGTAGATACATCTTAACCGAAAATGGTGAGTTTTGAAAAAAGTACTGTGTATTACTATTATATATTGTTACACTATTATATATTCTTAAATTTTACTATTACGAGTCTGTTTCAGTTAGTCACGATCGTATTATCTCTGGTTACGCTAATGAAACAAAGAGAAGAAAATTATTCACGGGAAAAAATGGCTGGTTATGAAATGATGCGGCGTTATTATAATCATAATCATATGCCTCAAAATCATAAATATGTAGCCAATTCACGAACTTTTCGAAATGATTCTGTTCGATATTCTGATACAAATTTTTGTAATCATCATTAATATTAGAAATTTTAAATTAAATTAAAGGTTTGTTGTTTTGTAGCCCCAAAAAATGTATTATTGGGTTACTAATCTCATTTGTGAACACTGATGCTGGGATTTTAGTTATGGTGATAACTCATCTATATTTCTATCGCCATGTAAATTCCTGGCAAATTTTTCTACAAGCCAAGGAGCTGGATAGATCTTACCAGAAATGATGAACTATTAGAAAAGAAAAAAAATTTATCATGAGCTGCGGACCAAAATTTCTGTTTTTCATTTTCAGTCACTTTTTTTTAATTAATCATTTTGATAATATGTCATTTTTAATTCGTTTCACAATTCGCGGAATGAATCTCACTATTTTCAAAATGCATGCGTGTTTATTTGAGTTTTGGATAGGTTAATCCAGTTCATCCTAATTTTTATTTATTGATTTATTTATTTATTTATTGTTTTACTAAAATGTTACTGCATATCTACATACATATTTTTTAATTTTATTTTTCCATTCTTTTCTATTACATATTATTTCGTGATTTAATTGGTTGTACGCTAATGTTATTATGTCATTTCGCTGTGCATCATTTTAGAGGTACCGATTAGTCCTCAGTAGCCACTCGTTTTCCATCTTTTTTGTAACTTTGTTTAATTATTGTGATATTACTTTACTTTTATAATAAATACTTATTCTTTATTTGGTATATACATGCATATTTTAATCTTTTATTAATTTAACATATTTTCTGTAATAATCAGAGAAATTTTTTTTTTAATAAACTTATTACAACAATGAATCGTTTATTTTTGATTTTAATTTTATTTGACGGATATTATCCGAATTTATTTCGAATTTATTCCTTGTTACGGGTCAATTTTTAATCCTTTTTCTTTGCAAATCTAAATTTTTTTCCTGAGTCTCGCGTGTTTTTTGTCAAATTCGTTCTTTTTCCAAATTCGTTGAAATTTTAATTATTGTTAGACTTTTGAAGAAGAGATCTATGATCCTTAATAATAAAAAGAGAAATCTTCATGGATGAGAACGAACGAGTAGAAACAAATCGTATATCAAATAGTCCAACACGATCTTCTGCTGAACGTTTTAGCAGTAATCTTCCAGGAAGGCTTTTTGCTATGGTGCAGGTTTGTCTTCTTATTTTTTGACGCAAAGAATTTGGATCTAGTTCATTTAAATTAAATAATAGGGCTTCATTTTTTCAAATTCTATCTAATAGTACAGTAACCACTGGCTTTCCCACCAGTTGAAATAAATTTTTTTTTTGAGTGGAAAATGTCTAAATAACGAGTGGTATGGTTTGAGTAGGAAAAGGTTGAATGATTTTTCGCGCTTTCAATCATTAAAAGAAAATTAATTTATAGATATAAAATTTATATATAGTTTATACTTGCAAATTTCTAGCATGCTGGCTCAGACAACTTGTCGAATGAGATCGTCGAAGATTTTCGAAACGCAATCGATATTCTCACTCGTGTGGCACCCGTTAACCAACAACAAATCAATACCAACAGCTAATATTTACATTTATAATTACATTTATAATATTAATTATTAATTCATTTAAAATATTTTAAAATTATCCACGTAAAGTTTCGATAATTGTCGGAAAAGTTGGGTATAGTTGATATATGCAGACTGATAGAATTTTCAATTTCGATTATGGCGATTTTTAAAATAAGCTTTCAAGGAATCAGTGGTAAAGATAAATTTTATGTAAGGAAGTGACATGTATTTGAGATTTAATACACTAAAAAAATTGTAAAAGTTTATAAGTCTACTAAAGTTCGAGCACATTTATATACAAATTTCATATAACATATAATGCTAATATTATACGATTACTCGCTTAATTTTTTAAATAGATATGGTCTCTTTTGAGATATAATGAAAACAATAGCGAAAATGCCAGTAAATTTTGAAAAGGGAAATCAATGTGAAATATTGCATTTTTCCGGTAGGAAGTTGAGTTCGGGGAACAAATGATAGATTGATATATTTTATTTCAAATTTTGTGATAGGAAGAAATTTAACAGTAGGATAAGAATATAATCATGGACATTTTTAGATAGGAGGCCATATCTATTTAAAAAATTCAAGAAGGGCAGAAAAAATAAAAATGAAAAAAGGTTTTGGAGAAGCAAATCAGCAAAAATTATAAAAGACAAGGAGAGAGAATTTAATGGGGTAGAATTTCAAGAAGCATTGCTAGGATTACACTGTTGCGATCATGACGACGTTTGACTTGTTGGTAGGGGTTCTGTAACGGAAATGAAGGAATATTAAGAAATGTAAAAAAGATATTTAATATTGTTTTATTATAAGAGATAGTGACGGAAAAAAGAAGAGCACTTCCGACAAAGATGCTAAAGAAATAGGAATAGGACTGAGTTTGAGAGCGTATTAAGGAAATAAGAAATAAGGTGGATTAAATGTTTATAACGAAAGTGCAGAGTAATATTTAAGAAGAAATGAGGCGGTTTGGTAGTATGTTAAGGAGCCTCAATTGAAGCAGGTGTAAATGCGTTATGATAGCACAGAGTAGTTTGATGGAATGTTAAAGGGGAATGGGATATTGGAGTGTTAGGGAAAATAGGTTATATCGAAGAAAATTAATAGAGTTATAGAAAAAAATGCGGATTCATATTAATGAATCAAGAATGGTGTTTGGTGAAGTAAAGGGATATTTGGTTTTAATCAGTTCTAACCAATATTAAAGGTACTCTGTTTACAGGTTCTATAATTTGAGGCTGCAGCTATGTCTTTTTACACAATTGACATATTAACTCAGCAAATTTTCATATATAGCTTTAATTTAGAGGATTGCATTAACTGCTATTTACTGTTAGAACAAAACGATATGCTTCATGTATTTTTCAAATTTGAAGAAAGTTCAATCTCGTTTTCTTTTTCTGAATTCCGTATCTTCACTTTCACAAGTATTGCAGTCCCACATTCCGATACAGTAATCGTCATGGAGGAAGTTCTTGGTTCTTCTACTAACTCTTCAAATTCATCCAGCACAAGGCATCGACCTATGTTTGTTAATCAAACTTCTAGCGCAGTCTCAGATAGGATCGGTGTTGATTTTTTTCTCTCTTTGACATTTTATATTCACTTTTAAAACTTAAAAATTTGCAGAATTTTTGTTGCGGTATATTCACAACAAAGAATAAAAAGACGAGAGCCTATTATTATTAATTTTTAATTGATTTTTCATGGAGCTTGTAGATGATTTGTTAATAATCAATTATTTGGAATAAGATTTGGAAAATCATTTCCTAATTTTTTTTAAAAATTTTCTTAGTTTATTAAAGCAAGTTTAAAATTTCGATTAAAATAAAATAAAGGTTGAGGTGTTGTTAATGAAGCGAGTGAGAATGTTAATAGCACAAATGATGATAACAGTGATAATAATTCGGAAAGGAATTTACGACGAGAAATAAATCGCCTCAGAACAGTGCTGCATAATAGCGCTATCCGACGTGTTTGTTTTAATTTTATATTTGAAAAAATCTGAAAATTTATGCTCCTGAAAATTTATACTTCTTTTCAGGATGTGAGAACTGTGGTGAGCTTCGCACCATTTCTGTTGATTGTTGTTATCAAATTAATTTTTGATACTTTTCTGTTATTGCTCAATGTTTTTCTTGCTTTCGTTTGTTTTCATGCATCTAATCTAGCATTGGTACTTTCTATCAGGTAAGAAGAAATTACCCATATTTTTGATTTTAATGATGACTAATTTTAATATTAAAGTATTATAAAAAAAGTCAAATCGCCAAAAAATCCTTTTGTACAAAAACAATCCAATTGGAAATTTTTCACTGGTCTCGAAGGATACAGAAAACTTTCAACATTTCCAGTTCAAAGATTATTAATGTTGATAACTATTATTGTACACAAAATGGAAAATATATATATTTTACATGAAAAAATATATTTTAACATAAATGATATTTCAAAAAAAAAAAGAATATATATATGTATATATTTATGGTGTATTTCATCCATTCTTCTCTTCTCATTGTTGGTAAAAATCAGTTGATCAGTTGATCAAAATATTTTGTATACCTTATCCAGGAACTCATTCTTCAACTAATTATGGTAAATTTTGCAATCATGAGGGATTATCCTATGAAATTCTAAATCCTGTGAAATTATAGAAAAGTACGCATTTTCCACTTCGAATTCTTACAATCATCTTACAGTTCATCCTTAACTGGATTCAACGTTGGGATTAGGGCAGCAAGAAGCTTTCGTTATGTCTTAATATTTGTTCATATATATTTGTTCATCTAATTTTTTATGAAATGGATGTATGTCTGTAATGGCGTCAAGAATTTGATTGCTTTCTTGATGTCTCATTTAGGGCTAAATTGAATACTAATATGTTCAAAGTTGTTTCTGGCTTAGGTAAAATTGTATTTCAAATAGTACAGATTGAACTAATTTCCTTGTCATGCTCTTTAATTTTTCCAGTCTTCATAGATCAATTAACAATTAATTATTATGTTGTGCAAATGCAATGGAAAGGGTATATGTACATATACTTATATATTTTACACAAACGATCGAAAATTTTTTTATCACGATTTTTATATTCATGCACCATTTCCATGCTTCAAAATCAATGAAAAAGCTTCGATCTAAGAAAAAAATTTTTTTGGTGTTTCCATCTATTTTTATTTGCAAATAATGGAAAGTTATCTACAATCAATAAGAAATATCACCTGAGAGGAATATAAGGGTTTGTATTTTCCCTAATTTTATCATTTATCTTCAGGGAAAAACGTGTTATTCGGACTTTCCAATCATCATTGCTGTCATTTCTTTACATTATTTTTGTGAATTATTTTTATGGTTAGTTTCTCTAATTTTTATAGAATTTTAACTAAATTATATTTTTATTGCTGTTTATTACATAGAAATCTAAAAGATTTCTCCTAGGATTTTTATTGCCAAGGAATCAAGCTAAAGCTTTTTGTTCTAATATCTGGAAAAAACGTTTCGATTTGCCAAATACATCGATTTTGAGATATCTTTTCTGTTGAATTCTTCCAGTTTTTCAGATGTGTATTATAATATAATTTACATGTGTGTAAATAATTTTAAAATTATTTCACAATTTTTTTATCATATGCAAATATTTTAGGTCTAGATACAATCTTAGTTCCTTTGCGTCTTTTGTCCAATATTGCTGCTCCTGCAGCTTTCTTTTCGGTGCTTTATGTTGTTTTAATCACTGATTTTGTTGCAAAGCTAATTACAATCCAGCTGAAAGCATTGGTAAGCCTAAACTAATGTATAAGAAATTTTATAGTGTAGAATTTTGTAAAAGAACGTGCAAGAATTTTCAAAATTTCTATTAACTTTAAGGTGGCATCGATACCTGCAAAATTTTTGTGTAGCCGAAGGCAACGACGATTTTTCCAATTTGTCGAATGTACAAGTCAACTTTACCGTTACTTTTTGCCCATTCCACAGTGGTCACGTTATTTTAATTATAGGCTCTTCTCATTGCCTTCATTGAATAGCGATCATATTTTCGCTACCATATATATTTGTTATAAAGTTAGTAACTAGTTTTATACGTTCTTAGGTTACGCATTTTGGTACTTGTTTTGTCATTTTTTAATTATTTTTTCCTTGTTATATATGACTTGGCTGGTTCCACTGTCTATTAGGATGAAACCTTTTCGCTGGAGAGTTACTTAGAAAGATAGAAATGAGTCCTTTGCAACGACTCCGACAATAGGCAGATATCGAATCAATTTGATGGAACTCTTCAATTAAATTTGAAGAACTTTTTAGATTTTTTTGTCAAGAGTAGTTTGTATTCCATGGTTCGAAAGTTTAAAATGTCTTCTGCGTTTAACTTCCGTTGGTGAACGAGCCACATTAAATGAGAAAGACCAAGCTTGGCAATGTACAATTTGCTTTGGTGATTTTTTAAATCCGGTGAAGGTTAGTGAAAATTCTCTAATTTGGACATAATTTTATTTTTTTATCTCTTTACATTTCTTAATTACATCTCTTAAAGATCTCCTGTGATTTTCGGACATTCAGCTCTATGTTTTAAGGTCTTTTAAGGTTAAAATATTTTCATCTATATTTCTCTTTTATATTGAAACGGAATTGATATTTTGTTGTTTGCAAATTGTAAGTAGTAATTGATTTGATCATTTATTTTTAGTTATCTTGTGGGCATATATTTTGTGAAGAATGTATTGGAACATGGTTAGATAAAGAACATACTTGTCCTGTGTGTCGCGCCACTATTGCACTAGAAGATAACACTTGGAAGAATGGTGACACAACTTTTATGCCGCAAATTTGTTAAAATATAAAATTGATGTTTATGAGGTGTAGAAAATATATTTCACTTTTCATTCGTTTATTTCGAAAATAATGCAGCACCACTATTATGATTTCTTTTAATTTATTGAATAAAATTTCAAATTTTCTTTTCAAACTTTCCATTTTCCATTTTTCATTTTTAATAAAAGGAGTACTGACTGAGTAACTGAAGTAGAAAACTTACTTTAATTCTTCGTGAAGGTGTATGGTCTGAATTTTATTTATGCTTCTCTAAAATTAATCTGGTAATTTGATATAATTTTATTTTTTACATTTCTTAATTACATCTCTTAAAGATCTCCTGTGATTTTCGGACATTCAGCTCTATGTTTTAAGGTCTTTTAAGGTTAAAATATTTTCATCTATATTTCTCTTTTATATTGAAACGGAAGTGATGTTTCGTTGTTCGCAAATTGTTTATGAGGTAGAAAATATATTTCACTTTTCATTCGTTTATTTCGAAAATAATGCAGCACCACTGTTATGATTTCTTTCAACTTATTAAACGAATGTGAAGGTCCAGCATCTTCATTCTCAAGTTGCTGCAATCATTTAAGTTCATTTCCACAATCTCATTTCCACAATAGTCAGCGGAATCTCATTCATTAGAAATATATGAATAAAGGTAATTGATTTTGCGTTGAATTGGTTTTCTATGGAAAAAAGGAATCTTTCTGCCCCTTTTGTTGCAATATAAAAGTAGGTAAATTTTTCATAAATCATTGTAAGAAAATGGGAATGATTGTCGAATTATATGGGAGACAAAAATGAAAACGGAAAACTGGAATGTATAAGGCGGAACCAATTTTGTCGTTTGGCAAGTAGAATCAATAACAAAACGGATCGACTGGTCGTTAAGATTTTAAGATTTTTAGAATTTGTTTAACATCGTTTTGCCGTTGACTATGTCGTATTTTTATTTTCTACCGGTTTTATTAATGCAACTGCAAAATGCAAACTGTAGACTGAATGCTAATAATGAAAAACTTGCATGGTTACTTGGATCTTGGCGATCTGAATTTTCCGGAAAAGTGACGATTTTTCAATTTATATTTATATTTAAAAATTCATAAAAGTTATATTTATAAATTCATAAAAGTTGAAAATATTTAATTATATTCTTGTTCTACTAAAAGCTTCCACCATTTCTGAATAGGTTTTCAGCGTTACCCAGGTTCTTTTATGGACGAATTTATTCCTCTCAAGCGAAGCCAAATCCGAACCATCATGTTCCCATGAAACTATAGTTATAATTAGGATCAGATTAAGTAATTATGATGTTCTAGTAATAAATAATGGTAAATTGTGAGTTAATTTATTCATTTCGAGTAATCCTTGTAGAATAAAAGTTATTATAAATTAGCATACATTTATAATTATAATAATTAATATATATGTGTATATATATATATATATATATATATATTTAATATATGTATTAAATATATGTATTTAATATTATAAATATATATATAATATATATATTTACATTTGTATATTGTTTATTTATATATATTATTTATTTATTTATATACATTTTACATTTTCGAAATTTTTCAGTAGTCTCGGAAAAAATTTGAGCATCACTTTGGCAATATTTTAATGGGTATTTGTGAATTTTCCTGAATAAATTCGAGCTTAAAGCAATTTTAGGTATTTTGGCCAACAGTACCTACTATGACATTTGGTGAAGAATTATTTATAGCTGAAGCACCTATGGCCAAATCGGTTAGCGTACAATTTTTGAATTTTAGGTAGGTTCATCTCTTGTTTTTTACCATAATCGTTTCTATTTTAAAATTTCATTTTTGATTCGAATGATTTGCCTGACTTTCTTATTATTTGGTGATCTTTATCAAAAAGTCGTATTATTACAAAAAACATACTGTTATCCTATTAAAATGGAGATGATATGATCAAAACCAGTTGTAATTATGCTTTGATAATTTCTTATCAAAATTCTCGTCGCTTTTCTTTGATTGATAGTTTTGCTAACATTTCGATATATAATTGTATAAAAAAATTTATTCTTCATAAATAAATAAATGATTTTAAAGAAGAATTTTTATATAAATAGGTTTATCGCATCAAATCCAAATATTCAGAGAACTTTTTTTCCATTTAAATCTGCAATTTCGACGATATTTTTTCCTTAGAAATCACTTGCGGATAGAGAAACAGGTAGAACCCCAGCGACTTTCACTTTTAACGACAGGTTTATTCCTGAAAAAATCTGGAAACCTGGAACTTGGATAATTTTAAATTCAATAGTTAGAAAAAAACGAAAATTGTTTCCTCCATTTGGGAACGCCGAATGGTAGACTGCTTCGATCTGCATCGCATCTGCATTTCTATCGACTGGCTCCCTGGCAAAAATTTCAAATTTCTAATCGTACCAACAGTGAGCGAAGGTAGCCTAATTAAAAGTGGTGACCGCCAATATTTGTTAATCTTTTTCAGTCTTTTTCAAGAAAGGTATCCTAGAAACTGATGAGAAAATGAGATTTTTACTTGCCCAGCGAATTCATAAAAATTAGAACTGTTTTATATCGAATGAAAATGTATGGCTGTGAAAAAAATTACTTAAATGATTACGCAATCTTTTGATAATTTCTTGAATTTTTTTAATTTGTAATCGTAAATGTCTTCTAAATTAGGAATAATTTTTAGAAAATTTTTCCAGGTTAATTAATTAAAAATGAAGTCTGAATTTACAAAATTTATGTAAATTTGAAGTAACCGATGCAGAAGTTTTCATGTTTAAGCAAAATTACTTTTTTTACTTTTTTAGAGTTTTTTACTTACATAAGAAAATGGTTATATGCTTACATGAGAGGGAATTATGAAAGGCGAAAAGATCTACTGAGAGCAAAAGCGATGCTCTCAATCTCCTAAAGCTTAAGCTTATCCAAGCTTTATTCTAAATTTCTTTAATTCCTAATTTATACCTTAATCCAATATATAAATATTTTAAAACCAATCTGAACTTTACCAATGTTTTTTAGACTCAACTGTAATGCTCTCAGAAAATATGAAAGATGTATGTTTTTAGCAAAAAGTCCTTGCCACATTCTATCAGTAAAAAATTTGATTCAGTGCTCGTGCTTGGTCCCACACTACAAAGGACCACTTTCATGATGAATGGGGATTTATCACTGCTGATTCAAATGGCAATGTAACTCTCATGACAACTGGAAACAATGGTATTTTTAAACACTACTAGAATTTTTTTCTTATTTTTTTTGAATTTCTAATTTAATCATTTTAATAAATTAAATTGGTAAAGGCTTCATAAATAATATAAATTTAAATATAAATTAAAATTAAAACGTTCAAGCCAAAATAAAATTTAAATTCATCTTATGAAGCGTAGGCATTTACTGATCCGAATTCCATGAGATGGTGATGGTCTTTTCTCGAAAAAACATTTAATTGACATTGGTTTTTTTACAACACGTAGGAAAATGGTTATATGCTTAGATGAAAAGGAATCGGTAATTTAATGGTGCCAAGGGTACTTTTGAAGGATCGCGGTCTTTGAAAGTTGGCGTTGCCGGTTTATTTTAACACTATCAGTGCTCTTTTCGACTTTTGAAAATGAAAGTTTGCAAAGCTTATTACGCACTTATGAACTCAATCTTGTAAAAAGTTTTGAAAACATTTGAAAAATATACAATGAATTTGGAAATATAGTTTTGATGAAAATACTATTATCGAATAATGGTGTGAACGCAGACCATTTTTACTACTAATTTTTACTACTAATTAAATAAACCAGTGATAATACTGACATATTATGGCTTGAAGAAAACGATTATATATAATTTCAGGTTTCACAACGTATGAAGTAGGTTTATTATCACCGAATAAACTCGTTCTAACATTGAAGGATATTGGCCGAATATCATTTTCAAGAGATTTGCCTGTAGAAGATGTGAGTCGCTTTATTTCTGTTTGATAATAACGGTAAAAAATGGATATGCGAAACCTATCATCAGAGATAAAATCTCTATTGCGTAATTAATCGGGGAATAATAAATAGGTGTTTTTTTGAAGGAAGCAAATTCAGATTATTAGACTCATTAAGTATTAGAAGAATTTTTAATTTTATAGATTTGTGTGGCTAATTTGAACTGCACTTCTTTCTCTAGTAGCTCGCACCATTGCTGGTTCGGTTCGTTTCTCTGAAGACTAGGCATTTCCCAATCCCACACTTGAAAGTAACTGATGTTTAATGATAATAATGATGGCAGACTGTACGCAGTTGGGCCGCTCGTAGTGCCAGATAGGTGCGATTGAAAAATTTTGAAGCTGGTGTCGCTGTGATTCTGGAGAGGTTTGGCCCGACATATAGTTTAGCCACTCTCCTGAAGGAAATCACCTCTAGTTGCAGCCATCCGAGCTGCAATTTCCATCTGGCCATTAGGTATGAGAATGGATCTGAGATATTTAAAGACCGAAAATTCTTCGATGAAAAGAGGTGTCTTGTTTAGGGAAAGTTTTCGCATCTGTCGACACTATTTAACGTTCATTACAATTTCTCAGTCAGTGAGAAGGACGATGTCATCAATATTGGTATTATATTCTGGATTGATTTATATGCTTCTTGAGTATCAGCTAGCGATGTAACCTTATCTGTCGCATAGCTGAAAATTGTAGAAGAAAAAGATGATAGTATTTCAAAAGGTTACATCAAAGGTTCAAAAGGTTCAAAAGGTAAAAGGAAAGGTTAAAGTTTACCAAATACACGCTTGCATTATGCTAATAAATCAAATGATAAATCTTTTGATAAATCTTATTTACTCTGGAATATCATCGTGCTGCATGATTTGCCAGAGCACCACTCTCTTGGTCGAATTTAAGTAAAGTAAAGTAAAGTCAATAAAACATATAACGATAGGTTATCAATACTTTTGAAATGACTGACGTTCCAATATATTAGGGCGCATTCTGCATTGCTATGAGTTTATTCGACTGAACAGATAAAAACTCAAAAACTTTCACAAAAATATCGAGCAAGCCGACTCCTCGATAGTTGTCACAATCGTATTACCAGTGCTCACATTTCTTGGAAATTTGTAGCAGAACTGTAGTTGTTCGAGTTCCAGTCAGTTGTCCTTGTCGCATAACCTTTGCTCTCGCAGGTATATTGTGAAGGACGCTTGGCAGCATTTGGAGAGTCCAGCTTGCAGACCACCTCTGATTATGTTATGAATTTATCGGTTGATGCGGGTTTTACTGGTCTTAAGCTTGTTATTTCGTGCTCGTTCGGTGGCTCATTTGCAGTCGTCTCCAAATGCATTCCAGTATACGCGATGTTGGATGGTATACTCAAGATGGTAGTTCTTCGTAGTTAAGTTCGGGTTCAAAATAATATTCTCTCCCCATCGTAAGATCTTTGTTTTAAAGAGATCTTTCATCCTTATATCAGATCATTTCTTGAGTCATCTTGCGAAATAGGCGGAATATATTTGATGATCACCTTCTTTCTCCATATTCAAAGTCATATCGTCCCAGTACCAATTTTGTTTCGTTTCGGCTATTGTTAGTCTGTGGAGTTGCTAACAATCTTTTGTCCGAGACCTGCCAAGACCTATCCTAGAACAGATTTAATTAGCTCCTGGAGGCAGGACTTCAATTAAATCCTTCTCGATAGTTTTAGAACTCAGTATATAGTATAGGATTTTTCCTGTGTAGAAAATCCTATATAGTATAGGATTTTTTTTATCCAGATCATCTGTACAGCAGGAACATAAACATTGACGATAGAGATATTAGAAAACTTAAAACGGCCAACTGTTTATTAACAGGGTTCCATAGATTCCATACGATCTTGAACATTGCGACTTCATTTCTATCGTATTCGAAAAACCAGTAGTTTTCATGCGAACCAGATGAACTTACTGGTCTGGACCCAAAATTAATAAGATGGGTAGGCAAGCGATGTATACGATTTTTGGATAGGGTGGTTATCGTTTGGTTTCCTACATCCGTAAACGTTCCAATATTCCCCGCAGCTACGATCGAGACTTCGCCGTGAGCGTTAAGAATCGGCCGATATTTCCTTAAATGGGATAGAAATTCTCTTCCTCAGCTCGAATTCGAGATGTACCTCCGAATTACCATGCGCGGATGCTGTGATTTCCTTTCATGGTAGACACGGATAGAAATCAAGCACTCGGTTTTGACTTTAATGGCAGATTTACTGCTTTCCACTCAAGCAAAAGTAATTATAAGAGAAATTTATAAAGTTTATAAAAAGTTTTATAAAATTGTTAAGAAATATTCATGAGTTTGTAGCAAGAAATAATTTCGTAATTCTGGCAATTGAAATTGTGAGGCGAAGAAAGAAAAAAATTTTTTTTTGTTAGTACATGATCTGCTGTGAGATTTGAAGCCCATTCCAGAAAACATTTTAACGAATTGACCGAATATTAGCCATCCAGAAACACAGAATTGCACTAGTCCTACAGCTTCAGTTCAAATTAATCTATTGCAAAGTACAATCCAATTAAATGGAGTCGGTGCCTATTATTAGGATTTATTTGAAAAGTCATAATTTTTCTATTCCCTTCTGGTATAATTCATCACGAAAATAATACGAATCTGCTTCGGTGGTCTTTTTTCAAGAGCCGCCATTTCTGATTAAACTTCCTCCGTGGCTTATCGAATTAGATAAATTTTACCAGAGAACCAAATGGTGATAAAGGCTTCTTCTGAAAGCCAGATTTACTTTTGCAAGGAGTAAGGTTACAGCAGCAGTAATCCGAGAGAAACAACCTACTAAGCCATTCCATTCCATTAGTGATTAGTTTTAAAAGTTAATATTTTCAAAATTTTTCCGTTTTTTATTTTTCAGTAATTCTACTATCGCTGTTTCTATTGTCATTTCTACCTCATTTACATTTTTCCATGCAGATAGTTTCTGATCCATTTTTCTTTTATATTTGCCATTCCAAAACGCCGCTAAGTCCTATTTGCTTTTGGTACAATTGCTCAAAAAATTTTTACTGCAGCTTCGACGCACATTCATCAGGCATGATGATCGGTACCTCGAGCAAATCATAGAAATGCGAACTGCAACTCATCCGCCACATGGATACCTCGAACATACTCGTGTCATCTATACAAAACAGTAAACTTATGTTTACATCTGCTGCTTTCACCAGTTATTCACTTTCATCACAAATAAATAAAATCCATTCTAAAACCGATCTTTTTATTCAAATTTGTTTTGAAGTTTTAAGTTTTGCTTATGACTTTACATTTCGAAATAATTTTCGGCTAATAAATATTCTCACATAATAAATTCATCCAACAAGATTCATAATCTCAATTTAAACGGAAAACTTTCAACAATTCACAACAATTTATCTCACAATTTATGTTCTTTCTAACGAATTTTTACATTATTATTTATTATTATTTTTATTTATATTTTATTATTTCTCCATTATTTTGTTATTTTTTGTTATTATTATTATTTTTAAATTATCTTTATTATTTTTATTTATAATATAAAAATAATAATTAAATAATAAATTAAATAATAAATAAATAATAAAAATAATAATATTATATTTTTTTCAACTGCAGATGACAAGTAAATGATCAACCATAGTGAAACTGCATAAAATATCAAATATGGAAGGCACTTCGACCACAGCTTTATCCAAATAAAAACGATCAACATATTTGACCTGTACTGAAGGAAAGGAATATTTAAAATAATTGTAACAAAAATTTGTAAGATTATAACTGAAATATAAATGTATAAAATATAAAAATAAGTGAGAGATGATATATTTGAAACCGATTTAAGAAAAACACAAAAATAATCAATCTGAATAGTGATTATTTCCAAAAAAATTCAAAAGCTGCGCCAAAACAACATGATAAAATGGCACCAACAGGTCCGCAAGAAGCACCAAATGTCATAAGTACGGCAAGTGTTGCTGTTTTAATAACCTTAATATTTACTATCATTTAATATTAAGAATTATTATTGTTCAACTGTACAAAATATAATTGGTCAAATTACACATACATATCAATCAATGCCAGCTATCAATCTTTTCTTTTTTCTAATATCACCCCCACCATTATTGATTTGGCTGGCTTCAACGCTTGCAAGGGTGAAGTGTTTACAAGCGAGCTGGAGTTACCATTAATCTCAAATCTAAATCAAATAAAATGGTAATCGTAATAAATCGAAGGGAAATGGATTACCTGACCACTATATTTGAAATCGTATCGGCAATAATTTACAAAATGTTCACAGTTATTGATTAAAATATTGTAATTACTCGACCCAACCTAAAAAAATAATATGAAATAAAAAATTTACATTAGGAATGTAATTAGGCCCGTTAGAATTGGACAGCAAAGGAAGAATAACTGATGGTAGAGACTGCCGGTTTTTCCATTTGTTCATAACGACCTGTTATCGAAATAGTATATAATTGCCGGAAACAAAATTTGTTTTCATATATAGTATGTTCAACATTTTACCATGTTCAATGCACGATTAGATATCTCACTGATTGGAAGAGGATCATATAACTGATCCAATGAGTTATTAATGCGACATAAATCATTACGTGAAACTAAAGTGATTTCTTGAAGACAAACCTGAAATTAACAAATTCAGCGAAATCCAGCATTAATTTCTTTTCTACAGCTATGAATAAATTTCTTTAAAACAAACTGAATAAATATTTCGATTATAAATCTTCCTTTTAAATGCCAATATACATACTTTGGCACAATTCTTCGCCTTCTCAAAGATTTCTAAATTTGCAGATGAAAAATCAGCTTCCGCTGCAGACATATGGCATACATATCCTTCATTGTGAAATCCATGAAATCCAAGAAAAATCGCCCAGTGCTTAAATTTGAAACAATTTAATAAAATACATCAAAGTTCGTAAAAAAATAAACATAGCACGAAAAAAATCCTGCAAATTTAACGATCATTAAGAAAACAGGAAAAGAAGCGCATTTTCGACATTTTTATTCAATGCGACAAGCACTAAAAACCATTTTTCCATGCTTTCTACTTGTCAAAAAGTTGCAATGCATGAAAACGCCAAAAGTGAACAAGATTGCCAAGGGCAAACCACGCGTATGAATCGACTATTTTCTCTTTTTTTTCCTTCAAATGAACGTGATAAAATAATGCAAAAATATATCCAATACAAGCCCAATTCAATATAAAAATGGGTTATCTAGTAATAATTATCAAATGCTGGAATTGTCGCAGCAATTCGTAGAACTACGAAATAATTTAAATAGTACGAAAAATTTATAGACAAAATTCCATTTCAAAACATTATTGAAAAGGAACAAATTAAATAAAATTCGGTCTGCCGAATAAATAGAAAAAGAATCACCGAATAAATTCTCTTGGTAGTTTTAACAGTTCGTTGGAATTCAATTCGATCTCCAATTTCAAGCTCATTTATAAGTTCATCAACACGCGCCCACCGAGTTTGAAGCCGACCTGGCAATAATAAACCCGCACTGTTTGGGAACATACCTACTTCATACCAACCTGGGAGTTTTTCATTAATATTCGTTACCACCATGGAAACCGCGGCCGAAGCTGGGCCGGCAAATAGCACACTGCGGGATGCTGAAACCACCGACCTCCAGTTTTATGGTATATTTAGATTTCAATTAGACATTGTTATTTGCCGTACGAAGGCATTGGACACAACCTATGTGAACAAGGACGTTTTTTTTCGCTGATGGTTTTCTGAGCGACAAAACTTCGCCAAATTATTTTATTTTTTCCTTATTACTCATCATTTAAAGACAAAAAATACAAAATAAACAACTGAAACATAAAGGAGTTTTTGGTGAAATAATGAGGAAAAACAAAACTTCTTTCAACAATAAAAATAAATACAAATATGACGACTGACTGAGTCATGCATTTCTTCTGATAAGTAACATTAGTTCAATTCCTACCCTCCTAAGATGGGAGCAAATTAAAAGAGAATGAAAAAGAAAAACCCAGAAAACCCAGGTTACTGCTAGGAATTTCTTTAGTTTCAAGTAGATCGCTGGCGAAAGTATTTTAAACAAGCAACGTGGAGCCAACCAAACAGATGAACGTTATTAGAAAAGAAAATAAACAAACGAGGTGTTTTGTATGAAAGCATTCATGAAAATGGAATTTCAATAAAAAATATTAGAAATAACGTAAAACTTGTCGATATTATACTAACAAATGGGAAGATGGGTGAAAAAAAGAAAACCGAAAATAGTGAGAAATGTTTCATACAGAAAAAAGCAATCCAGAAGACCGGTCGACTGAATCCACATCGATTGAAAAACATTTAATAATTGAAATTATAAAAAATATTTGATATTTTTAAAATCCCCAAACACAAAAAAAAAAGAAATTAACAATCCTGGAAACAGAGAAAAAGAAACACCCGCCAAGAAATATTAAACCAAATTTTGTTAGAAAGAAAAAATATTAAAGAAGAATAGGGTGTTTCTCAAATTTTTTAAAGATTAGAAATGAAATAAATAAAATTAACCAAAGAATCTGCAAAATTAAATAAGATTTATGAAAAATTAAGGAAGAATATAAAAGAGATCAATTATAAAATATAAATAACCCTTCCTCAAATATTTGGCAAATGGCATTAACATTAGCCATATAAAATCTCGCCTATCAACCTGTTCAAAATCAGGTAATGCTCACTCCATTAAAAGAAAAAAATTAAAAGAAAGACCTGTAACAAAAGGCTTATTCATGCCTTTAATAACAGCATATTTCTGTTGCTACCAAGTTCTTTTTAAAGAAATTAACTGTCAAAATAAACTATGCCATCAAAAATACTCTTGATATTGCCAGATTATGACCGTAATCCCGATGAGGGAAAATAAATAAAATAAACTGCTTCTTCATCTGAACGCTCTAAATAAAAACTGTCTACTTAACATTACCGATACAAATGAAAAAAATGACAAGGCAGAAAAAATAAATTGCCAAAAAAACTTTTCGGAACAATATTCTAATATAAACATTGGCAGCATTTTGAGATCAATAAGTGCTTGTTCTATGTATAATCGATGATTATAACAGTGAATAAAAATAAATAAGTAAAAGGCCGTTTGAGCTATATATAATACAATATAAAATACTTTTCATATAAAATACACATGGCTAAAACAAATCGAGTTTTACAAAAAATACTGCCATGACTCGACAGGAGTATAAGCCAATTAATAAATATTCCTTATACAATATGGAATCGATTTTTCTCAGTTAAAACAAAGAAAACCTTATAAATTATTTTAAGACACATTTTTTATTTCTTTTTTCATTCAAAAAATTTTATATCACTGTTAATTACCCAATTAATTAAGGAAATAAATGAATTAAAAATAGAAAAATAAATTCAGAATTAAATGGAAAAACACAAACAGCCAAAATATATATTCAATGAAAGATAAAAGATAAAGATAAATGAAAAATAAAAAATCTCAAGAAATCTCGAAAACATTGGTGCAATAAATAACAATAATAATAATAATGATACATAATATACAAAAAATATACATTGGAAATAAGAATATTAAAAAATTAATGGAATAGTGCAAAAGTTTAAAGTAATTGCCAATTTTTCTTTCGAAAAAATGTAAAGCATGGAAAACGCAGAAAATATCGACAATAATACTAAAAATCATTTCTGGAGAAAAGAGGGAAATGAAAGTTTAACAAGTAAAATTACCAGTTTTATTAATCCTTTGGGTATTAATTTGGAGCTTCAACATAAATCACCAATTTTAATCCTCGCTCTGAAATAAGAAACAATGCTTTGTCGTCTTCTCAAGTTATTATAACGAATTAAATCAAATAAAACTTACCTGAAGTCATTTGAAATTTCTAATCCATGCCATGCTTAATTTAGATTTTTCCTTATGTACTAGTTCATCCGATTTACTAACGGGAGTTTCATCTTAATTCATGATCTATCAATCCTACTTTTACCTCATAGCTTTCAAAAGAAATTTGCTGAATCGATATGACAATTTAAGGCGAATAATAAATTAACTGTAGAAAACTGTAAAAAAGAAAAATTTACTTCAGATGAGTCATTTAGCCATTTCCTGTCCTCTGCAACATAACAATCATCTGAATCCATGTCACTCTAAATATTCTCAAGATGAACAGTATACACTGCTACACTTTTAGATACCGAGGCTTTTTTTGATAAAATACGAAACACCATTTTGTTTCTGACATTATAAATCCATGAAATGGATTTAAAAAATTACTTGGGCTGGCAATTCTAAACCGGAAATTTTGCAAGAGATTTCGTCATTTACTGATTTTACTGAAGATCGTGATGGGCATCTTAAATGCATCATAATTTTTAAAAGATAAAATAAAATAGAAGATAGAAGATAGAAGATAATACAATGATTTGGTTCTCTGAATCAAAGAAATCTCGTAATAAGAATAAAAGAATAAGTAAAAGTAAAAGGATGCCTCATCTATGTCAACTGTAAAATTCTATATCGCGCTTTACTAAATATAAGATCTTTAAAATTAAGGTAAATTAACGATACTACCATTACAATTTCCGCCTAATGCCTTTCGCATCCCTTTTTGCAGTTACTAATGCAAAAAAATTCGTAGATGAAGTAATTAGTCGATATTATTGCACAGTCATAATCACAAAAAACCATAACTTAAAACACTAAAATAGGTGAATAAAACAAATTATTAACCGATAGTTTTTCGGATAAACTAGTGCTGAATCAAAAGAGTTAGTAAAAAAATTTCGTGAAGATTCGTTATCTGAGGACTGTAACCTTGTCGCCTCGTGCTCATAAGTACATTTCTGAGATCCAAAATTGATAGAAGAATTCAAGCCATTTTCTTTTTCTTTGGTAACCTAAAGAAATTCTATTGAAGATATTAAATGAAATATAGTGCAAGGATTTTATATAAACCAAGGAAAATTAAAGCTTCGTTTAAAATTGTTTGTTAAATGACAATGAGTTAAAAAACAATACCGTTGAAAATAGAAAGCAAATCACCACCATCAAATTGCAAATGTCATGTTCACATAAATAACCGTTTAGAAATTAATTCAAAATTAATTTGTTCCATGATAAATTTGAAAAAAATTTCATTAATACTAAATGAAATAGTGATTTTACAAACCTCATCATTTTTATTTGCGTTTACTTGAACAAATTCCTGCTTTCGTTTCAAAAATTTTTCAGCTATAGATACCTCTTCTATATTATTTCTGTCAACACATCGTAGTACTATATGAATCTGCAATATTATAAGTTGCTTAATAGTTAGTGACATCAATTAATGAGAATCGCAGTTCCTGTTTTCGACAAAAGTAAATCGATCGATGAAAAGCCCGAGTGGTGATGACGACCTATCTATTACTTCTGCAACCAAATAACTCTCCGGTAACTTAAAATTTAATAACTTAAAATTTCTAACAATATTAACAGCCAGTAGAGAAGAATCTAACCAGAAACGATGAACAAACCACTTACTTACTTACTTTACATCATTATATTAAATCTCTGGCTATGAAGCACCATCTTTAAGTCTAGAACGTCCATTAAAAAATGGATGGGATATTTCGCTTTATCACTAATTCTTTCATCTTCCCATTGTTTCTTTTCCATTTAATATGTAAAAATTAATCAAAAGTCAAATCAAAAAAACAATTATTTAAGTAGTCTAAAAAAGGAATTTACCTTAAATCCCGAGTGAATCTTTTCATTCTTAAACGCCCGATCTATTTCAAGAGCATTGAAAGTAACAACGTGTTCATCAGAACCTTGCATGAGACAAAATGGTCCGCCTGATGGAGGACGCCCTAGAATTAAAGAATAAAATTTATTATATCAAATAATCAATAAAAAATCGTAAAAGTAAAACGAAACTGATTCCTTTAAGATTCAGCACATTTTCTAAAAAAATATTTACCAGGTTTTGCTTTAGGAACAGGAACTCCATCGGTATTTGCAGCAAGTCGACGTTGGTTATAACTATCTTTGATGAGACCATTAATATGAGCATTACGTAACATCATTATTATTTCTGCTCGAGGTCTTCAAAAAATTTTTCACCGATATTAGAAAACACTTAAATCTTTGAATTTTTAATAATAATTAAATCTTCAATTCTTATTAAAATTTATTTAATATTTAATATTGATGGAATCCTTGAATAACTACAAACTCTATAATTACTATAAATATTATAATTTCCTATAAATTTTCAGCCTTACTGCATTCAAAAGTGAAATTGAAACGCCTACAAATCATAAATCTGAAAGGAAAAAATCCGAATATGCAGGTACTTCAATAAGAAAAAACTAACGGCCTACGTCCAAGCTGCTCGGGATAGATAAGAGGCAAGCAGTGCGATGGACAGTGACTGTCTAAGCCTGGAGGAAGTTCGATATCGCTTTGAGGCAATAAATCCTCACCTGAGATCAATGATGAGCTACTTTGCGCTGAAAAAACAACATGAAAAGAAGTTCTTTTGAAAATAAGAAACGAAATCTGGACTGAAGCTCCTATTTATTCAGACCAATCTGACTCCTAATGCAGAGCAATTTTATGAAACCGAAATTTATTGCCAAATAGTTCTAAACTAAAATACGAAACAATACCAAGATTAGACTTGCATTTATTAAGGCAAGTGCCCATTGCAGTTTGGTTATCATTAATAAAATCATCCATCACAGTATTTAATCTTTTGCACACTGATGGCGATAACTGAGAAGATGAACGCCTTTCAGAACATCTCGGCCAATGATTTACTATTGTAGCTTAAGAATCAAAAAATCAAATATTTATGAAAAATCAAATAATAGAGTCTACAAGATGAAATTTCGAAATATTTCATTTAAAGTATTCCACACTCTTTTTTAAGAATAAATATAGCGAATTAAAAATCAATAAAATGCTCCTACTATATATTTAATATTATTCATATAATGAAAAAATTTTGCAAATAACATACTGCCCTTTTCAGGATACGGATATGCTTCATCACCGTGGATATATGCACCACCACAGAAATTAGGACAAGAGAACATCGTATTAAACCATACATGCCCTAATTTTTCACGTCCAGCCTATAAAATATCTTTTAATGAAAAATGAAAAAAATCAGGTGGAAATATTTTGGAAATATTTAGGAAAAATTATTTAGCAACAAAGATTAAAAAAACTAACACTTAAACCTATAGATTTCACAAATTTTTTGACATACAAATCAACTCGAACATCCCCTTCAAGAAAAACTCGTTTACTGCCAGGTACTGTCCAACCGTAACAACGCCTAAAATTATTCTAGATTATATAAAATGTACAGTCTAAAAAATTCTTGGCGAAACATATGGCTCAATCATCTTATAGCCATTGAATAAGAATAAAACTATAAAGATACCTCGAGATACAATTACTGCCAAATTCTGTGTTATCGCATTCATCATAATCTGACCCGAAGGAACAGTTATGGGTCTTCCAAATTTCATCTTCATCAATCATTTCTTTTTTGCTCATATAAATTGGATCCGGGTTAAAAACATCTATCCTACCATTCGCAACTCGTAAGCAGAAGGCACCTTTAAACAATAAACCTGCAAGAAAAAAAAAAAAAACTTCCTTCCTTCATTCTGACATTACTTAGATTACTTAGATTTTAACATTACCTAGATTTTAAATAGTATCAAAAGAAGGCGACCTTCTAATATTAAACAAATTTGGATTATTCTAAAAATTAGAATTTCTCAGATCCAAAGAAAAAAAATTAGAAAATAAAAATTGCTCAACAAAATCAACATTGAAAGAGTAAAATTCAAGCCAACTTCTTGCTAATTGTCGCAAAAATGCAAATGCAGAAAAGCCAAGTTTGGAGTCGACCTTCTCCCTCTTTTCTTTGGCTCTGACTACGGGATTTTTATTCTTCATTTAGCCGTTAACAAATCAGAAGCTTCTTTCTTTCGCACTTCACAAATTTTTATTGTTGTTTTGATTCACTAATAAATGAAATGGCTCCTGTTTTTTTGCTTTCTTTTCTATGCGCATCTTTGCCTTATTAAATAATCATCTTACAATATATTTGAATCCTCTTTGCTGACTATCTGGCACTAAACTTCAACTCACCTCTCTAAACTAATGGAAACTGCCTAATCAATCTCCTTATCACTGATCAATTTCCTTATTCTGACTATAGAATAATCGTAAAAGTAAAGCAAATTGCTTGTTTCAACTCATTTTGCATTCTTATAACTTCTCCATAGTAATCCTTTCCCTTCTCGCGACACTGATGCAAGCACGATGGCCGATGGTTTAGTATTAAATAAAATATTGCCCCATTCTATCGAGAATGGTTTAAGTTTGAACACTGCCATTGATATTCTCAAGATTTGGAATGTCGCGAAGATGTTATTACCAGAAAACCTTCTTACTGGTTTAATGAAAGATAAAAATCCCACTGACAAAGAAGCCAAAGAAGAGTGGAAGCAAATCGATTTCAAAGATAATATTTGCTTTCGTTTTCAAACCTACATGGAAATATATTCAAAACTTTTATCTTATTATATTGAAAATTTATTTGTACAGGTAAGATTTCAAAATTAAATTTCTTACTTAGTTTTATTTTTGAGTATCAAGATATATGAGCAAATTAAAAATAGGTATCAAAGCAAAAGATTGTGCTGGATGTTATAAAGCAACAGAATTTCGAAGAAAAACCAAAAATGTAAAAAATAAAAAAACATAATGAACCGCTAAATTTCGGAGGCCGTTCAAAATAAACGCCTATCAACTCAGACAGCAATGGCACATAATTAAGACCGCGCTTTCTCAAATGAGAAAAATAATATACATATCGCCGCTGAGAAGGAATTGTAACACCCTGCAATATATTTCAATATCAAAAATCATCCTGATTACCCCATTTATAAAAAATTTTAGTTGCCAATAAAAATAAAAATTAAATAAGGAACCTTATTATTTACTGTTCGAACTATACTATAATAATCCATATTTTGCCGTGGAGATAAGTAAAAATTAATGTAAACGAGGTAAGCGCAAATCATAACACCCGTACGGCCTTTACCCGCTTTGCAATGAACCGCGACAACATTTTGGTCATTTGCTTGCAAATATTCATGAACCTAAAATTATTTATTTATATATTTACATATTTATAAATAAACCACAGATCATAACCCAATTCTATTAAATAACGAAATTTCAAAATATGCAAAATTGTACCAGTTATCTTCAACACGAGAACCATACACCAAGAAGCTGCAAGTGAACCATTATGCTATCTATTACGAAAGGTTTCTAATGATAAGATATACTTGGAAACACAAAGAAAAAGAAAAAAATTTGAGGAAAAAAGGGAAAAAATTAATCCTATTAAAAAATTACCTTACCGACACATAGACGAAATATCTCGAGAATTTAAAAAAAAGCCAACATAAATATTTGGCAAAAATGTTGAAATATGATTGTGAAATTTCAGATTTAATAACTGAAGGTGGGAAATCACAACAATAAGGAACGCTTACTCCATGGCGTATAACAATAAACCAAAGTGGTCAAGAAACAATAAAAATATAAAACATCCCAAAACATTTCCCATTATCCACGCGCATAGATGAAACTGCTCATTATATGGAGAAACAAACAGTTGAACAATTACAAGACAAGTGGTTCTCTAACTAATTGAATTGAAAACAAATGTCTTCAAAACCATTATCGTATAATTTTTTTCATTCCCTCAATACGGTCCTTATGTGAATTTACAACAAAATGCCTGATAACTTTGAATGGGCATGTATATGTTTATATATTTTTGCCACTGCCATAGCTATAAAATAAGAAAATCAAAAGATAATATGAAGATGATTGAATGTACTGAGGAGGTAAGAAATAGGCAGAGTTTGACGCGCGCGTAGTGCAACGAATTATGAAAGAATGTCAAGGATATACAAGTTTGAAAACGGTTTTATCAATCCCTATAACAGACTTACTAATAAAAAAATAAAAGCACTAACTGCGTGACAAAACGGAGCCATAAGTTCTAATCGAGGCGGATGATGATCATTCATTTCAAATGTCATTACACGATTATGAAAATAACCAGGATCATATATATGATTTCCACGCCTTCAAACAAAATTTAAATCTTAAAAATTTTGAACGAAAAATGCAAGAATTTGAAGATGCATAAAGATAAGAAATAATGCATAATGCATAATAATGCATCGAATAATGCATAATAATGCATAACTCGCATTCAGTCTCGCACTCGCATTCACCCTCAATACAACAGACCAGAAAATGTATGTTATGTTTCTAAAAAGCTTCATGAAAAATCTTTTTAAAAAATTTTTTAAAAAATTAAAATTCTTAAAAAAATGGCAAAAAATTATATACTTTAAAAGAAGCTTACAGATTGAAAACCATATAATGGCCTGCATGGTAATATTCAAGAAACTGCACAGTTGCTTCCATACTATTTCGATAAATTTTCTCTTGATCAATCGCTGGAAAACCCATCGCGATAATGCGATCCGTTATATCTAAAATTGTATTCAACTACAGCGAAACATTGTGTTGTGAAGTTCTCCAAAGATGGGGATTAAAACAGAAGTAATTTTCATAAGGCCGCTTTTAATGACAGTTTTACAACGCTAGCCCTAAGCTACTATATAGTTCAATCGTTTGCATTTGCAATTCAATAACTACAATTAATGAAAAATTTTTGCCAGAAAATGGCGAAAATAATAGCCATTAATTATTTAATAACAAAAAAAAAAAATTTTAATGATAAAACAAATTTTTATAACATTGGAAAACGAACATGTTAAATCTAAATCAAAATTTCCAATTTTGTAACGTCGTCTATTCTGACTGACCATAGTTCGCCATGGTTTGCAAATCATATTTGAAGTTTTCAGCGAAACGCTAGAGAACGAAGAAAATGAATTTTGAGCTGGCGAATTAACCTCTAGCACAGGTGTCCGCGATGTTGTCAGTGGATCTTTACCTATCGATAATTTCAATTCCTCTGAGTTATCCTCCTGAAATAATCAATCTATTTTAATTCGCACAAATTTCCATAAAAAATAATTTATAAATGAGATTTTTTTTCTCCATATTGTCTGCCAAATTGGAGAATGTCAAAGAGAAAAATGATATAGGAAATCTATTCAAAAAAACTACATGAAAAAAGAAGAGAAAATGTACCACTGAAATTCGTTGATTGTTGAGCGATAGAGGTAAATCTTCTAAAGACATTGTTGTAATTCCGCTACTCGAAGCGGCCGCTGAGCAACTTGCTCCACCCTCACTTATTGTTTCTCAACTTCGATTATTTGTCGAATTCCCTGACCTGAAATGTTAAACATCAAACATTTTTATAAAATTAGATCAACCGACTGAGATTATAAAATTCAACTTGATTAGAGTGTTCAAATGCTCTGTAGCAATTTTATTCCAACTATAACTTACAATTAGTAAAAATTTTACAAAAACCGCTCCGTAAATCTACTACCATACCAAAAGTAGGAATTATATAAAATTATTGTTCTAATAATAATACTCACATTTATCCAAAATTATAAACAAAATTTAAAAGAAAAAAATTATAAATATGAAAAATATAAAAAAGTAATCGAGTTTAACTCAGTAATTCTTCGCTCACTAAAAGTGAAAACTCCGTGGCAGACTCATTATAAAGCCAACTCGCATTTTCAAGTGGCTCTCTGGCGAATTGGTTTAGTCAGTGGAGCTAGCGAAATCGAAGTGGATGAATGCCAAAGAAAAATACAAATTTTAAAAAAATATGCATTTAATACCTTTTGTTTTAATTAATAAAATTACCCCTTTTTTTATCATAAAAAAACGAAAAATTTTGCGAATATAAAATTTCTTTACAAATAATCTGCATTTTCTTACATTTTCGTCCCAACTAATTTTAATTTTATTAATTACACAGTTAATACTACCATTTTTAATATTATTGTTATATTAAAAATACTCATACTTATACTCCCTACTCTTCTTCCCTCTTCTCTCTTCGTTTCGCATAACACTGATTCGTCATTCGAATTTTTTCACGCTTAATTCGCCTAACCTTCCCTCTTTCCTCCCCAACCCCCCCCCCCCACGTCCTCTTATTTCTCATCCCCCGCTTCCCTGCCACCTCTTCTCTTTTAACCTTATCTCTTACCCACCACTTCCCTTCTCCAGCTCAACCTACTTCTTTTCATTTTTACGTATCATCTGATAAAGAATTCACTTGGTACAGAGGGAAAAATTCGAACAGAGGTTTGGAAAATCGTTTTAGGACACTCTTCCGCTTATAAAAAATTAGCAGCTAAAAACCAAAGTCAACCATGTTAACTGTATTTCTCAACCCTATGTGCCCTTTGTAAAAGAAATACTTTTTCCCACTGATTCTCCGTAATCGACGTTTTTTTTCCATCGATCCCTTTGGAATTTGCTTAAAGAACACAACTGGGTGCTTAGCAGGCTGGAACCAATCCTACTTTATGGGCAGTAAAAAACCACTTTTTAGGACAATTTATGGTGGCATTAAAGAATTAATATTTATTAACAATTAAGATAGGTTTGCCTGATGTGTTACAATAATATTTTTGGAATTTGACTTAAAATAATTCGCTATTATTCTTATCGTTCTGGTGTATTTAGTCTATTTCTGTTGTTTAATAAATGATTAAATGATTAAAATGCGCTATGTAGAAAGTGGAACCCTAAAAATGAACCTCTACGCTGGACCAATAATCGACGAACAATGCATAGAGTGTATTTGGCGAAGATGAGGATGGTCCCAGATGATGTTTGGCGGCAGTCCACTAGTGTGGTTCCATATTGTTTTTCATTTTAAATTTTAAAGAGCCGCAATTATTTGACTTGCCCACCAACCCTCTATTGGCTTCCAGAATCTTCCTTCGATTCCCAGTCGATCTTTCTATTGAGAAGTCTATCGACCCTCAGAGGATCGAATTCAGAAATCCTGTTATAGACAAATCACAGAAATTATAAAAATTCCATCGTTTAATATGAAAAAATATTTTTCAAAAGTATATTATATATTTTATATATTATATATTATTATATATTTTATATATATAAGTATATTTTTCAAAATATTTTAGCATTTAAAAGAAAATAAATCAATTGAAAAAATGGTTGGAAAAACAAAAAAAATTAAATTTGCAGGAAATTAACTTTTAAAATTATAAAATTACGAATGAAATCGAATTATTTGAATAATAATGATAATAAAGTTGTAAAGTCATTTTTAAAAAAAATAGAAAATTAAATATTCCACTGTTTGTCAAAAAATACATTCAAAAATATCAAACGTTAAAATTCGAATAATATCAAAAATACTTACAGTTTTTATCATTTATCACTTTATCACTTCTTCAATTGTTTTAATTAAAGTTTAAAATTATTTAAGCCAATTAAACTCAGTGGATTGTTGCTCATCTCGGAGCGACGATGCTGGGGTAACCATATCCAAAAACTTGGGTGAAGCTGACGACCCACCTGTGTTTCTATCGCCAAGAGACTCCGTTTTTCAATTGCCGTATTTGTCAACTTGACAAGCCAGCAGAGTGAGACTATCCAGTAATGGTGAGTGGCGCTCTTAAAAAAATCCAGAAAAGTAAAAAATTATTCTCGAAGTCAAATAAAATTTCAAAAAAATTTAAAAAAAAACAAAACACAAACGGAGTGAAATTTGACAACGATAACGATTGTCTTTCATCGTATCTTTATTCAAATTTCCAGAATAATTCGTTGATAAATTTCCAAGTTTATCATTTTTGCACTAAATGATTAAATGATAATAACCATTCATTATTATTTTCATCCATTTTTTATTATTTTTAGCACAAATTTTAAGAAAATGAAATTATAGCGATGAATTCGATAATTTTTTCTTAGTTTTTTCGTTATTTAAAGTAATTTCCTCCATTAAATTCAGAAAAAATTTCAATGAAAAAAAAGACTTTTTTAAAAAGTGATTTAATATAAAATGAATCTCTGAAATTAAAGTTTAATTTATAAGAAATTAAAATTTAAGGAAAAAGGATCAAAAAATTGAGATATTAAGTGAAAATAAAGACGGTTCCATTAATTTTCGATTATTTTTTGAAACGAAAATTTAAAAAAGTAAGATATAGTTTTAATTTGTTACAATTAATTTGTTTTGTTTAATTTGTTCACAGTTCTTGATTATTTTCCACTAAAGAATTTTATTATTACAAATATTATTATTACAAATACAAATATTATTAAACAAATTATTAAATAAAAATATTATTAAATGAAATTCAGAAATATTTATATTTTTAAAAAATTGCAAATGAAACTATATAAAAACTTTAAAAAATTAGTAAAATTTAAAAGAGTGGTACAAATTTAATGAACATTTCTACGATGAAATGAAATAGACTATCCCTTTCTTCTATGAAATCACTATGATACGCCATAAAATAATTATTGAAAATGTGCGCCACGTGTCGTAGATGGGATAATCGCCAAAAGAGAATTGACGATCCTGCTTCGAAGAAGCTTCGTTGCTCATTTTTGGTTAGAATGGCATCTTTCGCTAGAGAATCGTTCAGGAATAGAAAAGTAATCGTTCAGGAATAGAAGCGTTGCTCACCACAGTTATTCGAGTCTGACCTTCCTTAAATAAGAAATACCCAGCTTTGAGTAGAATAAAATAAAAAAGAAATGAGAGAAACGCAACGTTTATGATGCAATATCGGGTGAATCTCGCGGATTTTTTCGCATCAATTATTTATTAAATTAATATAAATTTATAAATTTATAAAAATAGATTTAGTAAAAAATTTCAAAGAAAAGTTTAATAAATTTCTGAAATTTAACAAATTTATTTTAATAATAATAAACTTAATTAGTTTAAAAAAGAATTTTTATTAATAAAGCAACGTAGCGATAATAATGCAACAAAAGTTTGTACATAAAAATTAGGTGTTGCGATGTATCGAAAACGCTTGTGAAAATGGATATGAAAAGGGTTATTTGTGAAAAAACAAAAGCTAGAAAAAGAGATCTGAGGCTAAATAAGGCGACGGGCTAAATGAACGAAAGATTTAATGGGCTCAGAGAAATAACTCTAAGTGATAATTGATTCATAGCAAAACAGCCGAGGAGCGATTTTTAATAGCGTAGGATCTATATTTTTATCTGTCTTATCTATTTTATGCGGCTTGTTGAACCTATGGAATAGCAAGGTACTCGAAAGGTTGAAAGGCTGCAACAAATTGCTTATTTATCATAATATCAATAATTTTATATCCTCTTATGGCTTTTGTACAAAAAAAATTTTATTTCTTCACAAATATTGGCAAATCTTTTCGATTGGTCAGCATTAATTGACAATGGAAAAACAATACCAGTTGTGTATCTAGATTTGGCTAAAGCTTTTGATGCTATTTCCCATAGCAAATTATTGATCACTTTTAATAGTTATGGTATTACAGGGGCCCTTTATAACTGGGTATCAGACTGCATAAAAGATCATCACCAAGCTGTACGCGTCAAAATAACATTCTTTCTGACAAAACACCTGTTAAGTCTGGTGTTCTCCAAGGTAATTGCATTGCCATTGCTTTTTCTATTCTATTCTATATAAATGATATAACCAATGTGATACTAAATTCCACTATTTATCTTTATGCTGATAATTGTAAAATTTATTATTCTCATGGTAGAGTGGATAGCCTATCTCCACTGCAGGAGGATCTCAAAAGAAGCTGGCTATATGACAAGCAAATTACCCTTTCCTTTCAAAAATGTAGCGTTCTTCATATCAATTCTAAAGATTTCGATTTTTCTAATCTTTTTATTAATGGTAATATAATCAAAAGAGTCTCACTCACATATTTGCACACCAGTAATGGTGAGAGCTGTTAGAAGAAGAGGAAGAAAGAAGAATTGGGGTTTGGCGGAAACATTTTAGCAAGAAAGATGCAAAGAGAAATTAAGGGAATATTAAATGAGAGAATGTAAGAGATATATTGCAGTTCAAAGATAATTCTATCTCCATTGCACGAGGGTTGTTTTAACAAGAAAAAATTCGTAAATTCATTATTTCAAATTATTCTTTAAGGAATCTGCAGAATTTTTTTAAAGGCATTTCTTGATTCAGAAATTTTTTTCTAATTTTCTCATTTTTTTAAAATTTATTTTAGAAATATGCATTTACATTATTATGAACTCGGATAAAAGAGATT